CTGGTCCAAGCCCCGGCTCAAACAGGGCCACCTGGTTGCCCAGAGCAGGTTGCCCAGCTCCACGTCCAGGTGGCTTCTGAATATCTCCAAGGAGAGAGACTCCACAACCTCTCTGGGCAACCTCTTCCAGTGCTCTGTCACCCTCACAGTAAAAAGAGTGCTTTCTGATGTTTAGACAGAACTTCTTGTGTTCTAGTTTGTGCCCGCTGCCTCTTGTCCTGTTACTGGGCACCACTGAAAAGAATCACAGAATCACAGAATTGTCTAGGTTGGAAGAGACCTCAAGATCATCGAGTCCAACCTCTGACCTAACACTAATAAGTCCTCCACTAAACCATATCACTAAGTTCAACATCTAAACATCTTTTAAAGACCTCAAGGGATGGTGGCTTCACTACTTCCCTGGGCAGCCCATTCCAATGCCTAACAACCCTCTCAGTAAAGTTCTTCCTAATATCCCACCTAAAACACCCCCGGCACAACTTTAGCCCATTCCCCCTCGTCCTGTCACCAGGCACATGGGAAAATAGACCAACCCCCACCTCACTACAGCCTCCTTTAATGTACTTATAGAGAGTGATAAGGTTGCCCCTGAGCCTTCTTTTCTCCAGGCTGAACAACCCCAGCTCCCTCAGCCACTCCTTGTAAGAGCCTGGCTCCATCTTCTTTGCACCACCCTTTCAAGTGTTCGTAGACATTGACAAGATCTCCCCTGAAGCTTCTCTTCTCTAAACTGAACAGTCCCAACCTTTCTTCATAGCAGAAATGATCTAGTCCCTTAATCATTTTTGTGGCCTTTCATTGAACTCTCTCCAGTAGACCATGTCCCTCTGGGACTGGGGAGCCCAGATGCAGACAGCACACCAACTAGATTAACTAGACTTTTCTGGCTAGAAATAAAGTAGATTAATTCTGTAATCCTTGGCGTAATAGTGTCTACATACAGCCTAGATATACATCTAGATACATGTCTAGCTGTATATTCACAAACTTAAGGGTCCCTTCCAACTCAGGATATTCTATGATTCTATGAATTTTTCCACATTTATGTGAGATTGTACCAGTGTGAGTTTTAGGATGAAAATGCATATTTTTGATTATTTTACAGGTACCTGTCCAGCAATACAGGACAGCATACATGTTTGAGTTAATCACATGCTCTAGGGTACACATGCACTCATGTAATAACTAAAACAGGATTTATGTGGTAGAGGGTACATGCACTTTGATTGCGTGATGACCATTTATACAATCACTGTGTACAGGAGAGACTGGTGTGTGGGGGGCAGCTGGCAGACAGCAAGCTGCAGATTACTGGTACAGTACACTTGGGTTACTTTCCTTTTCAGAGCATGGTTTGAGGTATTCTTGAGTAAAGTAGTAGAAAGAATGGACCTTAGCCAGATGAATTTTCCTAGCAGGTAAGCCAACTGAATACAAAAATGTAATTAAATATCAACAGAAGACATGCTAAAGATTTCTCCTTTACTCAATCTAGGAAGGACTAATGTCACCTAGTCTGATCCTGACATACTTCTAGCTTGTTTCTGAAAGCTTCCAGTCATGACATTGCAATTGCAGGCAGATTCCTGGGCTGCTTCTAAGACCCCAGCCAAAGATTAACACAACTATAAAGAACATGATTAAATATGGCACATGGCATGAGAAACTGCCGGATATAAGTAACATATAACAAGATATTGGGGACCTTTCAGGAAGCACAGTCTTGCAAGGCCAACAGCACCTAGATGATTCCATATGTGTCTGACATTTCCTTAAAAAAAAATCAGAAATACTAAACTTGGGTATGGATGTAGCATGGATGTAGCAAAACTGGGACTAACGGAGAAAAATTAATCAGAAGAGGTTGGTTTCTCTGGGAGGGAATGAGGCTGATAAAATAAAAGAAAGGAAATAGGAAAATGAAGATGAATCATAGAATCATAAAATATTCTCAGCTGGAAAGGACCCAAAAGGATTATCAAGTCCAATTCCTGACTCTGCACAGGACCACCCAAAAATCAGACCAGATGTCTACAAGCATTGTCCAAATGCTTCGTGTACTCCTGCAGATTTGGTGCTGTGACCACTGCCCTGGGGAGCCTGTCCCAGTGCCTGACTGCCTCTGGGTGCAGAACCTTTCCCTAACCCCCAGCCTGACCCTCCCCTGTCCCAGCTCCATGCCGTTCCCTCGGGTCCTGTCGCTGTCCCCAGAGAGCAGAGCTCAGCGCCTGCCCCTCTGCTCCCCTTGTGAGGGAGCTGCAGGCCGCCATGAGGCCTACACTTGGCCTGCTCTGCTCTGGGCTGAACAAACCAAGAGACATCAGTCATTCATCTTGCCCTCCAGATCCTTTACCATCTTTGTAAACCTCCTTTGGAGGCTACCTAACAATTTCATGTCCTTCTTGTACTGTGGTGCCCAGAACTGCACACAGCACTTAAGGTGAGGCTGCACCAACACAAAGGAGAGCGGAACAATCAATTCCCTCAACCGACTAGCAATGCTGTGCTTGATGCACCTCAGGATATGGTTGGACCTTCTGGCTGCCAGGGCACACTGTTGATTCATATTCAACTTGCCATTGACTAGATATTTAATATATTTTTCAAGAGAAGAGAATGAACTGTTAATTGAAGCCTAGGATTAGGTAGAGACGAGGAGAATCAGGCGATTTCATCCTATTTTCAGATATGACACATGCTTCCAAATACAAAAGTCCCATAGTAAGTCAACAGCCCACCCAACAGCTTTTTTTTTAATATAAAAATTGTACTCGTATATAAATCAATTAATCAAAAGATGAAGTCAAAGCATGTTAATATTCTTATATTCTTAATTTGATTTAAATCAAGGCCATAATCATTAAGACTACTAAAAAAAATAATACTAATGAAAGATGAAATAATTTATTAAAGAAGCAACTCCTAGACAGTTATGTATTGATTTTGTACAATCTATTTTCAGATGAGTTCAAAAACAAAAACCATTACAGGACAGGTATAGGAAACTCAAAGACCTTTTGCTATTTCAGGTGCATCTCTTCCTGTTGGCAAAGCTTCCTAAGTCACACCTTTCTGCATACTAAGATGCAGTATCAAGGTTTTATTAGGCAAGACAAAGAACTGGAAAGGAGCACAAAATTATCTTCCACAGAAAAACTGTATTGATTCATGGGATTTTCCCTCAGGGAATCTATATCTGTTATATTTTCTCAGTTTCATAATTTGTTGTCTGTGTGCATCTCCTTTTCTACAGTAAAATTAGAATTTTTTGTCATCTTGAAAAAAACAAATAAAACAAGACATCCATTTACAGGAGGTCTAGTTGAGAAATTTGAGTAAATCAAAAGTTGCTTTATGCATCATTACATTAAAAAAAGTACATAGCTGAGCTGCTGCTATCATTTTTACTTTTTATTTTATCAGTATATTTCACAACTAAATCCATTGTGACACTGCATGGATTAACTCTTAATAGTACCTTAAAATAAATGGGCAATCCTGCTTTTGCTGAGACAATGGTCTTCACAGTTTCAGAAAGAAAATTGCTTTTGCAGACACTTAATCTATGGAAAGGATTGATATATCTGCCTGCTTGCCACTGTTTTTTACTGTTTTCAATGTTCAATATCGTGCTGAAGAGAAAGAAGTTCAAAACTTATTTTATAAAAAAAGAAAAGACGTAATGTGGAACTCCAGCGATAGTGTTAAGCAAAGAAGTCCTTGCAGTTCCCTTTCATCAACTGCTCAACTTGTAAATTCCACTACATCCTGTTACAACACTTACCAGGACCACATCACAGCCTGTTTTAAATAAAGGGGTTTTGACTTCAGAGAAAGAGTAGGATGGAACTGTATCCTGAGAGAAAAGGACTCTACTAGCAAATTACCTGCTATGCTAAGAGACGAGTAAAAATCTATGAACTGTGTGAGGAGTTACCTGAGACTGACATTAAAAAATAAAATAAAATAAAATAAAATAAAATAAAATAAAATAAAATAAAATAAAATAAAATAAAATAAAATAAAATAAAATAAAATAAAATAAAAACCCAGCTGCTACTGTACTGTAATTTTTAACAATTTCCCTTGTTTTCCCAACTAATGATGTAATTAAAATGATCTTGTAGAGACATATAGATGAAAAAGGCAAGATATACTTCCTGGAGCAAAGGCACACTGACAAGAAATCAAGTAATAAATAGAGACATCATTATTTTCAAGGCAAGATTTTAATAAATTAGGCTATATGTTTCCTGGACTAAGAATTCTTTTCTTCTGCTCACATTTCCAAGTAAAGACTACAAGCAGATAGATCATTTTGTCCATGTACAGTTTCTGCTGAATATATAAAAATCTACTGAAGATTAACCTTCAGTTCACAGCACACGACTCTCATTTGAGGCTGTAAAGATCAATGGTAATACTGAAGCTGATTGAGCTGACCTATAGTCCTGAAATTTAGCATGAGAAGGGCTGTAAAAGTAGAGAACACTTGGGGTAGCTGTGAAAAAGACCCGAGCTAGCAGCAAACCCGTGGGTGAACAGATTTTTGAGTCTCTGAAACTTGCATTTTCTTTTAAACAAGATTTAGCATGTGTCATGAGATCAGATAAAGACTGGATACTTTAAACTTGCGGATGTTTGGCTCATCAGTTCTAGAGTCTAAAAACTGCTGATAAACAACTGTATTTATGGAATAGAAACTACTGTTGTCCCTGTAAGTTATGAAACAAGACTATTTATATAACATAAAAAACCACAGTGACGAAAAAAAGATTCTTAATATGACTAAATCAATCATTGAGTTGCATCTCTTGTACATCCTTGTGAAACACATAGCTCCTGGAGATAGCAATCACAGGTGAGAGGAAAAATAACTACAGCAACAACAGTTATATTAGTGCTGCCAAGGTATGAATGAAATAAAAGCAGCATCGCCGTTCTACATCGTCCTTACTTGTGTAACAACATGCTTTCAAAATGAATTTGAAGCTTACCATCAACAATGCCCTCCTGAAGAGATCCATATCGGCTGTATCTGTGAGTAGGTGAATGCTGACAACGTCCGCCCCGCTGCGGTCAGCTCCTATAGACACACGGTTTGCATCTCCTCCAAAGCTAGCAATGTTCTGCTGCACCCACTTCAGAGCTGCCAACTGATCCAAAAGGCCAGCATTTCCACTCGCCTCAGAAGAGCCTGTTGTGGGAAATAAATAAATATGAGAAGAAATTAACCTAAAAACATTTGATTTTTTCATTAATGTTACATTTTTAGCAGCTCTTGCAGCTGGACCTTGATACCAGAGCATAAGAGGATGGCCTAGTCTCTTCCATAGTTTAAAAGTCTATAGAGATCTCTTCCAAGGTCACAGATGCATTTATTTATTTATTTATTTATTTTACAAACAAACAAAAAATCACAACAAAACAAAAAGCTCTCCATGCTAGCATACAATGCTCTGGGCCTTGTTCAGTTAAGATACACATCTGGTACAGATCTGGTGAAAGTGAGAGATGATAGATGCCAGAACTGTAAACTTAAAATTTGAACTCATCTACCAAACTAAGGGTAGTTAAACATGCTTCTTTATTTGTTAAACCACTGAAATAATCATTGCTCCAGTTTTTAAGCTTCATTTAGATGCCTCATAGGAGGAGACATGAATCCAGGCTCAGGCTTAAAATGAATTAAAACCAAGCAAAAATCAGTGTTTGCTAAATTCATTTGACTATTTCTCTGGAGTACATCTTATTGCATCTTTCCTGTATCTCTTATGCACCTAGCCTGTCTTTTATGTCATTTATGTCACATCATCTTTGATTTCTTTAACCATACTTACAAGTAATACCTCTAATTTATAATATCTCAGTATGTATACTTTGAGATTGACCTATGTCCAACTGATAGAGGTATGAAGTGTAAGTATTCATATTTTTGTTCCCATTAAAATGAAAAATAATTGTATATTGTTAATATTTAGCCATCACCACTGAAAAGACTATCTTCTTTTCAACACCACCCAGTGGTAAACTGATATTTCAATTAATAGAAAACTAATGTTGAAAACATCTGGTTATGTAACCTCCCTAGTCCAGCTGAAGTTTATTTCAATAAAAGCAGAAAAAAAAAAAAATCCTACACGGTCTCTAAGAAAGGAAGACAGAATGATTATTCATTCACTATCTACTTCTTTTTAATCCACAATGAACCATTCATTCCTAATGATTCAAAATGATCCACATCTAAAACTAGAAAAAAAGCCAAGAGAAGACAGAAAAGTCAGGAATAGAAGCATAACTCAAACTATTTGTTTATTCCATTGCCAAGATCAAATAGCACACTTTTAAGGAGTAAACTCAAAGACCCAGTACACTAGGGAAGAGAAAGTACAGATAGTGGAATGAAAAGCTGAACCTTGGTGGACAGTTAACCCTTTCTTAGGTTAAGAATGATTGAAAGCATACATCCTGTAGAAGATATCCACACAACTACTGTAATGAATTACTGAGATATCACAGACTAATTTAGACTAGAATACAGAGGAGACCAGATGATTGATATCCTTGCAGTTCTTAAAGATACCCATATCACAATAGCTGTCGCTATAATTGTCCTTTCAGGAGGACAGACGAAGTGAATAAATGGGAACTACAACCTTCTGCCTATAGTCATAGTTTCAACTGATTAAGCCAAGCCACAGCAGTTAAACAATGGAGGAAATACTTTCCTTGCCTTAGTGCTTAGGGTTTTTTTTGAGTTTGTTCTGCCCACAGTGATCAGTTCCCACAGTTCTCAGTCCAGCAACGAAGCCACCCTGTGCTGTTAAAAAAAAAACAACTCATTTCAAGGGCTTGCTGCAGGCCTCACAAGAACTCCCCAGAGGAAGTGAAATCCATGTAAATGTTTTAGCCATATTTTGCCTCGCTACCAGTAGGCTAAACAGCAAGACCAAGGAGGGAAATATAAATAGTTCCTTCTGGTTCTGGAGAAAAAAGCACAGGTTGTGATATGTACCATGCTGGGGAACTGATGCATGCACTGGCATTCACAGTAGTTAGAGCAAAAGAAATGTATCTTTACATCTCAAGTGAATCATTTTTGTTCCTAGAGAGATAGCCTTGGATATAAATCTCTTTTTGCAGGAAAATATTACATTCCTGGGACCACAGGAGAATGAAAAGAAACTGGTATTCAGAAGGAAGCAGACAATGTCAAACACATGCATTTCTGTTATCACCAAACTGGAGAAAAACAATAGTGCTAAATTGAAGCAAGAAGATCCTGTTTTATATGACATCATGGACTCTTTTACAAGAAGTAGGCCTAAAAATGTGACCACACTCTCTATACCCTTGCCATCCAAATCACTGGCAACTCACCTTAGCTTTTCTGGATACAAAGCTAGAGGTAAAAACACTAGTAAGAATGTGACTAGTAGAATAGTAGAACTATTTGCAGCATTAATGGGTGACAGGAAATTAAATTAAACTCTCAGTATATTTAAAAGAATAAGTGAGTTTTAACTCCCTGTAAAAAACATGTCAATAGGAGGCCAAAACCACTACAGACATAAAAAAATCAAACAAACAAAAATGAAATCTGTTGTGTTTTGTTTTTTTTTTTTTTCACTATCCTTTCTCCCCAAAAACCTCAATTTAAACCCTTCATTTCCAGTTTTGCAATTTATGGCAAGTCAAATGGGAAGATTCAGCACTTTGTTTAGTTGGACAATGAAATCTATATCACTTAGAGGACCATAACTTTTGTTTGTAGTTTCAGGACCTTCTAACAGCCCTGTTCCTAATGTCCCCACAATCTTAAGTGTGAACTCCTTCCCCTTTGAAAATTGTAGCAAAGCCTCCAAAGGTCCAGGATTCACCCAAGATTTTAAGCAAAAATGAAAACATCCCTGGAATATCATTAAGAGTTTGGTTTCAATCTTGAGATTTGACCCAGCTTGATAAATTTCATTGAAAATCCCCAGTGGGTACTATTCATGTCCAGAGAAGAAGTTAGTGATACTCCATCAGCCTGCAGTGGAGCAAAGAATAAAAATTGCAGTGGGAGCACTACTTGCTGGAATTGGTATGACTGAAAATCCACATTGACTATGAGCCTGGTACAGATATATCTAACCCTCATGGACTAAAGGGAACATGGGGAGGCTGGAGTGTGACACTGAAAGAACGTTTAGGGCTTCCCATGAATGTGGTGCCTAGCCTGTTCCTTGAAAACTGTCACCTTGTTTGCTCCACTTCCCTCAGGACCAACAGGATTTTCCTAAATGCACACCAAGGATTTCCCATGGGGGAAGAGGACAAAAGACTGCACTTGTTCCTGGCCCCACCTCAAGAGTTCAAAGGAGAATGTTCCTGAATACTCCTACCCAACGCATGGTCCAAAGCTGCTGTAGCAAGCCACCTGTGAAATGGAGGTTGGAAAATTCCTCCTGCTCCCTATATTATGGACTTCAATATAAATGCTGCTATGAAATATTCAGCCCAGCTAGCAGTTTCCACTTAGAAAGAAAGCTAGGTGAGATTCACAAGGTTGAAAGAGGTTAGTGAGTAACGCGTGGGCAGTGCTGCGTAATGGAAGCTTGCAAAACATATATCCACACTTCATTTGGCTCTAGCCAGAACGTAGCCACAGTATCACTTTCATAAGCATCCGCTTTGCAGTGATGAAAACTGTGATTCTTTCCCCAGATACACCTATTACCAGCTTCATATCTAAATGACTAAGGAGTTTGTAGTTCCAGGTCTCTAGATACTGAATGAAGAACAGGCTTTGCTGGGAGTGAGCTTCGAACAAAAAAGGACAACAGAAAAGGGAAACATTGGCGAATAGCTGCATCAATAACCCCAAACAAGGCAAAATTCACCCAGTGTCACCAACAGTGGATATTCAAAAGAATTATGCTGCAAACTATGCTGCATGTATGCAAAGTATGCATGATTTGCAAGCATGGAAAAAATAAACTGCTAAAGGTTACAAAGCTACTAAAGTGTCTACTGGAGAGAAAAAGGATTGTCTGCCACACTGAGGAAGTCAAGCTCCTCTTGCAACTGTTGCATTTTCCCACTATGGTTCTTTACCTTATATTCCCCTTCCCTAGCCAGAACTAAAAAATGGTAGAAAGAAAAGCATTCCTACCTGCTTAAACAAGCATATCTAATAAAAGACACACACAAACACAAACACACACACACAAACCACACACACAAAGACCAGACATCACCACCAAAAAGGTTTAAGGAAATGTGAATATGCATTTTCATGTGAGCGTACCTCTTTGCACAATACAAAATACCCTGTACAATGGGAATTTGTATATATATATATTTTTAATAGCAATTGGTATATTATTTATATGCCAATATAATATATGCCAATATAATAATATGCCAATTGCTATAGAATAGCAATTATTTTAGCAGATAACAGGACAGCAAAAGTGTCCTTTATACTGGATTATAGGAAAAGGGATGGAAACATAGAAACTGTGGATTTGCAGTCACATCTGTGACAGTAAAAGGGGCTAACAGAATTCTTATACAGAAAGTCCTTCAGAGGAGACACGAGGGTGCTAAATATGAGTACAATATACCTGAAGCACCGTGCTCAGCTCTGGGGCCCCAGCACAAGAAGGAAATGGATGTATTAGAATGAGTCCAGAGAAGGGGCCATGAAGTACCTCAGGGGGTTGGAGCACCTTTCCTTTGAAAACAGGCTGAGGGAGTTGGGGTTGTTCAGCCTGAAGAAGAGAAGACTCCAGGAAGACCTTACAGTGCCCTGCCAGTGCCTAAAGGGGCCTACAGGAAAGCTGGGAAAGGTTCAGTGATAGGACAAGGAGTAATGGCTTTAATCTAAAAGAGGTAAAATATAGATTAGATATAAGGAAGAAATTATTTCCTCTGAGAGTAGTGAGGCATTGGCACAGGTTGCCCAGAGAAGCTGTGGATACCCTATCCGTGGAGGTGTTCAAGGCCAGGCTGGATGGGGCTTTGGGCAACCTGGTCTGGTGGCAAGTGTCCCTACCCAGGGCAGAGGGGTTGGAAATGTATGGACTTTAAGGTCCCTTCCAGCCCAAACCATTCTGTGATTCTGTGATAAAGCATTAGCATAACGTTGTGGATGGAAAAGCTGAAAGTCAGAAACCTTGAAAACCACATCCACAGTAACACACCACTGAAATTATAAGTAAATGTAATACATAACCTATTTCAGTGTGTCTCCACAATACCTGGTATCCACAGTTTCATTTGCAAACAGAAGTCTAGCTCGATATAGATGTTTATTCTTGTCTCTTTGCCTCTTTGTCTCCATCCTCTCTTCTTTCTCTTCTGATCAAGTTCCCATAATTCCCCCCCCCCCAGTAAAGCCAAAGCCAAAGACTTCTGAAAGTCTTAACCTTTTTTTTTTTTTTTTTTTAACAGAGGCGTCTAAGAACATAATTTAGCCCACAGTTGTGTTCTAGAAATCCATCACTTACCTGTACTGAGGAAGCCAAAAACCCCAACCCTGTAGCTTGCTGTTACAACAATGGTGTTACTGATTGCAGCGAGGTATGAGCCATCTATGGTTGTCTTTCCTGCTTCAGTGTTGCCACTCCCTCCGTTGTGGAAGAACAACAGCACCGACATGTTTTTGACCTGTAGTGATAAACAATCAGGTTGGTATCTCCTTTTGCAGGTGACTGATGAGAACACCATCTTCCCCTTAAAATTATCTTAGCCATTCATAACTCTTTAACAGTGAGTGCAATGAGAGGATATTTGGCCATCTATCTGTAACTCGAGGATGTAACTGTCCACAATGAACTGCACACCGTTTAAGAGCACCCTGAATCCTATGCCCAGTATAAAGAAGACCTAATGGCACAACTGTGTTGTTCCAATAAACTGCTCTACCAGGTTAGCTCAAGGCAAACCATCCCTTAATTGGCCACTGAACATTTGGTAGACTTGTCTTTGCTGTAACATTTCATTACAGAAACACTCATGACAAGTTCAGACAACTGGGAAACCTGAGAAGGAAAAGACCTGTTGGGTAGATCCTTTGTGTGCAGGACCAACTCAATACCTTTGCAGGGCTGATTTCTCCTCTCCAGTCTTCAGCACTCAAACATTCAGCCTAGTCTCAAAAATCTCACTTGACAAGACCCTAGCCTTGTCCCTTCATAATTCCCCATGTAGACTTTCCCTTCCTAGATATACAGATGGATCCTGCAGGGAGGACTCGTGCCTGCACTAGAGAGATTCATGCCTGCACTGGAGGGTTTTCTGCACTGAGACAACCCAGCAGCACTACCAGCATGGGAAGGAGCTCCTTGCAGAGCTAACCGATTTCCCTCAGAAACAGAGGATTTTTCCTAAAGCAGGACCACATCAGTGTGCACCCTTCTGTCATGGTTCCGCTCGAGTGGGCAGCTGAGCTCCACCACAGCCGCTCTCTCACTCCTCCTCCTCAAAGAGGAATGGGGAGAAAATATGTGAAAAGAGCTCAAAGGTTGAGATAAGGACGAGAAAATCAGGCAGTAATTATTGTAACTGGCAAAACAGACTCGGCATAAGGAGATAGTAAGATTTATTGCTTATTACTAACAAGCTAGAGAAGTGAGAAACAAAGGAAAGAAACCAAAAGCACCTTCCCCCCCATCCACCCTCTTCCACCTCCTCCCCCTGAGCGGCACAGGGGAATGGGGGGATGGGGGTTATGGTCAGTCTACAGCACTTCTTCTCTGCCGCTCCTTCTCGGTCACTCTCGTTCCCTGTACTGTGGGGTCCTTGATGAACTGATCCGGCGTGGGCTTCCCACAGGCAGCAGCTCTTCCAGAACTGCTCCAGATATGGGTCCGTACCACTGGGGTCCATCCCTCAGGAGAAAACTGCTCCAACCTGGCTCCCCTACGGGCAGCAGCTCCTGCCAGATCACCTGCTCCTGCGTGGTCTCCTCTCCACGGGCTACAGGTCCTGGCCCTGGAATCTGCTCCGGCAGGGGTCTTCCACAGGCGGCAGCCTCCGTCAGTGCAGGGCCACCTGCTCCACCGTGGTCTCCTCCACGGTCTGCAGCGTGGAACCCTGCTCCACCGTGGTACTCCATGGGCTGCAGGGGGACATCCTGCTTCACCATGGTCCTCACCACAGGCCACAGGGGACTTCTGCTCCAGTGCCTGGAGCATCCTCTCCACCTCCTTCCTCACTGACCTTACCGCCTGCAGGCTGTTCCTCACTCCATTTCACTCTCCCAGCTGCTGTGTGGCGCAGCAGTTTTTTTCCCTGTCTTAAATATGCTCTCACAGAGGTGCAAAACAACATCACTTATTGGCTCAGCTCTGGAAAACAATGGGGCCCTTCCCAAACATGGGGCAGCTTCTAGATCCTTCTCACAGAAACCACACCTATGGCCCCCTACTACCAAAACCTTGCCACGTAAACTCACTACACCTTCTCAACACATGCAGCTGGGCTGCTGCTGCATGACCAGCACAGCAGCAGAGCTGCCCAGAAGGCTCCACCAGATTACAGATCCACCAATATGACACTCAGAAGAAATACCAGTGAAACATCCTAAATTTTACATCCAGCACTTTCAACCCCTATTGCCCTCTTTAGAACCATCCTGAAGGAGGCTCCTCTGCTCAGCAGCACCATCACACACATGTACACACATCCTGCTTCTTGCTTTGGCAGCTGGTGGTGTTTTTCAAAGAAGGGCTGGTGGCCCCTGCAGCAGCATCAAAGTACATTTGAGGTTTGTTTTTCCCTGCAGCTAGAAGGCACTGAGCTCTGCTGTCATTTTCTGGATGGAACTTAGCTAAATACAGCAATCCTGTCTGCTCTGGCAAAGGAGGTTTCCAGCAAAAACACGACTGGCTGTACAGGAACAGGAGCAGCAGAGAAGAGATGGTTGCAGCCTCCTGCAAAAGTACATGAGACAAGCTGTCCTCAGCTGCCCTTAATTTGTCACAATTCTGTGTGCTGAAATGGCATCCCTACCTCCCCTCACTCGTCTAGCTGGGTAGTTATTTCAGAGGCATCTTATGAACTCCATAATGTTACCAAGAAACCCCACAAAATTGCAAGCACTGAAATGTGCTGTTCTCAGGAACTTCTGATTCTGAAGAGAAGTTGCCTCATTCACTGCACCTTGCCACTGGTTCCCATTTCTGCACAGCACACAGTATGGACAAAAAGTAAAGATGAATGAAATGGGGAAGCAAAGATGAAAGAACTTGTTTTCACATGGAAATTCATTCTAAAATGCAATCACATCGAGCCACATCAGCGGAGTGGTCAAATGTGATGTCAAGCCTGCTCTGTCCCCCCAGCTCACCACTGTTAAGCCTGAGTTTGGAAATAGGCATTTCCTGTATGTCCTCATCCTGCATAACACCCTGACCTCCAGCTGCCTTGTAAGGCATATATTACAATATGCCAGGCAACTTTACTCAACACTGTACTGAAGAAAAGATAAGAAAGCTGAAAACAAGAGAAAAAAGTTAGAGGGCAAAACAAAGCCTGCTGCAACATATATGGAGCAATTTAGGGGAAGATGCAGCACAAGGTCTGTGCCCTGTGTTTGGAAGTAGCATCCCCATTTTTAGTTTGCATGAAGCAATGACAGACCCCTCTCCTACATAAAGGTAAATTTTCATGAAAAATAATTTGAGCTTTAATCCCAAGGGACTGCAGTCTCAGATCTCATGAATTTGGGCATTTGTGATGAAGGCTTTTAAAAATGACTGCCTTCCCAGTTCTTGTTAGGCTTTTTAACAGCATAGCACAAGTATTTTTACGCTGTAATTGAACTATGCTTCAGACAATGAAACAATTGATATCATCTCTCCGTACATATTTGGTAGCCTATATATACACATATTTACATATTTACTATACGTTAGCTGCTGGATAATTTATTTTGAATGCAAGTAGATTTCCCCCAGGTTCTCAACCAAAATTCAAGCAAGCACTGCAGTTAAATCCATGAGGTGGATAAGCTATCAAGGCAGAAGAAACCCATGGCTTTAATTAAAGCCTACTGACTTCTGCTGCAGCTTCTTCACCCACCATCACTTGATTGCTAACTCAGATGGAGCACCACTAGTGACAGTTCAAGGCTCCAGCAAGGCCCACTGGCCTCTGGGATGAGCAGGACCACCACATTCCTCACAGACAGGCCACAGTTGCCACATGGCTACTGCTCAGCACAGGGTTTTGCATGGTACTTAGCAATGAAATGCAGACGGATGCACTTTGAGACGTAAAATCTGTGCAAAGACTTCCAGCTGGGACACGGTCAGATGCCTCCTGCTTGCTTAGCTAGCAGGGGATTTCTTCTGGGGAAACCAGCAGCTCTGCTGTGGTCCCGTGCCTGCAAGGGCTTAGGCTACACGTGCTACCCCTCAATGGGGAGAAAGGCTGCAAGTCAGCTCTAAATCTTTAGACTAAGGCTTTATGACATTCAGAACCATCTTCTCTGTCCTTCTATAGAACACTTAATGAGTGATAATTAATGCAGGGATCGATATGAACCAGGCAACCTGCAGTGCTTTTAACAGCCTACAGTATCGCTCTGTAAGGAATTGAGTACACAAGAGAAGATGCAATAAGGATGGGCATAACATATGAGGTGGACAAGATAAGGGGAGAGGTTATGGTTTCTCTTCTTATTTAGTGAAGAGTTTCAAGCTTTAATCTTGTATTTTAAGCCTTTGCACATCAAGCTGAAATGCAGCTTTGCTCTAATAGTGTGACAGGTGGTAATGGTTATAGGCGGAAAAAAGTACCTCAGGAGTGCCAGTTTTATTTGGAAGGTTGTGTGGTACACGTAGCTATGGAGGCAAAATGAGGTGATGTCATTTGTCTTCTCCAGGGCTTGACACTTAAAGAGTCCTTCGGTGGCAGGAACTAGTGCCCAGACTGCGCTCTTGCTTAGGCTCAAAATGCTACTGAATGACCTCTGCGTTTGCTGCTCTCCAGGAGATTTTATATTTGATATTTACTAGCAATTTAACTTTCCATGGTCTGAAAATATGAAATTATAGCTCTCCATATGCGAGTTAAAAATGAAGCTCACCACAAAAAGAAACAGGAAAATGCCATGCCTTTTGCTCCCAGCTACTTCTGCAAAAACAGAGGTTTTGGTTCTCTCTTAGGCTAGACTTACGCATGTGAAACAGTGACTTGACCAGACCTGCTTCTACCTCACAACTGTACAAAAGAGAGGAGGGATTAAGTCCACATCACTGCTAACGAGAACAGAAATGCCTATTTATTCTATCAGATGGTAGAAAATACAGTGCTTTCAAATAAGCTAAATGGAGATGGCAAACTGCCTGGGACAGCAACCTGATGTTTTCAATAAGCAGTGACTGCACTCGACACAAAATGACAGTCTGGGACTGCAGGGAGAAAATACTTGGTCTTTCTAGTGATAAATGGGTCTTCACAGGACTGTGTGCTCCGCTGTCAGCTCAGTAGCTAGACCAGCTCTTTCCAGACGCATAGTATGACAGTCACAAATTTCTGTCACCTTCCGAAAATGAATGCTACTGCAGAAATAAAAACCCCATTCCTGTACTCTGGGCCCGCTCTTCAATGGGATTCACATGTTACTCAGTGTCATTCTTCCCAGCCCTCAGGGATTTGGCCGATCATCTAAGTCTGGCTCTAACTTGAAATTTTATTTTATATTTGTTTAGAATGAGAAATCCAAGAGTGACAATTTCTCAGATTGCATCATTAACCCAGTCGTCTTTTAAAGCTCTGTTTTTATGCTATGTGGGCAGGACACAAATTAAGCATTGCTTGCTACCCTCATTCCTTACCAGAGCCCCCATGGATGCAAACAGGGAATGGTAAAGATGAGGAGAAAAACCACCTAGCTGCTGCTCAACTGGTGGTAAGCGTTGGTGTGATGAGTTGTGTTATCATCCACAGGACAAACTGCGTAATTTCAGGACATTTCTGTCCCTTCTTTCTTCTCCTTTGCTGCCACTTTCCTCTTGTGTTTTGTTTCCCTTTTTGTCTCTCATTTCTAGCCTTTTAATTTTCTACCCTTCTCATTACTCAACGCAGCTAAGTGAAAGCCCATAGGGAATAAGTTTACACCAGTAAAAACATCAGAGTGTTTAATTTAACTGTGCAGTGCTTTGTGAACATCCCATGAAAAACAATCATTCGTGCCAATCAAAAGTGCTCTGAAAAGGCACAATGCTTAGCTACAAAAATAATTCAACTCGTCTCCTACTTACTGTGGTGACAGGAACGAAGACATTAAGATATAAGCAGTCTTCACTGACAAAGTATGACGGCGCCTCTCCATCCCCTGGTTGCCAGCAAGTTGACCTACAGAAACAGATTGAGAAAATTTCAACAAAAAGTCTTGTACTATTTTTCCACTGCTGCTATTTCCTTATATTTTGATGGATTGTTTAAATTTACAAAAAATCTTTAACTCTGTAATTAACTTTAACTCAATCACATTTAAAATTATGCCCCCTACACCTCAGTAAGAAATAGGCAGGTTTGCAAACATATGTACAAATGCAAATCAAACAACCAACATCAAAAAAGACATCATATTTTTATGACCATAATCCTTCCCTAGGAAATCAGAACCATTTTTAAAAATTAGGACTATAAAATTACCCCCAGAAAGAGAAGTTCTGCTGAGGTAGACTGCACACCTATGCAATCCAGTCTTTTGCTGCAATGCTTTTTTTTTTTTTTTTTCCCTAATGTTCTGTGGCATACGTATGTAAAAATATGGTAAGAATAAAATTTTAAATCATTTTAAAAAATCTGTTTGTCTAGCAATGTTAAAATAGCCTTTCAATAGGAATTCAGCCAGCTGGCCACATGCAGAAAATCATTTTCCAGCCACCATCCATATGATATTCATATACTCAAGATCGCTCCACAGCACGAAGCAAGTGGATGACTTCTGCAGTTCAAATGCAAGCTATTTTGAAGCCAGTTCCATCTCATTCACAGACGTATTTATATCATATAATGAATCATGTAAAAGTGTCATAAATTATTAGGGAAGGAGCTAACAAGAGGCTATGGAAAAGACAGTAATATCTCGCAGAATTATTTCTAATCGTTATTTTTGGCTCCCTTGTAAAATGTCATACTGAAGGTGAAATTTAATTAAAAATTACAAGGAAAAGGACAAGCATTAGTTTAATTCTACAAAGTCTTCCATAAGGGAGATTCTCCCTAAGGTGATGTTACTCAACATCTCTCATACTGCCATAGATAAGCACATATCTCCAACCAAAACTTCTCAAGTCATTTTAGGCAGACAAAAAACAAATCCTCAGGTAGAACCCCAGCTAGGATTACCAGCACAGTGTTCCACAGTGCAGCAGAACTCACCACCCATGCTTACAGCTATTTCTTTAATTTTTGGTATCTCATCAGGAGTCCCAGCACCACCAGCTCCAGGACCAACTCATGCCAAGACTGACTCCGAGGAAAGGCTGCTACCTGCTGAGGCAGGTCCACAGCAATTCCAGCAGCTGGACATTTTAATTTTTATTTTTTGGAAGTCTTTGATCAGGTTCAGGTTGATAAATATTTCTCTTTGGCAATATTCTAATGTGAATTTACTGTATAAAAATATTGTGCAACACCAATATACTAAGAAATATATTTGTCAATACTTTTTGTATACATGGAGGTTGAAGCGCCTGTAATTCTCCAAGCTAAGCTCAAATATATACATATATATTTAATCTTAAATAAATAATGCAAGGTAATAGTAAAGCATTCCACTGGCCTAAGGAAGCACTGAGAATTCAAAGGATAGAAGCTGACTAACCAAGGTCCCTATACTGCTCCTCACTGCAACACCAGGCATTGTCTTCAAAGAGAGGCAATGTAGGCAGATGAGTCTTACCAAAATCCTGGCAGACACTATTGTGTGTCTGCATGCACAAAGAGCGGATGGTGCATGTGTTAACATCACCATGCAGCTGAAGAAACAAAAGGCCACGATCTCACCAGATCCCTCCAACGTACACAGGTCTGTGTGCCTACTGTGGTTATGCTGTTAACACCCCCACAACTCAGGTGCAACCTGAAGGATGAGACCACCAAAGGGCAAATGCTCTTTCAGCTCCCCACGATAAGGCTGTAGGTCTTTTCACTTAGTCTCAGGATTTAACTAGAAACTTCTGGTGACAAGTCCTGAGTAGTGGAGGGACCAAACAGCTTCCACGTCTCTTAAATTTGTAGTTTCCTCAGGATGTGTTTCTACCAAAGCAGTAGTGGGTGATTTATATCAGGTCTGCAGAGTGCCATCCTCCCTCCAAGCTCCCTTGCAAAATCTCTCTCTTCTTAAGCATGTAAGCTTTTGGCCAGATCTGCTAGCTCATGTAGCTTGTCACTGATTATGTACACATGCCTCTCGGTACAGGGATTTGAGCAGGACTGCATGGCCAGCTGTGGCCAGGAGGATAACACAGAATCTCAGTAGACCTCAGGTTAGTATTCACTGTCTTGGAAGCACTTTGGTCAACAAAGCTCAGTTCTTAGCCCTAACTTCTGGAATCCCCTCTAAAAAATGTTCACCAAATCCTTCCATCTGCTTCTCTCCTTTTCACTGTTTTTCTCTTCTTTTCACTGTTCAGTCTGCAGTCTTGTGTTTTTTTTTTTGTTGTTGTTGTTTTGTTTTTTTTTGTTTTTTTGTTTTTTTTTATCATTTTTTTTCCCTTACAGATCTTCAATCTTCCTGCCTGCTAGGGAACAGTCAGCTTTTTAACCGATAGGAATGTGATGAGCTATCAGCTCTCTTGTATCAACTTCCTGTGTACGTGTACAGCATAGCTTGCTCAGGAGTGTTTTGTATGCTCTGTATTTTGCTTTCTATGAGATGCACTATGAGAAAGACCCTTGTTCCTAGCTATTGCCACATTTCTATTTGCTGGTTTTTTTTTGTTTGTTTGTTTGTTTTGTTGTTTTGTTTTTTTTTTAATCCACAGTCCTGAGACATTCCACAGTGGATATATTCTTAGTAGTGTCACTCAAACCCTGTTTTCTTTCATCAAGGAATACACAGTCACAACTTGTTATTTCAGTTTACCAAAGCAGTGGCATTCAGACCCATATCATAAGACTAAATGAAACACAAAATGCACACAAATGCCATTTCCATAATATGTCTCCAACATAAACTTCGTAAACCTACTGAGCAGTGGTGTCAGCCCTGAAAGGCAGAGCTAACCACCAGGAAACATTAGACATAGGGACTTTGGAGAAATTTAGTCCATCCGCTAATGTGGTTCCTATGTCTTGTTTCCCCTTAATGCATTACATAAAATGTTCAGAGCTTCAGTACTTCCAGCCGTTTTTGGACAGAAAAGCCTATTTGAGTCCTGACCTAGATAAAACAAGGCTGAGAATACCTTCATTAGACCACAGCTTCTGGTTAAACCAGCATTAAAGTGCCCATTTGATCCAATATTCTACAAATTTATAGCTTAGCAGGAACAAAATATTATTCTTTGAATATAATACGTACTCAGAATTAAATTAGATTGACAGTATACAGTATGTATGGAGTTATTAATAGATTCAAGGGAATGTACTGAAAGTTGCCTTTTTTCTTCGGTTGCTTGCATGTGTTACCATATAGATAGAGAAATTATTATTTTTGCTAAACATAGTCCCAAAGTTCTATTTATCTGTATGCTACAGGTTCTTTTTGCAAGAAAGAACGTGAATAACTTGCTCATGACTCCAGCTACTTTCCTACACCTGGGTGAAACAATTGCTTCTGCGGATGCTCACAGGACTTCCTTACCGAGCCACAGTAGCGTTCCAGGTTTCCACCCAAGCAAATGGCTCTGGAGGATTGAAGCGTCTCTCTGCAAGGGGAGGTGCAGCGTAGGGAATCCCAAGGAACTGGCTGATATTTCTCCACTCTGAGCCGATGCGCACCACCTGGGATTTGCCGATCAAGTCTCCATGGGATGGAATGTACACGGATGGGGTTAAATCCGATTCAGAGATGGGCAGGAATAAATCTGTTGGATAGTGGGGAGGAACAAAGGAAAAATCATTTTCTTATTTAAGTTAGCATCATTTTATAAATGAAAATAAACAGTTATAAATTCAGGCAAATGGAATTAAGTGTCTAATTCATTTCTGTAAATGGAAGACAGATAGATTTATGTTGTTCTCTCCCTGTAAAATACTTCATACTGTGCTACATGCTAGCTACTGGATACAAACATGTAACTAATGTGCTTTCTAAACACGTTCTCAAACATTTCTTTCAGATTAGATATAACATTAGAATATACACATAAGAATTTTTACAAAAAAAAAAAAAAAAAAAAAAAAAGGTGATTTTCAGATTCTTCCCCACTCCCAACTCTAAAAAGCAAGACACTAAAACTCCAAATATTTATTTCAGGTCAGAGAGAAGAAAGGTTATTATTCATTTGGGCTGTCACCAGGACAGATTTGCATTTCAGTCTCCTTAATTTTAATTGCAGAAAATTAAGAAATATTCCTCAGTTTCATCTATTTTGTTTTGTTTTTAATATATGGATATCAACCATTGTCCATATATACAAATATAAAAATAAAGTTTTCGATAATGCCTTTTATTAAAACAAAGCTAAGTGATACCTGGTATTATTCCACTTTCAAAACAATTATTTGATAGGCAGGAACCAAATTTGAAAGCACAGGACTAAAGACAAAGCTGTTTTCATAAATACACCCAAGCTAGCTTTTGCAACTCAGTCTGTGATTTTGTTTCATTTGATAATGATAAATCCCTTTTTCTCTCATTGAGTTTGAACCTAGAAGCTTCTCATTGATTGTCAGTTCTTCACAGAAACCTTGGTGAGCAGAAAGAAAATATTTCTCCTGTGTCCCCTTATTGTTACCTGGTTTCTCATAAAAGAAATAATCAGTGCTATACCAGAAAAAAGCATTAAAAAAAAAAAAAAAAAAAAAAAAAAAAACAGAACGAACTTTGAGCTCCAAATACGTACATTGCTAAACAACAAAACATTTAGCATTCCACACAACTTCTATTTTTCTCTGAAACTATTTTCAGTCATGTAAAAATGTTAGATGAACTTGATTTTTTGGGGGGTGTTGTTGTTTTTTGTTTTCCTCTAGAAATGGTCTTTAAGACTTTCAATTAACAGTGGGTTTTCAACATTATTTGTGTTATTCACAGCTTTTTGAAAGGAAGAACGTAAAGAAACAGCTACTGCAGATGACAAGGGAGGAGCCTGATTTTCATTAATTATTTTTTTTTGGTTGGATGGCTGGTTTTACCATTCTCCACTTTCCAAAACCTCTTGTATAGACTAAACTATTTTATGCTTCAGTGAGTAACGTTTTTTTTTTTTAATAAAATCTATCCAGGGACAATTTTCCAACCTGTTTGGCTATAATTCCACTAAAACAGCAATGGACACCTGTCCAGGAGACTTCCATAATTCTTTATGTTTACTGAGTATTTCCTTACACTCCCATTCACAAGAATTGTGCTCGGGCCACCACCATTGAGTTCCTTCCATAACCTTAACCTGCTCTTACCTTGTCTCCTGTAGATGTACGTAGCTGGCTCTTTGAGTAAAACCTGACAGTTGTGCCCTTGCAGGCCATGTAAACATGTCTGTGTGTCAGGGTAAAAAAGGCATCTTATTGCTGAAGGCTTGATTTCCAGTGTAACAACTGTACACGTCTGGTTCTTTGAACATGCTGTGAGGTGAAACATGAAGAGACAGAGCAAATAAAATGTGTTCTCAAAGTGTTTTGTATGACATTTATGAGATGCTTAAAAGAAAGGTTTCACAACAGGTCATGCAACAAGGATATGACTAAATTCTAAACTATAGCAATGGGAGATAAAATGTCCCCATAATTCCCAAATGTTTTCCAAAATAGCCAGAGGTTATATTGGCTTTAAAATTGAGCATTACTGCAAGAGAACTGCTTTCATGTGTTTTAAGAGAAAAAAAAAATCTTCTAATAAAGTACTGAGAATCTCAACTGAATTCTTACTGTCTCCAGGGAGCCCCCAGTGAAGGTTCAGGATCAGAAAAGTGACCCTCTTGCTCAACCTACTTTGTACTTGGTTAATGGAAAAGAAAAAAAAAAAAAAGTCACACTGCTCACCCTCATAAGATGAGGACCATTTACTGCAGAATGTGATATTATGAGGATGATCTTCACAGAACTCTCTTCTGTACTACATGGGAACAATAACTTGACTTTTTCTTGTTTCTATCCTTCTGCAGCATTTGAGGATTTGCCATTTATAAACAGCTACAGCGCTTTGCTCTTTAGCCAAACTCCTGATTAAAGAAACTCCCTTTGCTGTTACTGCAGTCCAACTCCTGCTTCATCCCAGCTCTCAGTTAACCTGCCCTCACGCACTATAGCTACAAGTATTATATATACATTATTTAATGGTAGATGGTTCCACCATCTGCCTCACTCATGTCCAGTTACACAACAGTACCCCTTAACCCTTTAAAAAAATAATGGCATCATCCCTTAATTTGCTATTGTATTCTCCCAATTGCCCAATGACTGAAAGAGAGGTCTCTGCGCCCAAGAGGTTTTAAAAATTATCCAACCACTGTATGGCATTTTATGTTTATTGTAACTTTCATTAGATAAACTGTTTAAGTTCCTATCCTAAAATTCAAAACCACTTTGACAGTCTTTAAAATAAATAAAATGAATATACCTATGTTGGTACGGGGTTGAGGGAAAAGAGGAGTAAGGAAGGAAACATTCTTAGTGTTCCATTCTCATGAACCAACATGCCCAGTTATGGTGATTCATTTCTTACCAGATAGACAAAAGTCTTTGGCAGTGGTGAAGTCATTGGATATATCCCTGCTTACTTGCACAACTTCAAAGTTGGAGATAGATGAATCCATGAGAACAGAGGATGCATTTAAGGGTTGCCATATATCCAAATAGTCTGTAAAATGAATTGTAAAAAAAAATAACTAGAAAATTAATAAAAAACAAACAAACAAACAAACAAAAAAGAGGAAAATAATATAGAAGTAAAAGCACTGGGATGTTCTCTAATGAGAGATTTTCACCTTCATTTGCATCAACTGGGAATAAAATAAATATAAAATTAAATGGCTTCTGATTGACTAGATGATCCAGTCACATTTGCAGAAGTCATGTACAGTTAGGTACAAAGGTATTCAGTTACTAAGGAGGTAAACTGGGAGCAGTTCTGTCCAGGTCTTAGGCATGCAATTCCCAGTGATTTAAATAAAAGGTATCTGATCAAAACTTACAGGTATAATTACATTAAAGGGCACAGGTCCTAATGCTGCCACACAAGTGCCTGAGCACGCATAGTACCTAACTCCTCTGAAAACAAGTAGACATCCAGCATGTGACAGGACACTACCAGAACCTCAAGCAGACATCCAGGTCTACATCTAAAACAGGAGATTGTGTCCTAAGGTAATCTCAGTCTTAATCACCTACAATTTAAGTGTCTACATCTTAGTTAATTACACAAGACTCCTTTTATTGTGAGGTGGAACAGCTAGTTTTAGGATACAATATCTCCATCCTGGTTCAGATGTCCATGATGTCTGTAGAGGGAAACTCACTTTAATAGCTGAACAGAGATGTCTGCATTGCCTGTATAAATCTACATTCAAACAGCAAGTCCTGACCTTACAGACTAAGTGAAAATAAGACAAGAGTTTTTGCAAATGTTATTGTTCATATTTTCTTCCTTTACAAACGATCAGCAAAACTCCCAGAAAAGGAAATGCAATTTTCACAGATTTACAGGTGTTTCTTTTTAAAGCCACGAGGATTGTTTTGATCATTTTAGTTGGATTTCCTAGACAGTTAAATTAAATTTTATGAACTTTTCTAATGTCACATAAAAGCTACATAATTAAAAATTCATTCAATTTTACGCAGATATGTTTATACACACGTATTTATATACAGACATGCATATTCACATATACATATATACATATGAATATATATGAACATACAGATTGACACTAGTATTCTTCAAATTCATCATATTTTGACTCACAATGAATTTCAAAAAAAAATACATTTTCTCATACACAAACAGATGAAAATATCTACAAGCTGTCAATTTTGCACACACAAGTTTTAAAAAAAAAAAAAAAGCTCAGAAAAGAATGTCTTTAATTATTTTAGTTCCTCTCATTTCAATGTATTTTAAAAGCCAAAGGGCCCTCTGCTGAGTCCTAAACAGGAGGCTGGCATTACCCTCTGTGTAATTGTAGGATGAGGACAGAGCTTAGTCAGCTACTACCTTGCTATTCTTGGTAAGCAGACCTTGTCCTGTTGCTTCAGTTCATTTACCACACAGATGCAACAGTTACGATGGTTCATTTCATTAAAGATTTCTTTTAGTCCTGTGAAAAACGGGTAACTTGCAAAGTTTCCTTCCTCTCCTTGCAGAGACAGCTGCTACCATGCCACTCAACACCAAATCTGAAGCTGGGGTCTCACAGAAGCAACCCTTGCAACCTCCTACTATCCATGTGATCTTTCTATTCATTTGCACTCTCGCTCCTGGAGGGAGCACTCAATCTCGGACCAGATTCATACCGATGACTTCTAGTATTGCCCCTTTCCAATCCTCTGCCCCACTGAACCCAGATGCAGATAAATGCAGAAAGACTAATGCTTGTTTTGATATAGAGTAGGACTCTGATGCAGAGCCATCCATGGCACCACCGGGGGCAGATATTTGTTGCAAGAAGACATTTTACCCATCGGTTGTTTCCTTCCTCCCTTTCCCCCATCTAGCAGCAGATACAGCAATACCCACAGGCCACGCACACCCACTTCATTATGTGGACAAAACAGAGCTTTCTACATAGCTGACCTAAACTTGCCTCATCTAGAATTTGCTTTCACAAGGTATACAGCTTCAGCCTGGCACTGCCATACTGAAAATATATAATGCACCTGATGGGCTGGAACACATTTCTGGTTTATATATAGGTTCAGCTCTGCCTTTCCAAACCACATTTTGGCAATTGCTTTGATTGGATAATTGCAGTACTCTGAATCCAGCCAGCCCTGTAACTTTTATTGCAAAATTATAAATGTCCCATAAAGAGAACTTCTCTCTTCCAGATGTTCTTGTTTGGATAGGCAAGGTTTAAGACTGGATTTGCAAAAGGTCTCACACTGGTCTTACTCTCTTCCCACTCAAGTCAGAGGATCACAAGACTGAAATAGATTTCCTGGGGGCACAGAGTCCAGCCTCCCACTGTCACAAGCAATTACATTATAAAATCCCCTTCATAAAGTCAGCAAAACTTCCATCACTGACTGAAGTGAAGGCAAAGAGGGGTCAGTTCTCAGTTTGCTGGAAAATCTGACATTTCATACAAGGAAACAGAGATACAGAAGTGCAATAACATAAGTTAAATTTAGAAGAAAATTCATAAATGTGAGGAGATACGTAAGTCAGACTAGGTTAACATGAAATTAAGGAGGTACATAAATCAGATTTTTTTGGTCCACTATGCCTGATTTATTTTTGAAGATAAATTCTGATTTTAATTCTGAAGTTCATAAGCCATATTTAATAGCCCAGACTCAAGTAAAAAACATGCTCACAGACTGAACTCAGTGCTTCATATCCTTAGAAATCAGTGGGTTTTTTTGTTTGCTTTTTTTTTTTTTTTTTTTCCAATGAAGGTTGTGACCCTGCCTGTTTAGCAACTATCTCTGGAAAACATGCATTGCCAACTCAGAGTGGACCTGCAGACAATGTAATTTTAACATATAGTCACTTCCCATTTTTGTCAGTCCACTGAGATTTGAATAATTCAAAAGGAACCATTTTCTTAAAACTACTGCATAATAACTATAATCACACTTCAGACAAGCATGTTCAGAACTAACAAATGAGTTATTTATGGCCTTTAGCAGTGAGCAATTGTGCTATGCTGATGTGAAATGCAAACTTTCTGCCTCCTTTGATACTGCCAATTATAGCAAATGGTATAGAACAGTAATGTAATAATATAACTGTACCATATACTTATCTAGGTTCAAAATAACCTTTTAAAAAAGGTTAAAATCCTCTTGGTTACAAACAATTAAAACAAATTTAAGACCAAAGATAATAATTCTACACCAGAGTTCCAATACGTTGTACATAGGCACAGCAGACCAGTTTCTAGGAATGGATGAAAAAGGCTGTCTGTGTTTCAACACCAAAGATCCCTCTGATACATTCTCAATATCGTAGGGAAAACAGAAAAACAAATAATGCTATTAATCATCATCCATATCCATACTTGTTAGAAAAAAAAAAAAAAGAGAGAGAGAGAGATTTCTTAGTCTCACAAGCAAGACACAAGTTTCTGGGAAAGGTAGTCAAGTACAGGGATCTTCACCTTAACTGCAAGCAGCTTTCAGATGTTAACCCAAAGAACAATATTCGTCTTTGAAGCTTTCAGACTGCTCCAGAGTTCTGCTTCTCTAGGCAGCAGTTGGTCACAAATGTACTTGTGGTCTCAAGAAAGCCACAGGGAAAAAAATGAATGGAAATCTGTTGTTCTAACCCCCTCCAAGCTTTCCATTGTCCTCCATCACCTCACTGAGACTGGTATGGATCTTCAGGGAAAGTTCAGTTCAGCTGACTGCATGCTACAGCACCTATACTACTGTGAGCATCCCTGTTGAGACTGGAAATACCTTATGTGCTGAAATATCCTGATGGGAAATTTATTGCCATGTGGGAAAATTCTGTAGCCACTGCTCAGTCCTGCATCGAGGGAATTATGATAATCATTGAGGGATCACAGAAGGAGGAAACAGGAAGGATCTAACAGATCATGACATCCATATATCTTGGTGGTTTCTCAATAAATTACTTAATTTGGGTGGAGTGGAAACTGAGCCGATATGATCCCTCCACGTGTTTCGGTATACATTCTCTGGTCACGTGCAGAGACCAACGGTCATAATCTACTAGCAGTTGCCAGATCAAAGAAAAGTAGCTCTATCCTATTTAAAACTGAAGAATCTGAAGACACAAAGAGTCATTAAAGTTTAGATAAAATCTGATAATAAAATACAAAAGCAGAAATTATACAACAGTCCCGTTTCTCCCTTCTGCATACTCATGAATATTTGCAGGCTCTTCATTTTAAGTACAAGTAATTTTCTAAAAATACAGATAAGAAAGTTCATAGACCCTTTACTTCTTTCAGTCTAAGTTATAAAGAAAAAATTTTCTTCAGCTCAAACACCTCTGCCGAAATTGTTTGAATAACAGTACTATACAACTGTAGGATACCAAGTAATATAAGATTTATCTAGAAAAAAAAAATTCTTATCTTTCTGTATCTTCAAGTGACTGCAGAAAGTTCCATCTCACATCTAATTATGAGACCTGGCTATTTTCTCAATTACTATAACATTTCTCCATATTCACAGGACTCAGCAGAGTTCTTAAATACTAGCATCAGTAAACCAAGACCGCAACATGACTATCTTAGCATTTTCAGCATGGGCAATCTTAAAATAATAGCTGTCCTCCCATCTTTAAAGGTCACAGATCATACCTGAAACTAGCCACAGATGGTTCCATACTCACTGTCATCACAGCACATTAGCTTCTTCAGGGGAAAAAATGTTCCAAATGTAACAAGTAGGACTTTCCCAGTTTGTTCAATATAAGTATTTTTCAAGCATTATTTCTCAGCCAACAGAAAATGTGCAGTAATCATAACACAAGAGCCAGAGCATGCTCTGCTCCATGTGATACAGAAATCAAAGTATACAAAACTAATATTTATTATTTAGTTAAATATAACACATTCTGTGAGATATACTACAGATTAATGACGAAGGTGACTTGGAGAATTAATCCTGATGTCAAAAACGGTATTGAAAGAAGATAAATAGACAAAGAATAAGGAAGCAATAGCAAAAAAATCAGGCAAAAGGCACAAACCAAACCTCAGTGTACACCTTGTCTGCCTCCTGGCAGATAACACTGACTTTTGGGCCATAAACATTTCTTTTAAGGAGTGTTCTCTAGCCTGGCTATTCAAGGGAAAAGATGAACAATTTTGACAGTTTTTTGTTTGTTTGTTTGTTTTAATCTAAGAATGACACTTTAACATCTCCAGGGAAAGGAGATTCCACTAGCTTTCCAGTGATGCTCAAATTTGAAGTGACATCCTTCCATAAGGGTAGAAATGGAGAAACTGATATTCAACAATGTTGCCTCTGGTGGGATATCCAGAATTCCTCGAAATACCTTACAGATACATAAGCCAGCAAACCACCAAAGTAAAGACAGCAAAGGAGCAAATAGTCCTATTAATTTGAGCTAGAAAAGCTGAGGCATGTGTGAATGTGAGAGACCTTTTTTTTCCAGGATGAGTGTTAAAACAGCTTTTTTGTACAATTGTTAAGTGAAGGTCCTAGCCAGTTTTCAGATAGATCTAAAAGACAACTTGATAAAAAAAAAGACAGTTTTGATCCAAGATGCAAGTCTGCCCATTTCTCCAGCCTGTTGAGGTCCCTCTGAATGCTAGCACACCCACCTGGCACCTGGTCTGTAATCCATGTTTCCAAGCTTTTTATTACCTAAAAACTCACTGCAAAACTCAAAAAAAAGACACCCTCATTCACTCTGACCAAATGTCCAGGTCATTACTGAAGATGTTAAACAACATGTTATGTGAGATTGCATTTACAGCCTTGCTGAAGTCAAGATCAAGAGTGTCCACTGCTCTCCCTTCATCCACTTAGACACTACGTGATCATAGAAGACCATCTGGTTGGTCAGGCATGATCTACCTCTCATACAACCACACTGACTACTCTTAAGCACTTTCCTATTTTTCACTTATCTGGAAATAATTTCCAGGATCTGTTGCTCTATCATCTTTCCAGGGACTGGGGTGAGGCTAACTTGGCCTATAGTTCACTGGGTACTCCTTGCCCTTCTTGAAGACAGGAGTTTGCTTATCTCCTGGCCTCAGAAACCTCTCCCCATCACCAGGATTTTTCAAAGAGAATGGCCTCCCAATTACATCAACTAGCTCCATCAGCACACTTGGATTCATCCCATCAGGCCCCACGGGCTTGTATGTCCAGCTTGTTCCCTAACCTGATCTTACCATGCTAAGGGTAACTCTTCCTTGCTTCAGTCTTTCCCCCTGGTCTCAGATTGGGATTGCTGAAGCTTTGACTTACCAGGAAAGATTGATGTTAAGAAAAAACAAAGTACTTCACCCTTTTCCATATTCCTTACCTTCAGATCCCATTCAACATCAGACCTTCATTTTTCCTACTCTTTACACTGCCCATAACACTTGTAGAAGTCCTTCTACAAGGCTATTTCCATTGTTCTATGTTCCTTCATGCCATTAACCCTCTATCAAGAAGAAAGATGAATAAAACAAGTGAAGCATGTACTTCCCATGAGACCGAAAATAAGCCTGCTAATTTGGGTATCTTTATAATATGTCAGATGCTGAAAACATGACAGATTTGGAATGGAGTAATGCTCTGTACCCCGACTCCAAATGTGAGGAAGCAAAGTGCTGGAAACTCTGTCCTGAGCACTGCAAGTTGGGTAGCAAGAAAGGGAGGTAGCCAAATGCATTAACTGTCCTTTAAAATATAGGCTTTACCTGGGTTTCAGTAAACTTGGACTCTACATCGAATATAATATTAACTTAGCTATTTCACAGAACCTTCTGGAAAAGTATTCAAGTATCTTTCTGATCTTTTGATGAAAAGTTCTCTCTCTATATATATATGTGCTTTAATGCACACGCAAAACATGCACACAAGAATGTCATTGGGCAACGATATTTTCTCATGCTCATCATCTGGCTACCACACTCACAGAGGACAGTAACAGGGACAACCACCTGCCTCTTCAAGAAAAATCTCTGTTCACTTGGTTGGTTACACAGACTTCTGCAAACCACAGACTTCACAAGTTGCTTTGTATTTGGAAATATGACCTGGAAATGGGTGTGAGAGAAAGAAGGTTTTTACTAAGGGTAAGATGAATACCTAACTTGCTGTGGTTAAGTTCTGGACAGCCGTGGAGTGAAAATCAGATGACTGATAAAGGTTAATTTCCTTCAGTGTTGCTTAGTTCATTATTTTCCTACTTAAACACACACACACCAATAAATAAATAAATAAATAAATCACAAAATGTGTACTAAACAGAGAGGGAAGAACAAAGCTTTAGTAAAATAGGTTTCTGTTTTTCCCCGACTTTGCAAAGGAATAAAATTGTCCTACCTACGTGCTACCCCACTAGCTTTTCCCAGCATTTCTCTCACACACAAAAAGCTTTCTGCCTACTTATAAGAATAGGGGTTTTCCTTTTGCTACATTAAAGAGATCATTAAAAAATCATAAATTCTACTAACAAATACGAATTTTCTGAACACAAGCATAACTGGTAATCATAGATAAGATGATAAAATAGTTAATAATAAATTCTGAACTTGATGTTGAAAATGTTTTGCAAATATTAACCACGTCTTGCAAGGCCTGTTGCAGCTGGTTTAAGGAAAAGTGGAAAAACAAGAAAATCAGTAAATTAAAAGATTTGTTCATGATAAACAGGTAATCAAGGGCAGAGAGATGGATGAGACTTTGCAATTTCAGTCTAACCCAAAGATTAAATCAAGTTGTATAATGACTAGTCAACCTGCTTCCTTTCTGTTAAACACAGCATTTAGTAGATATGCTGTGTATTTATGGAAAGGATGCATCAGGGAAGCATGTAGCTCTTGACAATTTGCATATGTTTTTAGGGTGCAATAAACACACAGCCCTGAAACACAGTGGTTAAGTTTCATTTATTAAGAGGATCCGCCCACTTTTAAAATAACACATGCAAGTATCATAAGATTTACTGCAAGACTGAAATAACTTTTCTTCCTCATAAAAAAAAACAGTACCATAGCACTTTACAGCATCTCTTAAAAAGTGGGACCCAACACATATCTGAAATACGACATTTCTTGATATCCAGTTCTGAATAAACTTTGAGATAATATTCTCACCCTTGTGGAAAACTGTAAGCAATGGCTGGAATTTATCATTCTTCTACATAAATTCTAAATGAATTTTTCGTGTCATTCTCTTGTTTTTTAAACAAAAAGCTTTAAAGGGGAAAACTAGATTAGATTTCTTTGCATCCCTATTGCAATTGTTTGCATTCCTCTGAAAACTCATTGTCACTCCTCACATTCAGGAAAATCTTCAGCACATATTTACAGCAACTTATGACAATTTGTCTAATCTGGCATTCTGCCCTTGCCATCCTGGTAAGCACCAGACACTTCAGGGAAAGTGCTAGAAACCCCACAGCAGTCAACAATAACGCAATAACCAGCTTTTTAGGAGGTTTCCCTTGACAGAGCATTTCTGCATTGGCCACTGAGCTACAGTGTGAACACTCACATCCATTGAAAGTCTGCATATATAAACTGCATATATAAATGACAAATTTCTTTGTCAATCCTGCCAAATATTTTGGCTTAGTGACCTTGTGGCAGTAACCTTGAGATATATTAAACCAGCAGTCAGGCTGGAAAAAATTCTTCCCTATAAATGATACATGACTAATAAAAAGAATACATACAGCACCTGAATGAATAAACTCATGGGAAAAACAACCACCACTTCATTATAGTCTGATTTTTTTTAGGAAAACATACAAAGTAGATAATGTTTCCTTGTTTGTTTGTTTTTTGACTTAATACAGGAATTCACTTACCAGTTTCTGGCCTGAAAGGTAAACTAACAGATGGACACAGGTTAGGGACGGCATTCGTCCAAGTCAACTAAAAGTAAAAAAATAAAAATATATATATATATATATGAACAAAATTACACTTGAAGGTTTAAAATGTAATCAATACCTCAGTATTTCCCATATCATTTCTGAGATCTGAATGTTGCATCTTCTCACCTTAATCACCAAGAATAAGAATCTGAGCCTATTCTGCAATCTCACCCTTTTTGGTTTGTACATGAAATCAGACATCCCCCAATTTATGTATTTATAAACATTGCTACAAACACTTTGCAAAATGCAGTTATTTATGATTAACTCATTTCAGTAGTTTTGCTTTTTTTTCCATGCCCCACTCTGTATTTGGTTTCTTGAATCAGAAGAGACATGATATTTTCTGTTTCCTGATTAGCAAACTGGAATTTCTCAAAAGGAGAATTAGGAACAAGACAGTTTCCAGCAGGAAACTTTTCAAATTAAAATTCAAATAATTATTCATATTTTCCACATATGAAGCTTCTCAGTTGCTAACATTTCCTTAAACATTTTGCAATCTTAAGTAACAAATAATATCTTGCCCTCATGCAATCATATTATGCAAAACACTTCAACTAATCAAATGAGTTATAAATCCTCTACTATTACCATGCAACAGATGCTGAAGATGAATCTGATTTTTCGCTTCTTCCACTTTGTATTGTCCATGCATGCAACCAATACAAATGTCTAAATGCTCACGATTTTTACCACTCTCATTGACATTAGGATCCTGCATATAGCCCTAATTCTTCACTATCTCTTTGAAATGCTACTGTGCATACACCATTTACTGAACTGCAACCATGACTGTACATACCTAGATACATTGCTCACGAGCAGAGCTGTACACATGTAAACATATTATGAAATGCAGAGACACGAGCACTTTCCTACAAGCAGAAGATGGGGAATAAAACTAAAGACCCCACCTCGTAATAAGTTCCCACTACATACTGTAAATTCCTCCTTCAGATTTCACTCATTCTCCCTTTCAGCCTGAGTCTTCTTGTTCCTCTTCCTGGTTCCCAGACCCCCAACACACCAGCACAACTGATACAAATTTTTGTCTGCAAATATCTTTATTTGCATACACATCTGTGCCTTGGTCTGTGTTATGGTGGAAAAACATCTGAAGCTTCCTCACTACATAAGGAAACATCACCGTTTCTCCTAACGCTCTCCCTTTTGCATATGCCATGGCCTTCTCTTCATCATTCCTCTGTCTGTGAAGCAAGAAGCATCCTTTATTTTTAGATGTTTCTTTATCAGTGAGAGAAAAAAGTATTCCAAGAAGTGCAAGTGTATCTACGTGTCTGCCGACTCATCCTCTTCTCTTTGCCTTTCTACCGCTCTTCACTCTTCTCTCCTAGTCGCGTCTCAGCTCTTCGTGCCCACAGGCTCCTGACACTGTCTACCTAATCTGGGCTATTGTTTCCCTCCTATCATGCTAAACCCTCAGACTGCCCTCCGCAAGCCCACACACCGAGAATTTAACAAATCCTGTGAGCTTTCATGACAGTTCCTCAACTCTGTGCTGCATCTTCTCTTTAGCAAGGGTTGCACCACTAGAGGAAGAAACTGATGTTCTAGTGGGCAGAGTGCCACCGTGGGGCTTCAAATGTTCCAGAGCAAGTTCATATTTCAGACTTCCAGTGAGAATTAGGGTTTTATTTAAGTTACCAACACTGAAAAAATGAAGTGCATTACAAGGACATCTGATTTAGCTCTAAAGGAGATGTACTGGGCATTATATACCCACACTGTATGCCTTCCCTTTCTACTCAGATATCAAAATCCTTCTCGACTCTACAACAAATCAGGGAATTTAAAAGCAGTAAAAAAAAAAAAAAAAAAAAAAAAAAAGCTCCTAATTACTGTCATTTGGCTCAAATTGTTTCCCTGATTCTGCCAATATCACAAGACCTGACCTCATGTGGCCTATAAGAAGTAGGAAGTCCAGTGTCGTTCAGTGGACTGTCCAGCCAACCAAAGCTTTCCATGCATTTCTTCTCTGATCTCTACAGAACTCATTCCTCTCAGTGTTTTAGACCAGAGACATTTCAGAATTTATGAAATTTTTCCTCTAAATCATCATATTGATGTTCCAAAATGTCTCCCACAAAAACTAAATAATATTCTCTTATGCCAGATTAGGCCAAATATAGATTCTGAAGAAAAAAATAAATAAATAAATCCAAAAAATAGGATCTGATGTGATACAGACCTTCACTAACTTTTGCAGCCCTCTTCAGAATACCAATTATCTTAATGAATAGTTAAATAGCTGCTCTGAAATGCACATTGCCTCCACCCTATGCTTTGCAAGATGCTACAATGTTTGTTATGAACTATTCTTTCACATCAGAGAAACAATAAGATATTTTGCTTTGTAAACTTCTTTCCTTTTCTTCACCCAATTCACAAAAGATGTTAATCATTAGAATAGTAACTCTAAAAATGGTAAGTGAAAGCCATTTAGACATTTGCTGTCCATGGAGGTGTTAGCTAGAGAGGACAGGAAAATAAAATTTGCACTTCATCCAAAAATGACCATTCTACAGTGGCATGGTTACTACTATGGGCAGTCTTCAGTTTGTGCTCAGTTCCAACATGGAATGTGATGAATTTTATATAGGTATATATATATTGTTCTACTAGCACAGATGAAATAATGTCTTTTCCTATACTGAGATATGATAAAAGATATTTTCATGATAGCTGTCAGCTTAAAATTCTGTAACAAAACCAAACCTTTGAAGCAACCCATCCACACACATTGTTAAACCATAAGCCAAGCAGAGAGAAACAAAGAATGATTTCTTGACCAGGACTGTGAAACAGAACAGAATATGTTTGGAATTGGAAGAATTGGCCACAATTCTCCCATTCAACCTGAGAAATTCTATAAAGGTATTCCTATTCCTTATCTTTAATATTTGAGATTAAAATATACTTTTCTTTCCCTCATACATACTTGTCTGCCTTGTCTGTTTTATGTGTTTGCAAATGGGTCTGTCACCTGAAAGCTGAAGCTTCTGTGCATTGAAGCTAATTAAGAGGATCCGACATGCAGATACCAGCTGGCAGGGCCACATGCTCTGCAATACTTACCAGGCTTTTGATACCAGCCAAATGGATGTATTCTGACTTCAGCATCTGGCAAACTACAACCTGAAATTTGCCAAGCACTTCTTGATTCCTCAGCACATGTCTGAATTCCTAGGCTGTTCAGAGTCAGGCACACAATCTTTCCTTCTGCCAAGGAAATAAATAGTTATAGAAATGAGGAGGAAAAATTCCCATGTTAACAATTTGCATGTTAAAAGAAATTCCACTGACTTGGAAATTAAATGGAAATACCTAAAACAGGCAACATTTTACCATTAGTGAAAATCCTGTCCCTAAGTCATAGTCTTTTCTTTTGAGCAAGCAGTCCATTCTGATTAATTCAATCTTGAAAATTAAAAATCTGTATGTATATTGAAACATAGCTCCTACTTAAATCAAAGATCAAAATTATGCCTTTAAAAGAGCTAATACAAATATTTTTCTACCTAAGAATTTTTGGCTTTGAAACACAAAGTTTCATTTAAGATTTATTCTAATTCATGTGAAAATTGCAACTGAAATTCATATTGAGTACAGCACTAGATGTCTGAAATGCTATAGATAATAAATATTAATCAGATTAACAAAAAGGTGTCAATTTAACTATGTTTAATGCTTTACAATCCTTAATTTATTTTTAGAACTATTTAAAGAAACTTAAACTTGTACTCACTTAAGTGGAGAGAAAGAAAAGTGTCTTTAGAATAGATCTTAGACAACCAAAGCCTTTAATGATTCTATAAGTTGTGTTTATGTATGCCTCTGCTGACTATAGAAAGAGCATAGGTCAACAGTACCCTTAACTTAGCCATCTCAGGTAAACAAAATATGCTTGTTTGAGTTTTCAGAGACTCTCAGGTCACACACACTATTAAAGACCTGATTTATTCCATCTAATAGAAATGCTAACTTATGTTACCTAGATGTCTTAAGACTTAAGATAGCTTAAATACTAAGGGGTTGAGTACAAGCAAATTGCAACCCTCCCCAACCACTCTTCCTCACATAGAGAAACAAAATTTGGAAGAAGAAAAGTTCAGAAATATAAGAAAACCAAAAGTCTAAGCTCCCCAAAGTGCCCATGGACACTGTGTGCTTAACCTGCATTTAAACTCAGAGATATTTAGGTTTCTTATTGAGCTATCTTAGGCCTTAAAAAGAAATAATGAAACAACAGAAAATTTCACTAAAAGAAGTTGACCAGTATAATTGGAGAGGTGCTGATAAATAAGAAATAGCAGTTTCCTACAGTTTTATCAATTTGAGCATCATGCTTTTGGAACTGCCCCCTCTTAAGGACTCATTTTCCTAGTAATTTCTGCTATGGTGAATGTGTCATTGGGCTGAACTTCTAAGGAACAGTTGAGATCACTAAAAAATATGTTAGAAAGGGTTGGGTAAGATCTGCAAGGGTTTTTAAAGTTGCAGCTCATAGGAAAAGGATGGTAAAGTTTGTAATACTGAAGATTTTAAATATTTATTACAGTAATAATAGTGAATAAATACCTGACAACTGGGAGTCATTAAAAAAGCCGAATCCTGTGCAACAGGGGTCAGCATCACACCAACGCTCACACTCAGAAAAACTGGGAATAGAAAAACACTATTACTTTTTGTATCATTAATAATTTTTCTCTGTCCCAGAGAAGGGGAGATAGGATATTGCATAGGGGAGAAACACCAAGAACCTGTAGAGATGCTCTGCATGATAAGACTGCCTCATGTTTCTTCATACTGCATAGACACTTCCACGGATTTCCATTTTTTAGATGAAATTACATTCAATTAGTATACATCTACCAGACTACATCTAATAATTTACATGAATATTTTGATAACTGCCCTAAAAGTATCAGCATAAATTTATTTTCTTCTAAGAGATTTAACTGGCCAAGCAGCAATTTATGAGAAGTACTAAATCACACAAATATAATTCATAATTACACACCTTATTACTTATACCTCAGTTATAAATTTCCTTTAAATCATATGCCACTTTTTTTTTTGTTAATTATTCTCACATAATGCTGTTTTTGGAACATCTGATCCTGTTCATCTGCATACCATTGCCTTGGTATTTCAGGCATCAGTTAAAATGCAGTAAAAGAAAAGAAATAGTCATGTCATACCCATCTGAAACTGCTTTTCTGCTCATGTCAGGTCTTATTCCTCACTGAGATCCCCATTACTTTCTGGAATGGTACACGTGTGTAGAAGCTCTTCACAGAAGCTTTTCAGAGTGACTGGACAAGAAAAGAAAACCAAAATCAGGAAAAAATCACCTTTTCTTTCTAATTTACGTATACTGGTCAAGTAATGACATGGTAAGTATAAACAGTAAACATTGGATAGTTAAGCCTAAAGATGAACAAAATTCCAAGTGAAGTCTCTAAAACTTGAGCAAAGTATTCTGCCAAGGAAAGACTTCTAACTAAGGACTTCAGTTTTGGATCTATATTGGCATTAATACATCGTTTTGGTACAAAAACTGGATCATAGCTCCAGATGGGAAGAATCCAAGGTGTGTGCTCATGTATTATTTAACCTGTGCTGTACTTTTGGCTCCCCCAAAAGTCACTGTTTAATCACTGAATTCAGTGGATCTCTACTTTTTTTTCTTTTTTTTTTTCCTTTTTTTTTTTCCCAGCAAATGTATAGCTTCCTGAAACAGGCTTATTTGTCTCAGTTTCCTCATGTGAGCCATATAAGAAAACTGCTGAAGTTCCCACACATTCTAAGAGTGGAGGTTAGAATCCTTGTCTATAACACTGGATTTCTTTTTTTAAATAAAAAATAAAAATATACACTCAACAAGAATGCATTTAAATAAACATACTTGCTGTATTGCTTTACTACCATGGAAATTTTGATGGTAGAAAATGGAATTTTTGTCATCCCTATCACTGTCTGGTTTTACCCACATTATAAAAACACCTAATACCTGAGACACAGATTATTTGAGCTACACTTGTCCTCTCTCAACTGGGAATATCCAAGGCAGAGAATTAAACTTGTAGTTAACATCACTGAAGTGTAAATCACCAGCACTTTGAAGAAGACACCACTCAAAGAACTGCTAAATGCAGAAATGAAAAGTCACACCAGAACACCCTGGCCTTCACTTGCAACATCACTTCCCAGCACTAATTTATACATTCAGACTCTTTTTTTTATTTCCCCTCAGAGTCAAGAGTCAAAATACCAGCTTGCATTGCCAAGGTTACAGCACACATACATACAAATCCCATAACCTACCTATTTTTTGATACAATGCCTGTGGTTGCCAGGGTAGGACGATACGACAGTTTTCCGGTATTTGATCAATGCTGCCATCACAAATTTGTGCTGCTGGATACAAGGTACACACAAAGTATGTGTCTGCGGCATTCTGAAGATCTGCCATTTGACAAAATTCATCTTCTTGTGCACAACCTAGGAGGCAAAGTCACTAAACTTTAGACACACTAGGGTTTCCTTCCTCTCTCTTCAGTGTACTTAATGCTATCAATCAGCAAACAACTAAAAGTGAAAATTTCAATATTATTCTATTAAAGTGCAAGAGAAATGGGAACAGATTCTGTTTCTAGTTACAATGAAGAGCAAATTTACTTGGAGAGCACAGAAAAGGAGCTATACCACAGCTGATTGGAAAGATATCTTCTTCAGCTGTGACAAGCGTTAGTTCAGTCTATTGGTGTCACTGACACTGTGACTTGAAGATCTGTATTTTTTTTTCTTTTTAGTAAATTCGACATACAAATTGTATAATCAAGAAAATCTCTGTATCACTTGTTGATCTCTTACTTTAAAGAATAAAAAGGACAATAAAGTTATTTATTTTCTAAAATGTTTTATGAATTGTTTGCAAACAATTCCTGAAATGTTCATACATAACAAAAATAAATATAACTTTTCCAGAATTGACTGTTCAATGCATTTGCTTGCAAAAATTTGCATTGAAATTTGCTCCAAGGTAATAAGGCGCTTTCAGAAAAGAAACAGAGTAGTCAAACCCATTTCTTAATTGCTGTGGCAATGACTTCTGTAAGCATGCGTGTCAATGATTAATTTTAGACAGGCATATCTCTACTGACTTCTTACAGTGATCTTTGTGCACTGTATAGTGCTCTCACTTCTGCCTTCCTGGTAATCAGAGCTAGAAATTCTTCTCCATTTATCATGGCAAAATATATATCATTAACCCCAAAACATCTGTATTTTTCCACTAGTTGGAAAATTATATTTCAAGAATAGAAAAGTATTGCCTATGCTGCCTCATCTTCTACTACTCTTTCCCATAACATATTTATAGAATATTAATAATTATTATAGAATCTATTATAGATTCATAGAACCATAAAGGTTGGAAAAAGACCTTCAAGATCACCTAGTCCAACCATGAATGATGGGTACCCTTTCTGCCACAGTGGATGATAATCATGAGGTGGCCCCAATAGCAAATTCAAACAAGGTGACTTCCACGAACATTTTGTGGTTTTCCCCTGAAAAATATCTAAGTCTAGAGTTTATTATTATAATTATTATATTAGAATTATTATAATTACTATTATTAGAATTATTATAATACCAGTAAGGAGATAATTAGCTGAAATCTTTCTATAGAATACTATCCTACAGAATAACTATCTGCAAGATATCTTACGTGTGAGACACCAAAGCACCGCTTCCTCCGCTGAGTACTTCTGCCTGAAAACCCAGTACTGCTGGTAAGGAATGGAATAGTTTGGGTTGCTTCGTATCTGGCTGTTGTCCATTAGGTAGAAAAGATCCTTTGTAGAATCTGAGATTCAAACAAACAAACAGCTCAAGCCCACAAAAATAAACTGAGTTATGGTCTGGAATAAATTAAATTTATTTACATATAAAATTTTGTCTTTCTTTCAAGTAAAGCAGCTGCAACCATTTTGTAATGACAACATCACCAAAGGTTCCAACCTTTGGTGGAATAGTCCAACCACAATTACTGATGTCTGTGTAGGCAATGCTTCCTTGTCAAACTGCACCGAACAACATAGCATTGCCAGAATAGTTCCACCACCAAAAATAAATAAATAAATAAATAAATAAATAAATAGAAATCACAGCTCCTAGAAATAAGGTGGCTCTACTCTGTCATGCAACACATCCGTCTAACAATGAAGTATGGTTTCTCAGAAGACGTTTATAATATCTTGATCAATCTAGTGTTATTTATCCAAAATGCAGCAGTTTTCTTAGTTTCCTTATATTTCCTTGGGAAGCTATTACACCTCTCAGTTACAAGTTTTCTTAACAAGCTTAATATCTATTTCAGGTATTTAATTGTATTTCTCCTCATTTATGTTCCCACTGACGATATTAAATAACTCCTTTGTCTTCTGCCTGTGATCTTTAAACATGTATACACTGCTCTGCATCTCTTCTGCTCTCTCTGAAACAATCACAGGTAGTTCAGGCTGTTGTAAAATTAATCCTTTTAAATAAGGGTCCTACAACAATATTCAGAGATATGGACACTCTTCACTGATCTCTTGCAGATTTCTTCACAAACACCTTTCTATTTATGAAATGTCATCAGCAGGTCTCATCACCAGGTATTTTCTGGTACTCCAGCATTGTGAGAGTTTCTTGCTGTTTAGCCATAGGTGAAATTGAAACAGCCAGACAAAAACGAATACAGAAAATCAAAGACATATAACTGCAGCTGAAATACTGAAGAATGTACTGACATGCTATAAGTGCACAATCATTTTGCATTTCTATCAGAAAACAGAAAAGAAACATTACCATTTGCTCTAAGCACAATCACCAAGTAATTAAACATTCTGTAGCCATTTTCCTAAATGTATCCATAACTTTTCTGAGAAGGTGATTTATAAGTCTCGTTACCTTTCAAAGTTCAACTTCAACCTTCAGTTTCCCTTAAAACTATTTTTGTCATGACTAAGCTTAAAGCATGGAGAAAGAAGATGCATACCTTGCATAACCTCAAGTTTTAATGATATCATCAGCCACAGAAAGAAAAAGGAGAGCCCTGAGGGCTCTGCTCATGCCTTGGCAGGTAAGTGCAAAAGAATTTCACCTACTGTATTAAGTGCAGTTATTTCTCATGTTGAAGTCTAGACTTTAAAAATACCTCTGATTGTATAGGAATGCCACTAGTTAAACAGACATTTTTGTTTACCTTCCATTCAAATTACAGGTGTATTTTCCATTCAAATTTACCTTCAATTCAAATTACAAAATAATCAATTCACTTTGTGCAATGATTTTACGTGTAATAAGCCATATGCTCAGGCATCCGTCAAGGCTGAAGGCCCAGAGGAATGCTATTAAAGTAATACAAATTATTTTGTACATACAAATCACTTAGTATAACCATGAGCAGACCCTGGAATAACAGAGTCTCTAGCTTTGAAGAAAGACTTGTGATTGCAATTTTGTCCTCACTTCCTCTAAGTGTCACATTTACAGTCATATCACCAACAGCAGTAGATATGCCCATGTACCTAGGCTAAGGATTTGATCCCTGGATTTATGCCTTTTTTTTCCTTGTCCAAATAATATTTCCCATGTCTTTACAGTTAATGAATCTAAGAAGATTTTAATTCTTTCTCATTTCTGGCCTGTGAAAGTAGAAAACCAGAAAGACAGGAGGTCCTTGCAGGAGGCACACTTTTCAAACATCATTCCCCAAAAATGTATCAGATTTTCTACCTAAAAGAAGTACTTTGTACTTAAATACCTACGTCATTACAGTACATATATGAAAATAAATTACATTCTTTGGTTAAATTCTGCACCTCCGTCTGCTATCTTCTCTATCTGTCCTTACTATAATACCTGATAATGTTAGATCATTCTCTGTCTTCAAAGGAGTAGCATCACACACAGAGGTTTTAGGCCGAGTGACCATATCGGAGCCTGAAATGCAACAGGAATTAAAGAACACAATAATTCAGTTCACCTTTCTTCCACAAGACAAGCCCATCCTTGGTTCCCTAACTTTATCAAACATTTTAGAGTAAAGCGTTCCACTTAGGTAAACTCCTTACGTAGTTTCTCCAACCAATGAATCATAAATGAATAACAGCATCTGCTTGTAACTCTATAGGCAGAACTTAACCTAAAATACCCTGTTTGGAGGATAAAAGCAAATGCCATACCCACAATCACTATGCATCAGCATTCAGATGCTGTGTGTGTTTCTAGAGCATTAGCCCAAATAATTTGTGCAGGTCCTGCTATGTATGCTGTGACATTCATAAAGTAAATTTACAATAACAAAAACAAAAACACATACATATTAATCATGTTAACAAAGGTAATCTGTACAGTTACTTGTAAAGGTCCAAATTATTGTGGTACCTTGGACACTTGGAGGTCAAAGGCGAGTGTTTCCACAATGTCATTTTTCACAGGCATTAAAAGCAATAAAACATATCCTCAGACAGAGGAATTTACCTAAATTTCATGAAAGCTACAGTAGTAGAATTACTCTAGATTACACCCTACTACTGGAAAAGATTTCCAAGTAGTGTTTCATTCTGGACAATACAAAATAAAGCAAGGCACTTCCAGTTTAAACAAGTGGTATTCATAGAACAGACAGCTACTACTGCCATTATAAGCTTTTGTAACAAGCCCTGTGAGATAACTCACCTCTCCACAGATAAACTTGTTGAAAAGTGGTAAAATTTCTCTCTTCCTCTTCTGCCAGTTTAGAAGCTAATAAAGAAAAAAAAAATGTGTCTTAGAACAGTTGTTAAATAGGTAGCACTGAATTGCTCAGAAATTACATTAAAAACATACCACTAGACTACATTTCACCTTATTTACAGTGCAAGACCCTAAGAAGGATGCAGTTGTCTGCATGCTAATCTGAGTCATGGGAACCAAGGCTTTATCTTGTTTTCTATCATTGCTTTTTGTGTGCAACGTTGGGCATATCTCTTTCCATCTTTGCTCCACGGTTTATGTTTCTCTAAGATAATGTACTTCAATCTGCCTAAGTTAAATGCTGGAAGTGTTACAGAGTAGAAGCAACACATTCTTGACTTTCCTTAATATTGCCACAGAGAAGTGTAAGAGGTCCTTCTAACAATGCACCTTATTAGGGAAGTCTTATACTCTTATGGTTGTACAGGCATGGATTTACTTGAGAAAAAAAGCACTGAAGTACAAGAGCAGGCTGGTGGAACAGGAAGACTCAGTAAAACAATTAAATGAAATGTAAATTGAGTAAATTCATTGACATACTTCCACTAAACACTTGCCCTCCCAGGGTGAAGGAAAACATCATCTCTTTTTTGTCATAGGTCATGCCTTTGCACATCCCTTCTCCAACAGGCGTTGGATTCCAGCTATTTTCATTGCAGATCAGCACATCTGGGGAGCTCATCAAACTACACAAAATGGTACCTAGGTTCAGAGGAAGAGAGAATTGTGTCACTGTCTTAAAACTGTGCATCTACACAGAAATTTTCATCCAAGCATCCCGATACTTTCTCTAAATGCCAATTGAACCTGCATCACTGAGAGAGCTACTCATTAATATTGACAACTAAAAACTGAAAATCAAAACCATGCTTTCAATTTGGGGTTCAAAGGTCAGCTATTCATACCTAAAACTAACATTTATAGCCTGTGTTCCATATAGTTCAAGCACGTACTATTATCACATAATAAAATATTACTATTATCTGATAATACCCAACAGGGTTGTCAGCACTTTGAGGCACCACAGAGACATGTTCAATCCTTTGGCAGTCTTACAGTCTTGGGCTCTGAACCAAGAAAGTTCTTCATTAGTATCTTTTTACTGGGATGTTTTCCTGGTTTGGTGCCTGAATTCAATCCGTACAGCCTGAGTATCCCCCAGCATCGCAGCACAAGTCAGGAGGACCAACACATTCAGAGATGAGGTTTTCTGGTTATGATCTGTCTGTCACCATAACATCTAGACAATACTCAACCCTTGCTTTGTTCTTCCTGACACAGCTTATAATGCAGTGTTGTTGGGTTTTATTTTTTATCAGCTGGGTACTTGAGATATTGAATTTTTGTGCTTTTTGTTGTTGCTGTTCGTTGTTTATGAAATGCTACTTCAACTAATGCATTCACCTGTATTATTGATCCAACTCTATAACATTTATCTTTCCACACCTCATTCTATGCTCACAAGAAGGGACGCTACAAGCATTTGATGGTAACTGTGTAGAAGAACATAACATTACAAGATCAGATAGAATATTTTGACGTAAACAAATATGAGATGTCAAAATGGAAAACATTTTCCTGAAAATAAATCCATGATTAGCTGCCACACAGAACTAAAAGAAGTACTTGCCACATAGCAGCCAGTAGCAGATGTTTGGGTTTGTAAGAGCCCATCTAAAAACTTGAGAAAATTAGAATGTCACCTTGGGACAATTAGAACTTCACCTTTTCTACAACAAATGCCCCTCCAGTAGGAAAGCTGTATGATCTAGAAAAGAAGCTACAAAAAGTAGGCACTGAAATTAAGTGCTTAAATCTGCTGGCAGAAATCTGGGCTCTGCCTAGGTCCCATCTCTGCCAGACTCTGTCCATGCAACTCCCACTTGCTCTGTATCTTAACTAGACACATTGATTTAGGAGATTATAGCTTTTCTGCATACAGTAACTTGACATAATGCTCTGTTTAGCATCCTATTTTCCTGCTGTAAAAGGGAAGCTGATTTACATTTACACTACAAGCACCTTGTAGGCACCATATTAATTCTCCCACCAGCTGAAAGGCACTAACTCTCAGCAACAACGCTGTATGAAGTAAGGAGAGAGGCATTTTCAAAATGATTTATCTCATCTTAATACAGATGCCTAAAGCAGGTCAAAAGAATTATCATTTCAAAATGTTCATTTCTCTCCAAGAGCAGCTTACTACTTCAGGACTTTATCTGTACTGCTCCAGGCCAAGTCCTGAGCATTACTCAAATCTGCCAACAACAACAAAAATGTGATGCACAGGCATGTGTGGAGCATCCAAAAATGAGCTCTACCCAGTGTTGGTTGATTGTTTTTTAACCTACTTGTCTGTGTTGGTTTTCTATTGCAGAATTTTTAATTTTGCAGTGTTTAGACAATACCTCCTTCAAGTGCAATCTGACTCAAGATGAAGCCGTCACAGCAAGAGTCCCTGCTGCAAGTCTGCCGGCAGAAGAGCTGAGCGTCCGTCAGAGATGTGCTGGCTGCTGAGAGCGCCATGGACTGATACACACCAGAAAGCACGTTCTGAAAACTAGTTCTTTCAAAGGTTTTGAGTCCAGATGAGTTAAATTCTTGTGCTGGATAGACAGAAGAGGAAAGAAATGTTCAAAAGAGCTCAGGAAGATCCGATGGTTTCAGATTGCCTGCTGACTGGAGTTGGTTGAAAGTTTTATAATAAAAGCTCTGCCTTAAAAATCCTGTTCTGTACTTTGAGTTTCAAATGCAAGATAACATTACCAAACAGTTTGGTGCAATTACAGTTGTGAAGCTAGCCAGAATATATTGCCATTGAGGAATTGTACCAGAAAAGGTCTCCTAAATTCCTAAATCAATGTACAAAATAACGTTGGCAATACTCCAATTTCAGGCATTATATTAATAACTCCCAGGTATAAATGAAACAGACTTATCTGGGTAAAAATGTAGACTGGTATTTCACCAGTAGACCTAAATCTGCAATTAAGGCTTCTGCTGAAAAGTCACATATGTAAGAGGACAACTCATTTTATCCTGAACTTAACTAGCAATATCAACAGAAACATAAAGACCTAGTATCAATAGATTATGTTGATTATAACAAGCTCAGAGGACTTGTCTTGTTTCCGGTGACACTTAGCTCTCTACTCATACTAATAAATGACAACTCAGAGATCTGGATAGCAGTAAGAAGAAACCAGTGACAGCAGAGAGTTCTGACTCAATCCCTACCACATCCTGCATTCTGTTGTTTTGTTTCAATTTTGGCATGAAGCTCAAAGCTGGACAAAGATGAGATTGGATATGCAAAGATATCAATCACACATATATGAAAAAAACATGCATTGTCACTTTGATTATTTCAGATGAATCACTGAGATTTTACTGGAAAGCAGGGTGTATTAGGCTGGTGTATTAGTAAGACAATTTATAATAAAAATGAATGTAAATCGTTATTGATATACAAGCTGGTCAGTAATAATGCCTTACATAGTTAAGAAAGAAAATGTTCAGTAAATAATACATATATAATTAGTGCAGTTGATTTATACAATACAAATAATTAGTACAATGATTTATAATAGAATAACATATTGGATATTCAACTTTTTGTGGGACTCTCTGCTGAAAAGCCATCAAATCAACTTTCAAAAACTACATGCCTTATTTCTAGGGACCAAGCCATGAAGGAAAGATTTACTGAGTTTTTCTGGCTACCACTTAGTGTTAAGCTTTGAACAGAATGATGTCATCTTGAACAAAGATGTTCCTCCATGCCATCATGATTCTACACAGAACTACAAGCCTTGGCACAGCAGTCTAACATCAGATCACCGATTTGCATCTGGTACCTTTCTTCAAATAGACTGTCACTGTATCTCCTTCTGGATTTCTGATATAAAGCATGCAGCTGAGACGACCAACACGAGTGGCAGCAGGGTTCCCCAAAACACCTTGCACCTGGGACAAAACAGACATGCACAATAAATGCAACAGGACCTGTTTCCTCTACCAAAACACATTTTTCTTAGTTGTAAACAGAAGGAGGAATTAGCACACAGAGTTTATAACCACCACAGCTTGCTGTGGCCCAGTGTGGATGCTTTTCAGTCTGTAAAACTAAAACCTCAGCTCATCTTCAGTACCACTTCCCTGTGTTTAGATAGCAGTGAGTATGAAGCTGTTAAAGTGATGAAGAGCATATGACTTAAAACCTTGACAAGTGGAAAGGACTGAGAAATGATGACTGTCTCAGGTGACCTGGATTACTGACCTGGATATTACTGACCTGGATACTTCTAGTTTTGACTATTCAGATAAAATCCATTTTAAGTTACCCTGACTTCCAGACTGTGGGTGCTCAGCAGGTTTTAAGAACTGTTTGGTGTTTCATGCAAATACTGAGGCATTCAGATGCCACTTTAAGGAACATATAGGTGTAGCTTATTTATAAACTTTCAGAAAAGTTTTACTGCCACAACGAATAACAATGTACTAGTAGTCAGGTAACCCTCTGCCTTTCTTCTATGACGTCTTCCAATTATATTGAACCTATAGTACTGTGACAAACACAGATATTTAAATATCATCATTTTTACCAATCCAGAGGTGGTACAATTGAAGTTGACTTCAGAGGCACTGTATAATTCACACACAGCTTCAGAACCAGCAGGGGTTACAGTCACGAAACTGCATGCTTCTTCCTTCTCACAGTCTGAAAAGCAAGAAATAAACCTTAAGTTTCCTGGCATTTCATCTGTATAATTTCTGTGCTGAATTCCTCTGTTTAGTGCATTTTACCCAATTTTTCTATACCTCTATCAGATGGCAAGCACGTGAATATCATTAGCCAGATGAACCTTAACTTATAATTATTTTAGTATAGATTAGATTTTTAAGTTATATGCTGCAAAAACTTTTTTGGGCATTCTTCACCTCCTGATACAAACAGCTGAGTCAAGTCTAACCACCTATCCAAACACTTAATGTCTGCTGGATAATTTTGCCTGAGGAGGGCAGGGAAGACTCATACAAAACACTTAACATATATGCTCAAGACAGTAACTGCAAGGCAAAGAGGTTGTGATCAATATTGGCGTGATAGGAAGGAGGGAAACACTGAATTCTGAAATCATGCTGACAAGTGTAGGGGACCAAGCTGCCATCCCTTTCTATGGTTAGGACTGGTTGAAGATCCTTCTGCCCATACACTTATCGCCCCAACACCACTAATGCGCTCCCGAAGCTCTGCTCCTAAAACAGGAGGCAAAACTGTTTCCTTTATCTATGAAATAAAGATGTTACCTTTAGTATAAACTCCCTAAGTTCATGCCTGGAGTGCCTTGTTCACTGGCTTGCTTTTAAGGGTGTCCAGTTTCAAAGGAAGATGCAAAAAAACTTACACTAACTAGCTAGGAGATGATCTGGTGGATGAAAATCATTCTAGTAACACACACAAGGCTTTACAAATTCACCTCTTGGTGTGAAAGATGACTGATGGAACTAGACCAAGGCATGTTATACAAAGCCAGTGACTATCAAATATCTGTGGTATTTGCCCAGGCCACCTGTAGTATTACAGCCAGGGTGTTTTTATTTCGAATGCAACACCTCTGCCTCTCTTGACAGGTCTGAAGCACTAGGAGACACAAGGCAAGGCACCCTGACAGCAGTGCACTGATTCCCTGTAGTTTTAGATGAGAGTTTGAAAGACTAAATTTTGAATTAATACAAACCAATAATATGATGTGTCCAAATGCATACAGTACATACACTGTAAGAATTGACAGAGGAATACTTTTGCACTGCTTACTATATCCTCCTGATGAAAGCAAGGGTGATTATTCCTCTTTTATATGCCAATCAGTTAATTTGGAAAGAAGCAAAGATCTTGGTTTTCACATGTGCTGAACACCTAATCCTTTTTTGTCTGCACATCTGGAAAATCTGATCAATGTTTCCTGGTCTGAATCTTGGCTCTCATCCATATCGTAAACTTGATTTAAACTCAGATGACTTGCCTAAAGTGGTACATAAAGTCAGAAGACTTCTTTTAGAAGAAAGAGCAACCTCTTGACTGAACCAAGGTTAGCAAAAGTTGTAAATACTCTGCAGTGAATTTGCACTGAACTGCAAGAGACATAGTTCATCTAGGAACATAATAATAAGTCCATCATACAAAAGGATTATAATTTTCTTTGGGGGTTTCTGTTTTTGGTACCGATTTTCTGAGAGTTTTCCTCACCTGAAATGCATTGAAAAGCTGGACCTGGCAGGTCTCTCCTGAGTGACTGAGGCTGAAGAATTTGAACATCTTCTGACCCATAAAGAAGTTTGGAAGCAGGAACTCTCTCAAATTTTCTGAGCACTAGAAGAAAAAAAAATATCCATGATGCAGAGATATAAAGAGAATTTACCTAGAAATGAAAATTCAAGTGTTTTATACGGAAAGGTGTTTGCTCATAAAATGATGTACCCAAACTCCAAAGATAACACAGGAAGCAGTAGGACTGAGGATATAATTTCTATTCCGCAAAAACAATATCACAAGATCTTTCAAAACCTGTTAGCCAGAAGTGGCCTGGGAGTTTATATTCAAGTGAGACTTCTCAGCCAACAGCAGACGCGTTATCTCCCATCTCCTATTACTTGTTCATGGCACAGATCCAACTACTGAGTCAACAGGGGAACCAATTTTCTGCAAATCAGTCACTGAAATAAGAGACAGATCTGACAGAACTTGCCTAGAAAGGAAATCTAGGAGCTTATTATTCGTGTAGAGGAGCACAACATCAGTGTTCTCCCCTAACTTTAAGCTCAGGGATGCGTCCCAGGTAATATAACCAGCATGCTCCTTTTTGACTCCCTCACTGAACATTTAACTCTGGACTGTCACTTGACTTTACTCTCTCTGACTTGGATCTACTGCACATGAGTGTAAAGAAGTCCAACAAGAAACACTGTTCACAAACTGGGAAAAGCTCATGAGGTCTAGTGATGCGAAATCCAAAGGTCATCAAATGGGGCAAGGTATCTAATTTAAGCTCCAGAAGGGCTTTGTCTGTGCCCTCAAGAAGATTACAGCCTAGTGAAGGGACACAGAGTAGCATCACCACCATCCTGCTCAGATTTATATTACCTGTATTAGCAATGTTTTTTGGTACAGTGTGTCCTCCGGCTGAAAAAGTAATACCTTTCCAATGTGCACAATATACGAAGGAGAAGGGAACAATGTAGTGACTTAGCTTCAACCCTGTATTGTTACTTAGCTTCAACCCTGTATTGTCCAGGCTTCTGTTCAAAATGTCCCAAAATCATGAAGTCATAGAATCATCTAAGTCAGAACAGATCTTCAAGATCATCAACTCCAACCATCAACCTTACCTACCAAGTCCTACCACAAAACCATTTTCCTAAGTGCCACGTCCACATGTCTCTTAAATACCTTCAGGGGTGGGGACACCACCACTTCCCTAGGCAGCCCAACCTAAACGTCCCCTGCTGCAACTTGAGACATTTTGCTCACATCCCACCGCTCGTCACTTCAGAAAAGGGACCAACATCCTCCTTACTGCAAACTCCTTTCAGGTAATAGTAGAAAAGGATGGTGTCTTCCCTTCAGTCTCCTTTTCTCCAGACTAATCAAATCAATGCAGACCTCTGGCTCATTGCAATTAACACCTGGGCTAGACCTTAAAGAGATAAGAAACAGGAGTTTCTGATCTCAGCCTACTGGAGATGTCTGCTGGAGGCTCAGACCTTCACTTCCCTGACCACACGGGTGCAGAGACTCAGCCATAGGATCCCAGGCCTTTCTCCTTGATGTGTCCGGATAAACCGCAAAATAAAAGTCAGGGATAAGTTCTTAGAACAATCATTTGTACTCCTACAGCTAAACAGTCAGACTAAATCAGAAGCAAATGTCCACAGTTGTCAGGGCTGAGTCAGCAGGTGCTTTTGATAAAACCATCATTTCTGCTCAGAAAGAACATGAGGGCAAGCCAAACACAAAAAGTTCTTGCACTCCAGCTTAGCTGGGGAGAGGGGTGAATGATTGTATAAACAGCACTCCAGCTTAGCTGGGGAGAGGGGTGAATGATTGTATAAACAATCATTCTTCCTATGAATACAAAAGACCAAAATATAAGTAATAGTATTATTTTGCATTAAACTGAGTTCCTTCTACCTCTGCAACCTTCAGTGATGTCCAGTTGAGAACAGAGTTCACATATTTTCATAAAACTGAAAAGCCATATTTTTGTGCTGTTCACTGCCCTCATTTCTAATGAAAAATTGCAAACATTTTAAATGCTTTTCTTTTCTTCTGCTTTTTGGTTTGTTTTTAAATCCAAATACTCCATCATCCTATCCCTCCATTTTCCCTCTTTCAATAATATGGGAGAAAAGTAGAGAGGAGATAGAATGTGTAAGTAAACATTAAGCTGAAAACACTGCTAAACTGAACGGTTTCCTTTTTTTTTTTTTTTGATTCTTGAATTTTTTGTCTTAACAGGAAATAAGAGGAAACAAGAAATGTGCTCATAAAACTATTTTATCAAAAATACATAGCTGTTTGATGAAAAATATTCTACCAGCTTGCATTTTCACAAACTTGTTACTTGACATTGCCCTCTTCCCAACAGGCATATAAGTACTCATTTCACAAGCTCAGTGTGTGGCAGAAATTCTCCTTCATCTCACACATCACTAGAGAGTAAAGCTCTAGATCCCATCCCTGCTATTGCAACAAAGGTTAAGTGTGGCTTAAAATATAACAAGAACGAGAACAAGAATGAACACGTGCTGTTAAGGCTTATTACTGTGCATTGATAAAAGGAAATTCTTTCTCCCACTGCAGCCTTGAAAAAACAAAGAATAGTCAGATTATTTACTGACCCATCCCAATTGCCAACCTCCTGTCAAAGCAAGATCAGCCTTCAGACCCTTCTGTCTTGTAGCATCCTGAATTCATTTAAGGGAAATAGAAGAGACGGGAAAGTAAACTTAGAAATAATTGGTTTCAGTTTAAATAGTGCTTTCTGGGAATGCAGAAGGAAAAAAAATGAAATTAAATCAGCCTTTCAATTACCATAAAACAGGATTTCTTTGGAGTTTGTTGTTTTTTATTATTTTTTTAACTCTAAAATTGTCAAGACTTACAACATTATCTATCTATTTTTAATGATCTCTTCTATTATGATCCATCAAAATAAGCACAGAAATCTGCAACCACTCCTTCCTGGACCAAGTCAGAAATGCTCATGCAGAATTGCTCAAGGTAAGTAACAGCTGCTTAATTCTTCTGTCGGTGAGCCCTCTGCCCAGAGAAACATCCCAATTACCCAGTGACAAAGCACTACAGGCTAACACTTCATGTTCATACCTACAATCAGTTTCCAAGTATACTTGGAGAAAAAATAGCTAGTTTTACTGAAAATAGTTTTGCAACCTCTTTACGAACAAGGGCTTTCATTTCACACTCCTTCCATTGATCACACTTGTCTGATTCAGAGCACACCATGACATCAGTTTCTAAAATGAATATTTCATAGAATTTGATACCAATTGTATAATGAGTAATAAAACCTTCTGGAAGGGTAATTTTTGGGCAAGGCAAAAGCTTTGGTGCTGAGAAGCATAATTAGACCTTACTGCAGGCAGTCTGGGGATTATTTGATAGATGACTTCTGTGATAGATCGCTAATGTATGCTTACATGTACTATACCCAGCTTGCTGAAGCACTTACTTTGTATCACTCTTTCTTTGGACTTTCAACAAATTGTTCTCTACCTTGACTTTGTGCCAACTGTTTTATTTCATTTTGTCTGAAGCCCAGTTCCACTGTTCCAAAGGCTCCCCCAGAAGTACTGAAGTAGTAAGGAAATGCTTTTAAGCAATTTCTAAGAATATTGTGGTTGGTTGTGTTTGTTTTTTTGTCATTGTTTTTGTTTACATATAGATGTATATATATATTTACTTTGAGGGACTTTTTGCTGTTGTTGTTTTGTTTTCTACATTATTTATCTTTGAGAACCAGCACTTCACAATTGTCTTCAAGCAGAAGTTCTCTCAGTTTACAAGGATATGTTCACCAAATCAGATACCATACAGTAGGAGCCCAGACGGTGACATTATGCCACAGCTATGAGGTCATTGTAAAACAGTCTGTTTCACAGGAACACACTGACGAGTGATAATTTTACAAGGAAATTCATCATTCTGCTTCTTTCCCATTAGCCCACTCATTATTCTTGTTGGGTTTCCAAGCAGAGAGCAGGAGAGCAGCAAATGCTAAAAGCTGCCAGCCATCTGAGAGCACAAGAAAACTGTCTCTCTTCCCTTACAGGAAACAACTTCCATAGTGCAGTCAAGAAAAACAAAAGTAAGGAGGAATGTGGCTTAAGGCAGAGGCCACAATTGTGGGAAAGTAAGCTGGCAAGCCAGCTGTGGAGCATTGAGTCTTTTCATAAGCAGATTTCGCTTATGATGGATGACAACATATCCAAGTATTCTGGCACTTACATAGGCACTGGTAGTCTGTAAGGAGATCATCTGTTTCAGTCCATTCCAGTGCTGTTCCAAGGTCATCGACACAGAAGGATTTCTTACTGTCAGGGTCTTGCTGGGAAGGTTTGTACTGGCCTTCTTCATCACACTGCAAACCCTGCTTGTTGCCTTGACAGTAAGTGATACCTGTTATGAGTAAACAGGGAAAAAGAAGGAAGCCTGATGACACTGTCACTGGATTTCAGCGTACCAATAGGACAAAAAGCTCTAAGTACAGCAGAGACTTCACTGAAAATTAATTTTCATAGTATTTCATGCTTTGAAACATGCTAATTTCACTTCCTTGTTGTTACTGTAATTCGCATGCCAAGCATTTTTAGGATTTTCTGCCATGGAACCAATCTGCCTTGATCTAAGAATAGAAAAAAAAAAAAGAAAAAAAAAAAAAAAAGAAAAAAAAGTAAAACAAAGTAACACACAGAAGAAACTATATTTTCATATCGGTTTGTTTAATGCCTGTTGTAAAGGATTCCTGAAATGTAATGAAGAACAGCACAAGAGCCATCACATCCATTTATCTACTAATAAAAATAAAAATAAAAAAATCTCTCTTTCAGTGGAAAGTATTGTCCTCACTCTATATTCTTAGAAAAAGAAAGAATTAATCACTTTGATTTTAATTAGCAGCATCTTTCCAACCACTTTTCAACATAGTTTATGATTTAGAAACTTTTAGTTACCAGGTATCTGGTCTTTGTAGGTAAAGAAACCTGTAAATTTGAGCAACATCAAAGGCAGCAGCAGAAAATCCCAGGTGGACTAAATCTGGCAGGCTTAGTTTACCAGTTTCATGCCCTGCATGTTATTTGGAGATGCTACTGGAGCAAGGGTGGATTATCTGTGTACAAAGCAACCACCAGAGACCAGAGACCAGTTATCAAAACGTGCCAGCATCAGCACTATTTCACTTCAATATATTGAGCTAAGAGCTAAGGTAGTTTAGGAAACACTTCTCATGCAGCTCAGGCATTCTTACCACAGAGGCATAATCTCTGGGAGAAAAATAGGGTAATAAGCAGAAAGGGAAACACACCTGTTCTCCAGTCTTCCTGTGCTATGTTTGCGAGTCAATATTTTATTTATTTATTATTTATTTATTTATTTATTTATTTTTAATCTGACTGTTAATTCAGTAAACTCTTCAGGTTTTGCATGAAAACAGCAAAGAAAGAAGTAGAGAAGAAACTAAATGTGTACTATATAGCCCTTTGCAAAGGGCTGAGACTCAGCACACAGGTAAGATGAATACTGGGCAGGGGCTTGGCTTTCTCCAGACACTTGCAGTAAAGAAAACTACACCTAAGGAGTAAACTATAAAGCACCTGAGACCAATACCTACACTAGGAACACAGATATGCAAGTGAAAACTGACTACACAGCCCGATGTCTTCTTTAGGCAAAAACTAATTCATGTCAGGGTGCATTAACATAAATCTGTATTTTTATGTCACCCAAGAGAATGCATGGATTGAAATAAAACAAAGCAGTTCTGGTAGTCACCCATATAACCATGAAACTCATTCTTACTACTTACTTTTTATTTTTATCCATGAGCTTAACAAGTAATATTCTTTATGGAACTGCATCCAAAAGTAAGTAATTTAAAATAAATACACCGACTTTAGTGAACATATCAACAGTTGCTCCAAGAAGTATTTATACTAAAACAGGGTCTTGAAAAAGCTGGACAAAACTTCTTTAGTCTTCATGAAAATGCCAATAAATGAACTATACGAGATGTTTCTCACTGACTGAATACCCAGATATAATTCTTCAGGACAATGAACACATTTTAAGGAACCACAACATCCTGGATGATATTGACCACTCATTTCTCATGCATTTTGGGTCAAAACACCAGACAGTTTGTTCTGTCCTTGAAAAATGTCTTCAAATGTATGCAGAAGGGATCATATTCATATAATATTTTTTTTAATTATTTTTTTTTTAAATTTACAGATGAAAAATCCATTATTTATTTGAAGGCAGGATACAGAGAACAAGGACAAAATTAGCTCAACTTACAGTGATCAATGCTGAATGCCCCATAAGAGCTGGTAGTTTTACCCATTGGACACTTGATACAAGAGGAACGTCCTGTCTGGTACTGGTAGTAACCAAGAGGGCAGGGAATGCATTCACCATTCTGGAAATGACTGCCTGAAGGACAAACAACTGCAAAGAGAAGAACATCATTATTCTTTTGGAATTCAATCACTTCAGGCTTTTGCACACCCCTGTGTGCAAACACCATGTGTATATCAGGCTGCTGGTCTTGCCAAGACTTCAAGCTTTCAATATCTGTATTTCTAAGTGGGATAATACAGGTAAACACTCCTTAAACATTTATTAAACTCACTGATGACTGGAATATGGCTGAATACTGTCAAATCCATTTGTAATAAGATAACACGCTTTGTGGATGGGTCATGAAAGAAAACAAAGGAACCCAAGCTACAAATAGAGGAACTTCTAGAAACACTACAGACAGAAACAGAAAGACTCCAATGAGCATGAATTCCCAGAACATCATACATAAACTTACGGCATGGTAACACTTTCATTCAGAATGCCTGGAAATGAAATTTTTCGTAAGTGCTTCCAAGCTAAATAATAATGGCTGGATTAAAAGCCACTAGTTGTGCACATGACAACTCAAATACAAAACAAAAAGATATTCTTAGACTGAAAATACAATTATTCTGAAAATATAATTTTCAGAACAAATCAGAAATAATATTTCCAGATGACCTGTTACATATTGCAGAAAAAACCTCTTCGTCTTCTGGAAGGTCATGCAATACTGTCTTTCTATCCAGATCATTCAGATGATCATTAAAGCAGAAGACACAGACACGGTTGCAGGACAATACCTTTAGTTGTTATTTCACAGCTGTTTTCCAGACACAGATTTCCTTCAAAACACTATCAAATGTATATTTTGGAACTTTGACAACGTACAAAACTTCATGTTTGTTCTTGCCCTACGTCTTGACAGCAGTTTAAGCTTGTCTTAGAGAGAAACCATAATGGAAAATTGGCCGTCTCCACTACAACCCATATGATGAATTGCTGCTCTGGCCAGCACACTGGAATGTAAATTAATATAACTTAGTGGAGCACCTAATTTTAATGGACTAAAAATAGATCTAGGATAAAAATGATCATATCTTCTTTCACCTGCTCTAAATGGTCCAATGGGAAAGTCTAGGATGAGGCTACAGAGAGACTGAAATTTTCCTCCCAGATAGATATCAAGGCAATTGCTCTAAGTATAAAACATCTAAAATCCATTACAAAACCAAGAAAGAAAAAAAGAAAAAGAAAAAAAAAAAGAAAAAAAAAAAAAACAGAGACAGGATTCCCATGCATATTACCTAATACCCAAGCGTGTCTGATACATTTTAAAGACATTTTCCAACCCATGGAAGAAAGATCATAAGCATTGCAAATGAACAGCAGTACAAGAAATTAAAATGAAATGAGTAATACATGCCTAAATTGAAGGCAAACTACAAAGGATGAGAGAGACTAATTAAGCAATTGAAGTTTTAAAAGGAGGAAATCAAGTGTTTCAAAGCACCTTCCTCTTTTTGTAGTTACAATCATGATGCAAATATAATAGCTGTATCTCCTATCCTCTGTCCTTTTCCTTAATGAAGTAAGATTGCCTTTTGTGCCTTTTGTTTCACACATTAAGTTAACAAAAGGACACAAAGAATAGCAAAAAATATGGTGCAGGGAACCATGTTTTATAGAATCTGTAACTCTTGAAGGCATGTGTCACATCAGCTATACATTACACTCAACACAAGTATGGGTAGATTAAGTTTGGCTCTGGAAGTCAGACAAACCATCAAGCTCAACTCTTTCAGGCTTTCATTTGCTTTAACTAGGTAAGAAACTGGAGGATAGCCACTAGGCAAAATCTCAGAGCTAACAACCAGATCCATACTTAATTTTCCTAAAATAACAAGGGGGGAAAGGAATAAAATTAGAATAATACAATAAAATTAATAACATTTAAATTAAATATAAATATATATATTAAAAATAAAAATCTCCAAAAATAAATCCCTGGATGCTGCACGTGAGCATCACACTAAGCATGCTAAGAAAGTGTTGCAACTGGACATTACCTAATGCTTGCACTACTCTTTCCTCCCATCAGATACTGGAAACTTTTGGAATATCACATTATTGATTCAAATAATTACTAATGAAGTCTTGAGCTGCCAGTGTGACTATAAATCTAGCATTGTATTTGGTTTGGGTTATGTTCTGCTCAAAGCACTCCTGATAGAATTTACCCAGACTTCCAAATCATAAAAGAAACAAGCATAAAAAATATAGTAAAACAAAGGTAACTCACAAGCAGCCTTCAGGTTTTCCTCGTGAACTAAACAGGGGGAGAGGGGAGGAAAAGAAGAGAAACAGACCAAGACAGGATAGAAGACCCGATTATGTACACATTTACACATACAGAATGCATACAATAAAACTAAACCAAACAAAAAACCTGCATCACAGAGGAACCAGAAGCAGAATTCTTAAATGCCATGTTTAGATTAAAAACCATGGTCCTACAACATAAAACAGCATTCAGCAGTATGTCCATCATGGCATCTTTGAATAGGAAATCTCTGCCAAAATGTGAAGCAGGAACATCCTCCTTTCCACTTTCCTATGTCTGTTTTACTGAGTGCCTTCCTCTAAAGCTAGCTGATGCAAATGTCTATGAACTAACAAACAAGGCAAATTAATGCACTGCTTCCTAGAGGCCTCTATCCCTGGCAGGAAATATTTGGCACAAAGATCCAGTTCACTGCAAGTTCTTTTGCCCTGAGTGATGGATTCTGCTTACTAAATAATGATGCCTTAAATTAGTACAACAGTACATCTTGGTAAGTAACTAAAAGTTGTTACATGTTCTCAGTAGGAGTTAATCTTTTTCTGCATGGTGTGTATAAACAACCAAAATCTGAAGTGTTTCAGACCATGGAGATGAGCTGAAACTGCAGACAACTTACACTGAACGGTCTGACTTGAAAAGAGCAGCAGTTCAGAACTGATTCATGGGCAAGGACTTTGAAGCCCTTGCCTTAAAAGCATATGTTCAAAGCTGAAGGAAAGAAAAAAAGATATACCAACAAAATCTCCTGTCCAGTTTTCAATCTTTGCCTGCCCAGAAAGATGCGCCTGATAAAAGGCAAAGCAGCTCATCATTCAACCTGGTTAGACTCCCGCCTCTAAATTCAGGTGTTACCAAATTAAGCACAGCACACACCAACCTTCATATCTGCTACTGTTTTTCTCTTCTAGCAAATTCACATTAGTTAGAAATTACATCATTACATCATTTAATGCAAATCCACAAAATTCAGACATTTGGATGTATGGGAAGATGATTTAACCACTCCACAGAATTACTCATTCTCCTATCAATGGACCTAGAAGGCACCTCAGAAATCGTACAGCTAAACCCACAACAGGTATCATACTCATTCTCCTGAGGGAAAGAGAAAAAGCAGAGAGGCTGAGCACAGACATGTTCTTAGACTAGGGGGCTTCCATCTCAGCATCTTTTATCAGGATTCAAGTCACATAATATTTCAAAAAGCAAAGAAGCAAGTTTGCCAATATCCCTGCTGTTAGCAAGGTAAGATCTTCAATGCTTCACTGCACTATTACTTTTTGTGTTTCTTTTCTTCTCCTTTTTAACATATAAGAATCAAGAGAGATGACTTGTTTGGGAATTAAAAAAAAATAAAAAATAAAAAACTTGTTCTTATTCCAGCTACCAAATTAGAGTCATAAGGTACTATTATTTCATTTTTAATAATGTTAAACAGAACAATATGATGGCAAAACCAAGGGAAGGTATTCTCAGTGGTATTTTCTTTAGGAATAAATAACACTGTCACTTTTTTTTATGCTGTTCTCTCTGAGATCATTCCTACAAAGTAATAATAAAAATGACAGCTGAAGAAAGGTGCCACTGAGCTTTGAAAATAAGATCTCCTACATGATGGTTCTCCTCTGTAACCCTTTTCCTCCAACAGGAGCCTTCAAAGACTTTTTGGTGGAAACCAGACAGCATGCAGTGGCTTATGCACAAAGCGGTAATTTCACTTTGGGTACATCAGCATTTCAGCCACAATAATTGTACTGGAGTTTGAAAACGTATGAGTTGTTTTTATGCTCGCTTTCTGTTAACTGCATTGATATGTACATGAATGTAGTTGCAAGATCCACAAACATATATGAGCTCAAGCTGAGTTTCCCTAAATTGCTGCTAGCACTTAACCCAGTTGGTTTTAAGTTTACAGAAATACTTTTAAGCCAAAGAATAGGTCTTTCCTCTTTTCATTATTATTCAGATCCTTTGATGGCAGCAGTTGAAAATCATCTATTTTTTCTCTTGCAATCAGCTGAGCATCAGAATGCTCTCCTAACTTGAAGAGAACCACTGTACCAAGTAAAGAGCTAAATTCTTTTCAGGTGCTTTGAGTTTTCCTTAGAATCTCTCTAACCGATTAGTGTTGAAGGTTTACCTATCTGAAAATATTCCTTTTTGGGGAAAACTTACTCCATACTTGTTGCTCTGATACGTAGAACTGGCTCTTCTATTCCCCAAAATCTCAAAATGACATCAGAAAGGCACAGAATCACTCATTGGCTCATTGGGCCAACAAGGACAACCAGGGTTGCACTATCAGAGGGTTGATGTAGATAGAAGTAAGAGTGGGGAGGTCAAAGCAAAGGCTTTTTGGCAGCATGACCTGTACACAGCAGTGCCAGGCACAGCCCCAGGGATCCTGTGAAGAGGCAGGCTTGGCAGCCCTGAGCAGGATGTTGACAGAAAGACAGCCCATTCCAGGGAAGCAGACTAAACAGAAGGAAAGATTATGAAAAGAGGGCAGAATTTCAATCAGGTCTGGGTGTTGGCCAGCAAGGAGAAAGCTTCTGCATGAGCTGGATCAGACTTGGCCCAAGAATTGACAATCTCAGGACTTTTGACATTTTTGTAGCTAGGTTTCTATCCCGGGTGATGTAACATCATACAAAGTACTGGCTACATTATCTTTGCAGAATCTTCTTATCAAGTATCATGTATAATATTGAAAGACCGTCTAATACCAGACAGATCTAAAAAATCCCAAGAAATGTTTACGAAACCTTCCATTTAATGTCAGTGTCATGATGCCTACTCTATCTGCAATGAAATGACTGAACAGAAAGCAAAGCAGTAATTTCCATCTCTCTCAGATTTTTCCATTCACATCAATGCTTTATGCCTTTCACCTATTAAGCATAAGTTCACTAATGATTTTCTAACTTTATATTAATTCCTAACATCATCAAAGAAGGGAAAGATAAAGTGAGGCATACCACATCCTTGTGCATTTGGGATGGTTTTTCCAGGAGATGAAGTTCTTCGAAAACCACTTCTACATCCTAGCTGCACGCTCGGGGACAGATCAAATTCTTCATCCCGAGGAAAATCAATGAGCGAATCTGCTATGAACTGTTTGGAGTCCAAATACAGCAGAAATCCACCATCCTCAATCTCTTTAATAAATGCTCCAATGAGATTTTCTCCAACAATTGCTTTTTCTAAAGGGAGAAATAATACAGCAAAATAATATGAGATTTCTAATAGGGAAATGGACAATGACATAAAGACTGGTGAAGTTTAAATTAAAAACATGGGTGGATACAAATACAAAATACAAGGAAGTCAACAAACAATGGATGAGAATGAATCTGTACAGTGTCTATAAGATTAAAGTACTAATCTTAGCATATGTGGAGGGTGCTAAAGAAACAGTCATAAAATCACAGAGTATCCCAAGTTCATGGTTTCATGGGACCCCTGAGGATCATTGAGTCCAACTCCTAGCTCCACACAGCAGGACCCAAAAATCAAGCCATATGTCTGAGAGCATTGTCCAAATGCTTCTTGAACTTTGACAGGCTTATAGAATCATGGAATGGTTTGGGTTGGAAGGGACCTTTAAAGAACATCTCCCAGCTCCCCAGTGATGTGTGCAAACAAAATATAGTAAATTCAAAAATTAAAGCATTGAAGAATAAAATATGATATCTGTGTTAGAAACATTTAGCAGATTGATTGTCTGACATTCGGATTTGCTCCTCTTGTTTCAGTGGGTATCACTGAGTTCTTGTTTAGCATTTTATATACTTGGTTTTGAAGGCATCTGTAACTACATAATAACCAGCTTCTGTCACACTAATGATATTGAACATACCCACCTACCCAACAGACACTCTCTCCACAGCTGCTGAAGCTGGTGTTTAAAGCTGGAAAATAAGTGAGGACCTTTGCTACTTTCTATACCCTTAGTTGCCCAGGCAGCTTCTCCTTCTGATGACTTGCTCCAGAACAGTTTTCAGCATTAGAGAAAGAACAAATTCCTCAGTTTGGCTGCACCAGAAATGGTACAAGAAACAGTATTCCCAGAGGATTTTTTTTTGTTATCATGTTCTGTTTATCCCTGCAGGCTTTATGGCATAGAACTAACTGTTGGTATGGTTTATGAGGACCTCTGGCAGCTACAGATGACGTACAGCCCAGCAAATGGGAAGCCCTGCATGCTATGTACTTCAGGTTTTGCAAGCACACCGATGACCTTGGATGTTGAATTTTCACAGGGAGGATGTTAAATACGTAAAGAGAATGCGAGGAATGTTACACCTTGCACACTGCACAAAGCTTATTTATGCTGTGACTGATGTGTCCAAGGCAAATAGATGAGCATACTGCTGCACTGTCACGTGGCAAGTTTCCCAACTTTGCTCTGAAGCCCGTGGGCAGTTTCTCACTTCTCAGAGCAAGGACAGAATTTCACAGCTAGGTACCAGGCTCTGACTACACAGTGCTGCCCACCAGCCTGGGCTGAACAGACCACAGCCCTACCGTGCTTTTCCTGAAAGATTATTCCAAACTTCTAGCACAGACAGTGCAGGTGCCCTCTCTGTCTGAATGTTGGTCTGTAGCTGCTTGCTGTCATGCAGATGTTGTTTCCCTCTTGGCAAAGGAGGAACTTGAGGCTTTTACACTTACGGACTAAAGAAGTGAACAGATCTTGTGTATAAGCAGACATCTGTGTCCTCGTGTTCTCAGTTCTCTGTTTTCTTCAGCTTTAAGCAATTTACCCTTCTGCTGCACTGGCACATAATACAATCAACAAAATAGCATTCCATTTTGTTCAAACCCAGGCCAAAATGATACTTAGCTCCTGAGGAAGTAATTGGAGATTACCACATAACCCATAACTCTTTGCAAAGGTTTTACCAGAAATTTTCTTGTAACTGGAAGCAGGAATAAGTAGATTAGCCTTTTATTCAAGCAAATACCCTTCTGAATTTTCTAGCTGTAAAAGAAGCAAAAATAACCTAGAAATGGCAGCTGGAGGGAATTCACGTGTAGAAAACAAGCAAAGAGTCAAGCCAGCAAGAACCCACTGAAGGAACTGAAGTTCTTTTAGTTAAGGATATTTCCCTGTGTTAAAATATTCTTAACACTGTCACTAAATATGACTCTCCTGTGAGGGTTGTGTTATGTGTCTATGTCTATACGGTGTCCATTGCAGGCAGCATATAATAACAAGTGTTTAGCTACAGTAAACATGTTCATATACAGCAAGCAGACAGGTAAATCTTGGAACTGTTCTCACGAGAGAGCAATCCAGCACTGTGGCAGACATCCCAGCCACAGACTAGCTGGTAATGTCATACACATATCAACCAGAGCCAGGAAAGAAGTCCTGAGCTGTGTCCCAGGTGCAGCACAGCTGCCTTGGTTCAACCCTTCCAGCAAGGCTGGCCAGCTTGGGGCCATGCTTACTGCCTGACGTGGGACCTGGCAGTAAATGAAAAGCTTCCTGGGACACAGCATACTGTAAAGCATGGCAGTGCTTCCCTGGTTTTGTTCCTTTGTTCCTTCTTTGCTGCACCATTTTGGCAATTTAAACTACTAAGTGTCTCATACTTCATTGCAAGAATACATAGGAAAAAAAAAAAAAGAAGCTTAAAGTTTTGGCTGTATAAGGGACAGGGATTCATCTAATCTCACTGATAGGAACTGTTTACTATATGTTCATCCAGCAAAAGTTCACTTTTATAATCATTAGTATTTTTGTTTGTTGAACAGAAAAGAGAGAAATTTCTGTAAGTGCTCCTCAAATTTTTTAGAACTGAGGTCTAAGCTATCAAGCCAAACAGCATAAGATCCCTCAGGAAGGGATTTCCATAACCTCCGAATTTAATACATGAAAATATCTGTGAGAAAAAAAAATGTAACAAAGAAATCATGAATTATTTAGATTTAATGTTCTTCGTTGGAAACGTATGCGTGCTGTCCTTCTGTTTAGCAATTAGCAATTTTTTTTTCTCAGCTTCTTCACTGGGGAAAACACACACACACACATGAGACCTACTGGCCTATCCCTTATCCATAGAGAAGCTAGGAAAAGATCTAAGCAATTTTAATAATGCAGATTTTCAACTGAGAGAGCAAATTTACTCACTCATTGTGTACATACACCAGTGATGATGCAGACAATAACTCAAACAGAAAGACCCAAAGCTGTTTTAAAAGTAATGGAAGTTAATGGTGCCAAGAGTATACAGACGGCGTGTTTACAGTTGTCTGATCTCCCCAGACTAGACTTATACTACCTCTTCTGAAACCACACAGTCATTCCCTGAAAAGCAATTTTAAATACTGTGGGAAAATTATAGTGTGGAGAGGGTCAAAAATGCAGCGTCCTCAATGCAGAATGGTTTCAGAAGTAAACTGCTATATAAACCCAGAAAAACTTGCACTTTGATCCACCTTCTACAAACCACTTAATATCCATGTTTTCTTTATGATCTGGTACAACTGAATGGAAGTAAACACAAACAGACACTATAGCCAGGAACCACATGACCACTGCACACTCTGTTCAGGTCCTGAAGACTTTTGAACTTGGTTCTGATCAGGCTGTAGGGCACAACTCTCCATGCCTCAAAATCAGAGGGAAGAACATGTGCAGGCAGAGTTATTTATATTTAGCGCTGGGAACATCATTGCAAAGCTTTGTAACTAGAGAAAAGCTGGCATAAAGGACATTTCAACTTGGGATATGTCTTTTACTTCTTTTATTTTAAAGGGAAATTCCAAGTGTTTTGAAAGTTATTTACACTGTCTCTAACTCATTTTAAACCACAGTGAAGATTTACCAGTCAATGGACTCTGCATCTTTGCTCTAGGACTTACAAGGTAAAGGTAATTCTTTAGTGTCAAAGGTAATGTAATAAAAAGAAAAAGGAACAAAACCAAGAAAACCACATTTTTGAAGAAATTACTTATCTTTTTGGCACTATGTGAATTGTGTTTCTCTGAGTACAACGCAATAAGGAACACAATCTGCCCACTGGAAATTAACCTCCAGGACAGTTCAGCTCCTGACAGATAAAGTAATTTTCAGTGACAGTTAAAGAAGCTGGGAGAGCCAGTGCTATCTGAAAGCAATACTCAATTTTATCTGCTTTTCACACTGCAGTCACAGCCTGAAAAATATAACACCAAAGGTTCAGAAACACACCTCCAGTGTTATAAAGAAAGACCCTGTCAGTGAGCATTTGTGCTGCCTTTTTAGTGCCTCCCAAGAGCAGGCGGGGGGAAACCAAACTGTTAGGAAGCAAAGCAGGTTTGTTTCACAGAAACATTGGAGATAAACTTACCAATATAATGTAAGTCAGGGAGAGAACTTGCTGGGATGTTTTCCAGCTGAGTCCTCCACGTGACATTCACTCCCAGGCGGTCCACACTCAGACATTCAACATAGACAGAGGAATTGTCACAGACAGGAACTGAGATGGTATTTCCAAATGCATCTACCTTTAATTCAATATTAAATGAAATTAAGGTTAGTCAAACTTAGAGTCTTCTAGTTCTTGTCTTTCCATGCTCATTTGCACTGTGCTATGCTCAAGGCAACATTTTCAAAAGGTCCAGTAAGAACAGAAATAGAATTAGGAGAATATAACTTTAGCAGGTTATTTACTCACTATAAGAAGAGTCAAAATGTTCACTTTGATCAAAACATATTTTAATAAATATTGGACTGATGTGATATGACTTCTATGGCTACAATTAAACTGATCCACCAATGTGGGGTAGTGAGTCTGAACATTGTACTTTCCTAGTCATCCATATAAGAGATTTCATAGTATTTTCTGCTCTTCTTTCTCTTTCGAAGATGCAAAGTTCTATTCTGTGTCTCAACATTTATTTATTTATTGAATAACAGAACTGAAATTACCTGGAGGTGACAGAAACCACGAGCCTTCAACTCATCTAAAATAAGTATCTGGAATGCCTCAAGTAATCCAGAATAGTCAGAACTACAAGTCTTCTGAGGAGGTAGCAGTAATTGAAAGTGTGTTTGAGCTTGGACTGTCTGAAATAATTGGAGCTCTAAAAAATAAATAGAAGGGCATTTATTAGCCTCACTATTTAACATAAAAACTGACTTCTGAAGTTACTTTGAGGAAAAGATGACATTGATTTGCATTTTTATCTTTCATCAATAACATCTCACCATTACTAGGTGAAAACAGTGGAGTTGTCCACAGTGAATAATATGAATAATAAGCAGAAAGAGTGCTTGATAAATATATATTTTGTGCACTACAGAAAAAAAAAAAAAAAAAAAAAAAGACAATATATATAATACAGATACATTTTACACCGGAGCAGTCACTCACAGAAGGATACGGAAAGATTTGGACCACTAATGATGATTTATTACAAGCCTTGGCAGATACGAACATACAGAGAACTAGATGAAAGCTGGCATTATGTCAATAATCAGAAAAGAAACAGAAAAACAGGAATTATTGGTCTGTCAACCTTCATTTCTCTCAGCTAAAATCAGGAAAGAGCTGATACAGGACTTCTATTTAAAAAGAAAATGAATGGTTACAGCAATTAATACTAATTCAAACAGGCTTTCAGAAACCTAGCCTGTTAAATTAACTTGGAATCAAGCTTTGGGAGAGAATAAATTTAATTGCAGAATAACAGCTTTGACATGGATATCTGAGAAGGGCCTTCTGATTTTTTGAGAGCAAACCAGAGTGACTCAAATCACACAAACCACTGAGAGACCTGTGAAGTCAATCTCAAAATGAAAACCTATTAAAACAGTAGTTAGACAGGAGGGGAAAACAAAAACAAACAAAGTGAAAATTCTTGTCTGAGTTATACTGATCACAGGCTTCTCAAAGAGTTTGTTCTCTCAGATTCGGCACAGCGTATCCACCAGCCTGGAGAAGTGGCAGAGCTCTCCCCTGCTCCCTAGTTCTACAGAGCCTCACTACAGCACGCACAAGCATCATTGCTGGAGCACAATTCCCACTCCCTTGCTCCCAAAATGACTGTGGAAAGTCTGAAGAGAGTCCAAGGAGAGTGGTTGTAAGGACCAAAAGACATAAAAGCCTGCTTCTTCCTGAAAGGCACAAAGCCCTTTATCTGTTTAGTTTATCGTAGAGTAATTAAGAGCTGACTTAACCACAATCTCTAAGTGTACACATAAGGAACATGAAATAAGGTTTTTAAAAGTTAGGGTAATTATCCATTGGAACAAATTGTTAAGTGGTGTGGTGAATTCTCTATTACTGTGACATTCATTGAATGACCATCAGATGTCTTTTTTCCCCCTCTTCTATTTCAAAAACAAATTGCTGAGGGAAGTCTCTTAGCTTGCGTTAAACAGAAGCTTGTATTAGTTTGCCACACACTCCCCTCTGGCCTTATAAACAGTTAATCGAGCATAACAGGCAAGCATGAAAATTACCTCATAGTATGGTATAAATATGTACCAAATATGTTTAAGGGCAAACAAAAGCCTCAATCTGAAATTCAAGTTTCAAATTGTTTACATTGAGAATAGAAAGCTTTGGATATGAGTAGAGATGTGTTAATACAGGAGTTTCTAGAAAACATGTGTAGCCCATTCTGGAGATGAAGATCTGTTGCAGACAGACAATGAATTGACAGACTTTTCATCAAGATCTGCATTTCTCAGAGTTAGGCAGTGCTATGAAGTTGCTGTATTGATTGGAACTTATCTCTGTTTGAAATAATTGAAAAGACCGACATTAAATCTCAATTACACGCATTCTGAATAGACAACTGATTCTTCCAAGATTTAAAGGGTGTGTTTGTTTGTTTTTTTTCTTGAAAGAAAAATGGTTTGAAAAACACTACAAGCCATCTAACTGAGAGAATAATCCTAAAGAACAGATTGCTACAGAAAGATGCAGAAGTAACAGTGACTTGATTATGCAAATAAACATACAGGTTCTGCCAAATTCAAACATCTGGTGCTCATCTGTTCCTCTAGGGCTAAGTGTTTCCATCAGAACCGCTTCATGGTGCCAACATCTTTTAACTTGCAAAGGAAAATCTGCATATAGATTGAATAACTATTTATAACTATGCTGTTACAGAAAAATGGGACTGTTTCTGGCATAACCAGTCAAAAGACAGCGATGAAGATGGCAGAAGACAGGACTAATCTACTGCACCTTAATTTAGAAACTCCCATATAACTGTGTCCTATCGTTGTAACTCATAATATAGCTTCATGATGAAGGAGGATTTTTGAACACCCATTTACATTGCTCTGTGCCCTTCCCAACCCATGGCAGTTCAGACGTACTTTGGCAGGCCTGGTAGAGCGGGGCAGCTGAGACCCATCGGTGCTGCAGCAAATCACACTGAAACGACGTGCTGGAGTAAGCGCTGTGGAAGCCTTGGCGACATATCAGACGGCACTGCTGAACGCCTGACATTTGCTCAGAAACCTTTTCGCAAATCACAGCTCCGTTGAGAATAGATGAGGCACCAAATGGCAGAGCACACTGGGGATCTTTAGGCAGGGGAGGAAAGAGATATATTAGGAGCATACTGCGAAACAGTTCTACTAAAATGTCCTCATAACCCCCACATAAACAAAGATAACCTAGAGAGCATTTCCCATATATATCAACTTAGATCTGGTTCGACATCACCGTGGTCCAGTTTTCTAATGCTGATGAAAAGACTTGTACTCATTTTGATGGGTAATGCACTGGGTACAGAAAGCTACGTGCATGGTTTTTAATAACAAATAAATTTTAAACAGTCATGAACAGATTTAAGCAGAAAATGAGAAGAAGGGTTCTTACCATCAACCTTCACAAAAGATATCCAGTGGAAACAGGCAGGGCCAAAAAAAAAATATCTGAGTTTTCTTTAGAGTGGAATTTCAAGATCAAGAACTCATTATTATGGTGCCTTCAATAGCACCAGGATGTTTCTGGTGACCCAGCAGATCCCTAGCTGTGATACACAGCTTTGGAATTAGAGTGCAAAATCTACCCTGTCAACTCACTCTGTATCAACATAGTCATTTCAAACCTGCTAGCCCACTATAACAAACTATAGGCTAACTAACATAATTGTTAACTTCTACTAACCAGTACAAACCAACTGCTTTGTTCAATATTAGCCAGATCCCAACCTACTTCCTGAATATATCTAGTAATACTTAAGCACACTTCTCAGTTCCAGAACTACAAAACATAAAGAAAAAAAAAAGAAGAAAAAAAAAAAGACTACCTCAATTCAAAATAAAGAAATAAAGTTCTCATATCCTACAATTCATTGGTTTGGTGTACATATGGACTATTTTCCAAACAACAATGCCCAGAGCTGTCCCAACCTCCCTAGTTTCTGAAGGGCTAATATTTCTCTAATAACTCTGTAAGTGGGGACTCTATTCTCTTCCTCTTTACTCCTTGAATCTCGATCCAATCTTTTTTTTTTTTTCTTAGTAAAGATGGAAACCTGTCATTCTTCCTTTATGAATATGAAGTTTTAATAACTCTCCAGAGATTTTAGGACTAAAAGATATCACTGTAAGAAATAGGGATACTTATCCTGACCAATGCAAACTACATCCACTTCCTGTAAATTACATTATCTTTTTATTCAAAATTAATAATAAATATTAAAAATCATTCTGTGATCTCCTTGTTATTCTAACACCTTTTCTTTTCTTTTCTTTTCTTTCTTTCTTTTTTTTTTTTTTAAACCCAGAAAATCAAATCCAGTCTCAGACATAAGCTGCTACAGTCTTGTACTGTCTGTCTCAGTAAGAGTTGGTCTGTAAACTAAAGAAAAAGAGAGCCCACCAAACACATAAAGGGGATGGATTATTTCCTGGTTTAGTTCACGAGTTTCAGTTCAAATCCCTCATCAACCAGTCAAGACAATTGGTAGTTTGTTCATTTATCCCTCTACAGTTATCACCTCCCTTATTATCATTATCAAGCCATTTTGTCATTCTATTTCTGCTTCAACTTCTTGGTCCTGTGGGAATGAACCAGAGTCAGGTTGAATATTGGCACTTCATTCACAGGTGTTTCTAAAGATTTCCAGAAGGAAAGTACTTTCTCTAGATGCTCTCCCCTCCTCTATCTCCACTCAGCGAAGTGGAAAGTAGGCCTGAGGATGGGAGGTGCATGTGGGGACTGCTAGGATATTTGGCATCAGTTCTCTGGTGTCTGTCAACTAGAAGAGCTTGGATTCTATCTCTGATGGAAATGATTAATCTAATGAAAAACTCATTGCAAGCTCTGGGCACTCTGAAGTTACTACTTGATGTTTACAGCTGTCTCTTCAGATGTTGCAGGAGAAGTTTATTGTACTCTCCCACCACAACAGCTTCTTTTGTTGACAGACAAGATATCCAAGATAGTGAAATAATACTCCCTTTTCTTTTTCCTGAACAATTATTAGTAGTTTCCAGGATGAGGCTGGACAGACTGAGGGGAAAAATAACTTTTTCTTCTTTATTCTTATCCTGTAAGTAAATTGTTTAGCATGAAAAAGTTCCACTGCTTTTTCAAAATCCAGAAAAATCATTAAAGATTATTTCAGTGGTATATCTATGTGCAAAATAACAAATGGTTCCCAGTAAAGCCAAGTTTCCACTAAATTTTTGAAGCAGGTATCTCTCTCTCTCAGTTCAATCTTTTAAACATTCAAGGTAGTTAATCATTCAGTCACTACTTCCTCTAGGAAAATTACAGCATTACAGGGTCCCAAGAAACAGCAAATGTCCAAGCAGAATGCAAAATCGTCTGAGGGCCCTATCTCATTGTACGCCTACACCTTCCTTAGATCATATTTCATAAGAATCTCTTGGAATTTAGGAGGAAATCCAGAAAATGAGCTTTTGTGAAAATGAGAAGATATGAAAGACTCACATTTAAAATTAATTCTGACTTTTCTCTGGCATACTACAATCTCTTCCACTTTTCTCTGTTCATTTTCAGAGTTTGTCAGAAAGTCAGCCTGCTCTATGGAGTGTCATGCATCAAAGTGATTTCCTCCACCTGGTCCAAACAAATTGGTAAATAGCTATTACACAGTCCAGTGCGCCACAGAAGTCCTAGCCCTTAATCTGAAGGCAGGACAGCTGCAGCACTACATTTGTTAGACTAATAAGCTCTGCTTCTCTGAAAAGCTAGAAAGCTGCACGTGACTGCACTGCCCTAGCTCTGGAGTTCATTTCTTCAGAGCTTTGTTGGGCAACTCCATATAATACCACACTGTATGGGGCAGATATAACCCTGTGATCTCCCTGTGGCTTCTCAAACAATCATGTCCTCAAAGTTGTCTATTGGTACAAGAGGGTTCAAAGAAAATGATGTTGTAGGCTGTTTCCAAATTGGCTGAGGAGTTATCTAATTGATTAAAATGCTTTACAGAGAGTTAGGCTGACACCATCAGCTTGAGAAGCACATTTTGCTCATTATATAGCATAATCACAGAAGGAAACCTAAGCAATTTCTTATTATGTGGCCTCATTTTCCAAAATCTACCAACAGCTCTCATTTAAAAAAATGTAAGAACTATGGAAACAGTGGTGTCCTGCAGGCACTGGCTCTTGAAGGTTTTCTTTTTACATCTTTAGTTTCAATTAATCATTGCACTTTGGAGCATGGCCTTGTAGAAAATTTCATTTGTTCTGCTTCACTTCAGTGATGGGGAGATATATAAAGACCATTGGAAATAAAAGTTATCCAAATATCTGCCGTTTGGACATCTCACTGGAAACCATGAGTGAAATCCAGTACTCTGCAGCTCTCATAACACAGGAAATACTCTGTGAATATGTAGTGTTTTGGCACATCCTTTTCACAATTCTGACCACTAGCCAAGAGTAGGAATGGCAGAAGCATACATTTTTAAAATTGTATTTTAGTCAGTTGAATGGCTTTTAATCCCAGAGCCAGCTCACACTGGAACAGGTTCAAGTTTGCATCAAACTGTTCAGGTGGACTTTTAACAAAGTTTAACAGCCCTTTGATTTACCTGATTTTATGAACAAGGAAATGTCAAAGATCTAGACCCTCCTCCTTCTCCATGACAAAGTACTTGAATAAAATGGGATATCATGCCCAGATAGGTCTGAAATCTGCTATAATACAAAAATAATCATACTAACAGCAAAAATATAATGGTCCGATCAAAGAAGCTTAAATACAACTAAATACTGGAAAAAGTTAGGATCTGAGTCTAGTTCCAGACCTGAACTTGCACGAAAGCAAAATGCCTCAAGCATCAACTCACTTTCACATGCAGGTCTTCCTCCGCTTACTCGTGTCCCAGGCACCTCTTCTCCATTGTCAAACACACACCAGCAGCTTTCTCCATCCCGGCTGCACTGCACAGGTGAGAACACCCCCTTGTCTCCTTCACACTGTGGGATGTAGCCTTTACCAGATTCTCGTAAACTAGTTTTGGACTTCAACATATTACAGTAACTAGGACCTTTAAAGAGAGGAAAATCATTGCAAGATGCAGAACAGAAGACAGCAAACTGATAAACTGAAGTACAGAATTGTCCTAGACACTTCAACAATAGTGCTTTTAGTACTGCTAAAAATAAAAATATAAGGGAATACAAAATCACAATAAATGTGTATCATTACAGAAATGTGTGAAATTTTAGTTCCACTAGGAAACATTTTGTTTGTTTCTTTTGTTTTGTAAAGACTAAAGTGCATGATATATGAGTTTGCACCAAGAAAATCGAGGAAAAACTACAAAATACGATATTGATTTATTTTGTGTTAACATCCTTTCTTGCCATAAACTTGACAGTGCATCACTTATAGGCTCACATTTTAAATTTAAACAAAACAAAACAAAATAAAATAAAATAAAATAAAATAAACATTCTGTTTAGTAAGAATTTTTGAGCAAGGTCATTTGAAATATAGTAATACTATGATTATTTAACATTTTAAAATAGTCCAAATGTCCCAGTTTAGTACCTTTGGAACACAACTCTATACATATGCAAAATCACACAAACCAGCAGTATTTATGGTTTAAAAAAAAAAAAAAAAAGACAAGGACATCTGCTTGAGGAACTATCCACACACAAGAAGATCCAAAAAAGTTCAACCCCAGCTTGCATTGAAGTTAGTATTTACTAATTTTTTTCATCCACAAATGCTGGAGTAAACTTTTAAACCTGCATGGTGATTCAGGGAACCAATGTACAATTGTCAATTCCTCAGTGAGAGTGCAGTTACTGTCCCTGTCAGTTGAAGGGAGACATGTTCTTAAAAAATAATTAATCTAGGTCCCAAAACTTAATTCATACCACTGCTTGTCAGTGCTAGGTTAGAGGTTGGACTAGATGATATCAGAAGTGCTTTCCAACCTGGATGATACTGTGCTTCTCTGACTCCCTTATTGCAAGTGGCTCAGTTGCTACAGCTCAGAAATCACCCTGAAAACTCATCCATGAGCCCAAAGCTATCACTTTGTGTAGACTTTGTTTCTGGTGTTGTGAAAGTAAAGGGTAATTATTTTCAGCTAGCCTTGTAAAGGTATGTGCTTACACTTGTCACTGGAAAGTTAAACCCATGTTTCCATGTTCATTATTCCTTTTTTTTTTTTTTTCACTCAGGTAGATAATGATAGGACAAGGTGGGTGGTATTAAACTAGAAGAGAGGAGATTTAGATCAGACGTTAGGAGGAAACTCTTCACTCAGAGGGTGGTGAGGCACTGGCACAGGTTGCCTACAGAGGTTGTGGATGCCCCATCCCTGGAGGTGTTCAAGGCCAGGCTGGATGGGGCCTTAAGCAACCTCATCTATGGGGAGATGTCCCTGCCTATGGCAGGGGGGTTGGAGTTAGATGATCTTTAAGGTCCCTTCCAGCCCAAGCCATTCTATTATTCCATGAGATGGTACAATTGCCACAACAGGCTGCAGGTAAAGCATTACTCACATTCAGGATTGCCATCTGAATCTATGCTGCCACGCTGAAATACTTCTCCTGACACAGGATCTACACACCAAATGTCCGTGTAGGATCTCTGTAGCACAGCATATTCTCCTGTCTAAGAAAAATCAATTACACTTCACTGCATAGCAATCGATATTAACAGAGACACTCAGAAATCCATATCCCAAAAGTGTGGTTAAAATATTGATTATATATACATTTGTCCATTATAATACATGTTAATGAGAAAAATGAAATGTTAAAATATAGGTTACCTAGTAGAAGACTGAAACCACACCCTGAGAGAGAGTATGTAGACTGAAAGATGGGTATAACCTTGATTTGAAGTGTCTTTTTCTTGCCCATCTCAGGGCTCTACCCTGCTCAATGCCATGTTTCAAACATCATGGACCCCATTTTGGTATACCCATATCCATCTCCCTCTCATCCTCACATTATTTCATAGCTCAGAAAGCAAAAGTTTCACAAAAGTCAGTTAATTAAGTTGTGCCTTTTAAACTCAGCCGTGTGTAAGGCCTAAGCAGTTCCACCCTGCAGGAGGGAAGTGCAGGCAGGAACAGAGCTTCCTGTTCCTCGTCTTCATCTCAGAACTGTTTAAACTCTGCTTTATGGAGGGCATAGCCCCCTTTATGTTTTGTCTAACACCTTTCTTTCAGGTTAATAAGAATGCACAGGGGATATTTAGTGAGCACAGACTGAAATACTATTGTCCTTTTAGCAAAACCAGGAAGGTTTTGTTTCTTCTTCCTTCATCCATGCTAAATTACCTCAAGGCAGTAGGGGACAAACAGATATGCTGCAGAAGCATCCACCTTCGAGCCACTCTGTCTCCAGCTGGAAATTAAGGCATTGGCTCGAGATCTCTGACATGATGTCTGGCCTGTAAGAGAAAATAAAACAAACAAACAAACAAACAAAAAAACATACATGTATATTAAAATAAAATTGAGTTCTCAAAGCTGACCTAGAGAAAGATGGGTCTTTCTATCTCCTTCACACATCTACATGATAGAGCATCAGGCAGGGAACACCTGACTGGTGTTTGATAACAACAGTAGAGGGTTTGTTCCCAAATCATGTAAATTGAATTCATAAGAACTGAAATGAAACACATGAGCAAAACAAGCATAAAAGGCTCCTTTCTATTTTCTTGCAATGGTTCAAAACAAGACATGTTTCTTGCGTATCTTACTAGAATTTTCAATAATTAATTTTTTTAAGAACAAGTAAATACAGACATTTAAGAAGAAAAAACAACTGACATTTAGGAAGTTCTGCTGAACGCGAGACCAAGGAATCCATAACATAATGTCCTCTTTCATCCACACACCAGCAATGACCTGCCCAGGGAAGAAAAGCAGACTTATTGTAGATGTTGTATTGCAGTATTCCTAGTTAACTTTGTTGCATTCTTGGAGGATTTTAATCCCCTGCAAGTGGTCAGTAAGCCTAAGACACAGTTAACTCTGGTTTCCAGAGATAAGTAGACCATACTTTGGAACTGTGATGCAAATGGAAATGTAGCAGCTCTGGTGAGAGTCCTCCATTGCAAGCTCTGTTATGTGGTGTATCACCTATTCCCATCAATTTAGTATAATCCACAAAGTTGCTGAGAGTGTGCTCTGGTCTCATTGCCCTGGTCATTAACAAAAGCATGAAATAATTTCCAGCCCCCCAAAATGACCTCTTAGGACCACTACTAGCAGCAAGCAACTCATCATCGATCAATTTTTGAGCCCTTATGAGCTGTCACTTGAGTCCCTCACTCCGGTCAATAAATATTTCACCCATCATGGAAGCCCACCTATCTATCTCTCTCCAGTTTGACTACAAGAATATAGGTTTTCCTTTTTTAAAATAAATAAATAAATAAACAATAATAATTCTTAGATTTTCTGTGTTCAGACAATGTGGAGTATTTTTCTGGTGATTGCTCACCTGTGCTCTCATAGCACTGAGTTGGCTCCCAGTTTCCCAGGCCATCACACTGTGGGATGTAGGGATGAAATCCCAGTTGTGTTGCTTCTCCAGCAGAACCCTTCACAGCAAAGTGACTCCGCCAGTAGAAATGCAAGACTGTAAAAAAAAAAGTAAGAGAAGATATTGGTGGCCAATACCAGAAGAGATATTTTAAAAGTACATGTTTACAAACATCTGATTTTTCCTTGTACTTTAGAAAGGAAAATAAACACTGCAGATGTATATCTGACCTATGCAGGGATCCATACATACAGAAAATCTGAAATCAACTGAAATCAGATCTTGGCTTAGGTTACATTACACTAATAAGTAACACCTGCTGAGTTGCACCTATCTTTCAGGAAAGCTGAGTTCCTTGTAAAGTACCCTTGCACAGATCCTGGGCATTAATCTCTTTAATTAAAATCATCTCCATTTCACTTACCCGATCGTGCAGCCAGTTGGAGGGAATAGTCACTGCTTGATAACAACTTTTCGGAGACCATCACCTCTGGCTCATAGAGCTGAGCAGAACGTAGGAGGTCACTGTCTGTGAGCTGTATTCCCTTTGCCATCAAGAAACTCTCTCCAAAAGGGAAATGGGAAGTGTTTGATGCTCGGATGAGTTGCTCTGCTTCCTCCATAAATTTAATGGCTTCTTGCTTAACACCTTCACATACACCAGGACCTAGAGAAGGCATAGGAAAGCTGACACTTGGCCAGTCCTTACATACATCTGCAGGATTGGACATGGAAGTTCAACACACAGAACCAACCCAGCTAAAACTTTTCTGCTAGAATAACTGTTAATCTGCTTTATCCTCTCTATTTCCCATTTGCTCACAGAACAGGCTTCTCCAGTGCTCCTTACCCATTTGGGAGTTTGCAATTCATTGTTCTGCCTTTTCCTTCCAGCTAGAAAATTATGATGTGACAAGAATGGTTTTAGAGACTACATTTACAATATAATTAATCTGCTGAAATAACCCAAAGAAGACCCAATAGCTTTAGTGGAGATGCTCTAGACAGAGGGCTTACCACCAAACTCTAGTGCTGGCCTCACTCTTGTCCTAGTGACCTGTTGGGGATATCTGTTACTCTTGACTGAATAATAACAAACAGTAAAGCAAATTCCTCCTGCATCATTTTAAGGTGTTCTTGAAAGTCATTTACATCAGTTACTGTAACTGAATTTCCCACAAAAATCTTTACAAGACTGCTTCTAGCTTTAAAGTGTCCTTTGGTGTCTGGCTAAGTAGCTTCTGAAAAAACATTATATGTCCGTGGTCCAAATTATAAAGTCTACACAACCTTGTCATAGAACTTTATTCTTCCATACTTCCAAAGCTGAAACACTACTTGTTTTCCAAAAATGAGTTTCCCTGCCTGTGGTGGCTGGTGACAATGGCAGTATGGAATAATTAATGGAGGTGATATGTTGAGATGAAAGGTATGCCCAAATCTTAAGAGAAGGAAAACTGAGGAAAATTCCAGGGTGAAATGCAGTAGACATGCAAGGAATCTGTTCCATGATAGTCCCCTTGGTAACATAACCTACAGCCTTAGATATTGGCAATACCAGGGGAGCTTGGTGTGCTGACTCCAAGTGAAATAGCACAGAGGGTGGAGCAGGGTGGAAACACCATGGCCAGGCTCTGTGATATCTCTGCAGGGATGGGAACTTGATGGTACTATGGAACCGACAGACTGCATCGCCGTTACCCTAAGCAAGCCCTGAGTTGAACTGATAAACTGCATAGCCAGCCCTGAGCTGGCAGTTTTCCATTTTCTGTTGAAATCATGTCCTCTGGGTGAACTTTGCCCATTATAACCTCATAATATTGCCAAAATACTCCTCCATCCCGAAGGCTGTCTGTCTTCAAGGTATGATCACTCCTCACTGAGTACACGCTCTGAATTTCTCTCAGCCTATAAAGCCTCTCACACCAGTCTTTAATCTACTAGACTGATGGTGTATCTTGCTATTTGTGCATCCATGATTGTAGTAGTTCAATGTATTGAATGTGGTTGGACTTGTAGTACAAATTAGGCATCACTCAGAATCTAAGACCAGATGCTCCAGCCCCTCTGATATCTGAGGACAAGCTGAAACAGCTTGGGTTTACTTCCTGCCAAACTTTACCCTTTAACACAACAGGCATTATCAATGATCTTTCCCCAAGCCATTATCTGCTATCTCATTGCACTTAAAAGTACTTTTTTTCCTGTGCCAGCAATTCTGCTACTTACATTTTGGAACCTGGTTCACTTCTGCCCTTGTTCCCTGCAGCTCTTCTCCTTTGCTATCAACACACCAACAATCACGAAGTTCAAAGTTGCTTAATGGAGTGCTGAAATCAGTGTAGGGTCCTGGGTAGTAGGTCAGCTGCTCATTCAGAAGCTGCCAGAATGTATACGGATCCAATAAAATGTTCCCAGATGCATAGGTCACATTTCCTTCCAGCACCTCAGGTGGAAGATCAGCGAAGGAGGAATAGGTGGTGAAAGCTGGGAACACATTCTGGTGCCCAGCCTCATACAAAGCTTTAATAAAACCTGAAAAGCCTTTGGAAGAGGCATTTTTATAAACAGTTATGATGTTCAATAGATCAGAAACAGGCAGAGGTTTGCCTTCATTGTTCTCTGTCATCCACCTTTCATACCACTCAAAGGCTTGCTCAGGAGGACCGCTGCACTGCACCTGCCTCCAGGCACCGTCATCATTGCACTGGGGCACATAAATGCTGGAGGGCTGAGACAGGACACTTGGATCTGACAACAGGACTTTCACACTCTTTAGAAACTCCTGACCGGCTGTTACTTGGCAAGCACTGGGGCCTGGGGAAAAGAAAAACATGCATACCACATCTTACGAATGCACTGAAGACATACAACACCCCTAACCTAAACATTCTTGCTATTATACTATCAACACCATTTTTATTTCCCATTGGACTTCACCAGAATTTTCAGTTTATGTTGTTCTCCCTTCCTACCCTGTAATGAATATTGCAGCTGGATATAAAAATACCATCCTACAAGATGTAGGAGTGAGTGAGTTTTCTTTTGGAAGCTTTTTCTGACACCTTCAGAGCCAAATCTTGTTTTGCCACCAAGCAGTTCTACAAACAGAGCAAAACATAGGAGCTCACCTCCTTCTGCACACCACAGCATTATGAACCTGTTTGTTTTTGACTGCACTCCAGATGGGTTGGTAGGAATAAATCCCTTACCAATTTAGAGCAGTGATGAATTCTCCAGTGCTTCTTAAACTGCTGCTCAGAAGAGCTCCTTTCCTATGTACCATGTACCTATGTACTTCCTATGTAGCTGGATACCCTGCTAAAATGAGAAGCAGGTTCTTCTTTTGGCCTGTTCCTACTGTTAACGTGTTGTTTTCAGTTCACAGAACCATAAAAGACAAATATCCCCAGCCTGCGTGCTGCCTTCTTCATTTGTATAACATTAATAGAAGAGCAGAAGAGGCATTCCATAGAACCATTGAATTACTTAGGTTGGAAAAGACCTCTAAGATCATCGAGTCCAATCTATAACCTAGCACTACCAAGTCTACCACTGCACCATGTCTCTAAGTACCACATCCACAAGTCTTTTGAATACCTCTGGGGATGGTGACTCAACTAATTCCCCTGGGCAGCCTGTGAAGTGAAGAAATTCTTCAGTGAAGAAATTTTTCCCTAATATCCAACCTAAACCTTCCCTGGTGCAACTTGAGGCCATTTGCTCTTGCCCTATCACTTGTTGCTTGGGAGAAGAGACCGACCCCTACCCTGCTACAACCTCCTTTGAGGTAGTTGTAGAGAGTGATAAGGCTCCCCTGAGCCTCCTTTTCTCTAGGCTAAATAATCCCAGTTCCTGCAAAATGCAATGCCAAATTGCATCTGACAAGTCATTTGTGACTCACAAGACCTTTATGAGAAACCCATCAGTCTTTGAATCCATCTTCTATGTTCAGTCTCCTGTGATGGCCTACCAAGTTGAGGATATATTCTTGAGCTAAAAGACTAAAAGTCCATGGTGTAAGACACTGAAGCTCTTCAGTTCTCAGAACAAGAATGAGCCAGTGACTGCCCAGGTTACTTGGTCCTGGAAGCAAAAGAGCTTTTTCAATTGGCAAGGGCACACAGATGCTCCAGGTCTCATGGGCACCAGCGATGTTATATATCCTTTACTACACATTTAAGTAAGACAGATGTCAATGACGTAGTCATTAACAAGGCAGGACCTCAGGGTCCTCTGTTGTGAGTGTACCTACCCCACATACTGAAAGAAAAGGGGACTGTTTTTAAGACTTAGGATACCAAGGTTTATGTACACTGTATTTCCCACTATCCCCCTGCACCTGTAGGGCTGACATTCTTATCTGTTAGGGGATAATATTGTTTGTATACATCATCCACACATTTCCAGAAATAACCAGATATGAAGAATTAAATCATGAAATTCCAACAAAATAAGGAAGCATCTCTACATTCCCAGTTCCTGGAACTTACATTGCATGGGTTTTCCAGTATTTCCTCTTATTCCTGGAATAGTCTTGCCATTCAAGTCAACACAGAAGCAATTTGTCCCATAACACTGGAGTGGCAGGAAGTCTCCATCCTTGGTACAAGAGGGAATAAAAAGATCTGATCCTGCAGGCAGGCTTTGTTTCAAGTTCTGCAGGTTTCTCCTTTGCTTCTCACACTCAGTGGGACACCTTGGACGTTCACCTCGAACTCTTGAGCCTGGAACTTCCTTACCTGAAGTGTCCAAACACCAGCACTCTCCTGCATAGCACTGAACTTCCTCATACCTCCCCTCCGTGGTGCATGTTGGAACAAATAGGTCCTTTGCCTCCTCACCACAGTCTTTGGATCCCAATGCTATTTTCACCACTTCACCTAAATCTTCAGCAATGCTTCTGGGGACAGAAATCACTTGTTGAAGAAAGGTAAAGAATGCTGGTAGTTCCAGGACAGAGGAAAGGAATTTCATCATATTCTGATTGTCCTGAAGAGTTACTGTGCGGCCAAAGCTGCCTACAAGAGGTTGGATCAAAATGGAGCTCCCCCTTGATACTTCCAATGCAAATGCTTCAGCTGATTCCAGAAGGCCTTGGCCATTATCCCTCCCTGTCACATTTTCCTCTTGGAAAAACTGACCAATGCTGTATTTGCCACTAGTGCCAAGTGCCCCTGTGAAGTTGAACTGGATCATATTCTTCAAGAACTTTCCTCCAAAGAGATTTTCTTGGAAGCGCTTTGGATTGGCCGTAAATTGCAATGCCACTTGAGCCAGTCCCCTTGATGGGAATATTCCTCTGATGGCTTCACTAAGGATGGATTCTAGCCCGGAAATCTGGCTGGCGTATGGGCTTTGCATGACTGGGGATGACAGTCCAGAGACCTGAAACAGCTCCTTGATGAAGGGAGGGCAGGGTCTTGAGTAGCCAGCTATTTTCTCTGACTGCACATCTGGTGTGGAAAATAAATCAGGCTGACTGAAGTACCCGGCAGGGCCATAAAAGATCCTTGACAATGCCTGTCGTCTCTCAGAGATGCATATTTGTTCTTCACCTAAACAAAAAGTAAAAAGTACAAACTTCAGAACCTCCAAAACCTGCTATTTTAAGGATACCTTTCAATCAGTCTCAGCAGAAACCACTGAGTGTATTTCAATTTGTCTCTAGTTCCCTAACTAAGCATCAGGCACACTGATAAGGAAACTTAAACTGTTGCTGAGTGTAACCTATAAACTTCTTGTTGCTGAAGTGTAAGAGTAAACTTCTCTATTTGAGACACAAACTGAATGGATACTTCCTCCAGTATGTCTCAATTTACTGCTCTGTGACCTTTTTCTAAATCTATTGTTTTCCAGTGCAAATCCCCATTCCTCTTCCTATGGTTGAAAGTATGAACAAAGTCTTTTCCAAACACATTCTCTGGTACGATGCCTGCTTCTAATAAAAAGCCCAGATGATCCAGGCGCAATATGTGAACACAAGAAAGGGAAACAGATTACAGAAAAAAAGAAATAGTCATTTTCACCAGTGCTCTCTAATGGAAAATTTATGGAGGCTTCCTACGCAGGCCACCCACATCCTGGGGCAAGCTATGCCATAGGTGTGCCTGTTTCCAGTCCAGTCTCTGTACATTCATACAAAGACATCAGAAAATGAAAGACTTCATAGATATAAAGACTTAGATATAAAGACATAGATATAAATGACTTCCTTAAGAAATGCTGAACGCAATGACCTGGGTTCAACCTCCAGTTTGGGGATTGCATAGCCCGCAGGCAACAGGAGGACATATGAAAGAATCACTCTGCATTTCCCAGTGTTTTTCACACTTTCTCCTCAAGCACCACTGTCATCCCTGATGGGGACAGGATGGTGGATGACTAGCTTTGATCTGTTTCATCATAGCATCCAGTGGGCTGACCCCCATCTCCATCCATTCTACTTCCAGGCAATATAATAAAATAGTCCTGAACCCTGCTAACAGTGAGGATAAAAGCTGGAAATCCTAAAAGCTTCTCAAATAGGGTAACAAGTAATCTGAGGCTCTGTGCTCAGCATCTTGCTCACTTCTCCTTTATAACCCTTTCCCGCTCCACATTTCCTGGCATGCACTCAGGTCCCTCACAGTGGTTCCTTCGTGAAGGCATTTTCTGTAGGATGGGCCCCTTCTGTGTTTAGTGTTGGCTCTTGGTAACAGAGATGAAGAACATCGGTTTACACTAACTTATTGGTCCCTAGAGCACAATCCACAAGTATACAAATCCAAAACAAATGTAGGATCACAGACGTTGAATGCTTTCCCCTCCTACTCATTGTTGAATCAAATCAAAGTAGAGTGAGAAGGAAAAAAATAAATTAATCAAAAACCAGAAAAGCACTGCTGGGGTGAATTTACTCTAGTATTTGTAAAGGAGCACATCCCCATCTGAACTGCCTGGTGCTCCAAGTCACATGAAAACCCAAGATACCCCTCACACCTACACCTCTGCCTCCTCCAGCATGAACATTGGTGGGGTAAGAGCTGAAGAAATCAAACAGAAATAAAACAGAGCAGCAGAGCAGGAGAAGCACATGGCACGTATCTGGCTGGCCACAGGCTCCAGCTATATCCTCATGGAATACCTTATTGGGAGTTAGTCTGCAAAACCCCCACAGAAATTTTCCCTGCTTAAATTTCCTGAGTCTGCCAATAAAAGCTGCAAGCAGCCTCATGTCACACCTCCCAAAAAATTATCAGGAAGGCTCAGAAAAGCACCCACAAAAAAACAACCAGTCCCAACACAGGGTGAGGCCTTCCAGAAGCTCACTTTCAATATCGCTTGGTGATCAGCCTTGGAGTCATGCAAACTTTTTCATTCAGTAAGCTTGTCTGTGCCTGGGGCACACTGAGTGACTTGGAACCATGACACCCAGGGTAGATTCCTCCCTTCTTTATCTGCATGGTACAACTGTGTCTTGTAGACAGAAAAATGAACTCCCCTGAAGGCATCTTTCCTTAAGACCTCATGCCCCAGCCCTCCAGTGCAATCCTGAATATTTAGGTAGTGCACTTTGGAGTCAAAGTTTTTAAACTTTCCTCCTCCCCTCTGGCCCTTTGACATTTCTGCTGTCATTTCCATTTGGGGCACAGATCTGATGGTGTTTACTTAATGAAAGCTCTCTCAAAGTGCAAACCCAGACACCTTCCCTGAATTGTTTTCTACCAAGTATGCACTGAAAGAAATGCAGGGGAAAAAAACATTCAGGATGAGAGAGAGGACATCTTTGAAGCTTGGCTTCTTCTGCATTTCAGCAGAAGAAGGTGGTAAAAACCCCAAAACTCCATCACCAGCTTTCTTACATTATCCCAGGTATTGTGAATTGATGCCCAGCTCCTGGAATCAAGACATAAATATTATGGCTGCAAAGGAAAGCCTCACCACCTGAAAAACTGAAAGGCTAAAGGCAGATTATAAAGGAAATTAATATAATATTTATTTTTTTTATATTTAATATTTTATTCAAATGTGGTTTTTAACTCCACAGAGGCTTTTGGATCCTGGTCCTTTAGGATTTGTTTGTTTACCAAAGACAAAATTCCCACGGCAGATGAAGGGTTTGGAGAGGGAAGGTGAAAGGACCTGGCTTGAACTGGAAGTGTACATGAATGTACAAGGCAGTGGTATTTGCCAGCATTTTTCCCTTTTACTTAACACATACCGCAGGCTGGAGGCTGTCCTCGTCTCTTGGTGCCCTGGACCTCTCTCCCTTTGGTGTCCACACACCAGCACTGCCCTCCCTGCTGACACTGCACTGGTGTGTAGCCCCCATCAGGGTCACAGGATGGCACGTAGGCATGCTGGTAGCGCACGGCTGCATATCGCTCAACCTCACATTTTGAGGGGCCTGGAAAAAAAAAACAGGAGGGAAAAGTTTCAGAGCCATCTCCACTTGATCCCATCATTTGCCTATTTTTGAGAAACCTGGAAGAAAAAAAAAAAAAAAGGTTTAATTTCCTGAAACTTCAAGCACCAGCCCAAGGTTAAAATTCTCCATCCTCTTTCACCTAAGGGAAGTGGTCCCATGGTTTTCTTCTGTAGGTACTTGTTTCTGAAAACTGAAAAGAAAATAAAACTAAACTCATTTTTCAGCTGTAGCCATGGGTAGCGATAAACAGAGTTTCTGACTCAGTGAGCTGTTCCAGCGGCTAGGTGAGCTCTGGTCCTTAATGGAAATGCAAAAGTGACCAACAGAGAAACGTGATACAGTGTTTTTGGTGAGAAGAGGTGTTGCTCCTGCAAAAGGCACCACATCTGGCTGCAGAGATTTGGTCTGGGACCACAAATTTCTTTGGCATCCTTCAACGAGGAACATAAGACCCCATTCCTGTCAAACTGGCCAGAACTGATGAAGAATCTAAAACTCCACAATGCAAATTTTCTGAGCTATGACTTCTCCCATATTAGACTCAACCCTTGTGACAGAAGCTTTCCCTGTTTATATAACCTACAGTCCCACAGCCTAAATTTTTCTCACCTTCCACAGCATTCCAGCTTCATTCAGCCAAGAGACGGGGGCAGCAAGAGCATTGCATCAGAAACCCTTCATCCAGCACCTAGCATGCATGGCTTCAGGTGATGGGTAACTCACCCCAGTCACTGCCAGTGGCTAAGGAGCGTGATCGTGTCTCCATCTTGTGGCTGTTACAGCTTCATCTCTGCTGACAGCCACTGCCTCTATCTGCAGTCAGAGCCTGTTTCACAGCACTGTGCAGTGGGAGGGGAAAGATGCTTTCCAGACCCCCTAAAACGATCAGCTCTTCCCAGAAACAGAGAAACTGTGTGACCTGTGTGACTGGAAGACTTGCATTGGTATCTGCTTAATATCTCTGGTGACGTAGCTCCTCTGCAAGGGTCAGATACCAACGTCAGAGTTTGGATAGGAGAATGAAGAATCACAGCAGCGGATACAAACTTCCCTAGGCAATTCTCCTAGGCTCTGGTGTAGGAGAAGGAAACACCTTACCTACTGTCCTGCAGAGTTCATTGCCCATAGGCTGAGAAACACATCCCATTTTCCTGCCCTCACCAGGGAGGGAACAGACCCAAGGGCAGATCCAGAAGTTCAGCCTTGCTGGCTCAGGCACTACAACCTCTTGTATAGTCTCCTGGGGATGGAATGGGCTGTGGCCAATGTAAGATCCTTCTTATTTCTGACTACTGTCGGAAATTAGGGAGCATTTTCTCAGGCTTTTAATACAATAAATCATCAGATCCATCTCCAGAATCTCAAAGCAAAAGATAGAGAGAATTCACAGGCTTTCAACTAACACAAACCTCAAGTGCATGGGAAGTTTTCATCGGAGGATAGGTACACTCTGCTGCTAAAAGTCTACAGCCCAAAGACTAAAAGTCAGCTGCAATGGGGGGACCTTAATTCTTGCACCAAAACTGTGATATTATAAGCTTTTAGTACAGGAGACTATTAAAACAACTCTCCACAATAGCAGCTGTCATAAAGATCTGAAATTATCATTCCATTTGCAGGGAATCACCTGGGTGCTACTTACATCTGAACCGGCCGGAGGTAGCCAGCTGCACACCCAGAAACCTCCTCTGCAGGATCCGATAAATGCTGGTCTCTGTGAACGTGCGGGCAGGCTCCAGTGCTGAGAAAATTGTGTCGTAAACTTCATCAAGCAGCAGCTCCAAGCCTGAGAAAGAGAGACTTTTAGCCCAGAGTCTGATTTTAAGACAGAAGTCATCTTCTTTGCACCAGAGGAGTGGAATTGGAAACCTACCTTGAAAAAGAAAACCCAAGTCCTCTAAACTGGCCCAAGTGTGAACTTATACCACATAACCCAAATGCCCTGTACCATAAACCCTGCTGCTGAGTGCCCCCTGTCATTGGCTTTGCACTTTGACATGCACCAAAATGAGCAGAAGGAGCATCCAGTAACCCAGCACTGGGCTGTGGTTGCGTTAGGTTCAGTTTGCAGTAGTGCCATTGATACTGTGCAATTATATCACTGCCTAGTGTTTCCAAAGACCAATTCCTAACCATTTTGTTTGTATAACAAGTAAATGAAAAGTGCAGTCATTCCTCTGAGCACACAGATTTTTGGAGAATTTCTCTTAGGAACTAAATACAAAAGTTCTCATCTACCATGTAAATTTTAAGCCATCATGCTCTGCATTTTTCCCACGCTATTTGTTTGTTTGTTTGTTTTGTTTTGTTTTGTTTATTTTTGGCTTTATTTTTTAAGCAGCAGTATCTAAGGAAGAGGATCTGGAAGTGTTCTACCTCCTCTTTTTTGGGGAGCAACAACAAAAAAGAACAAAAAAACAGTCCTTTCCTTTCCTTTCCTTTCCTTTCCTTTCCTTTCCTTTCCTTTCCTTTCCTTTCCTTTCCTTTCCTTTCCTTTCCTTTCCTTTCCTTTCCTTTCCTTTCCTTTCCTTTCCTTTCCTTTCCTTTCCTTTCCTTTCCTTTCCTTTCCTTTCCTTTCCTTTCCTTTCCTTTCCTTTCCTTTCCTTTCCTTCCTTTCCTTTCCTTTCCTTTCCTTTCCTTTCCTTTCCTTTCCTTTCCTTTCCTTTCCTTTCCTTTCCTTTCCTTTCCTTTCCTTTCCTTTCCTTTCCCCAAAATGTCCCATCAACCATTAACATGCCTGAAAGGTAACCTTAGGCTACGACAGAATAGGATGACCACCAGAATAGGATGACCACCTAAGCAAGAAGAAAATAGCTCAGCCTCCAGGTCCTTTATATTCCCCTGCATTTTCTGATTGGACATTGAATAGGATTCAGCTTTCAAAGGTGGACAGAAGGTGGACATTCCAAAATCTTATTGACCATTCCAAAAAGGACAGGGTTAGTTCCTAGGCAGCGGCTCCTGCTGGAGCTCTGCTCCGAAGGGTGGGGTTCACATTGTGTGAGCAAGTGTCATGAGAGCGCACCAGCCTTTCCCATACACTGGTCACATCAGCTGCTCTGTGCCCTTACATCTTGCAGAAATAAACCTGGAGTCCCAAAGGAAGCTAAACACTGACACTTTTTACCTGTCCTTCTCCTTGGGAGTTCAAAGCTGCTGAAGTTGACATGTGAGGTGCAGGGAGGTACTCACCGGTGTCTGCTAGCTCTCTCCCCAGGCTGTCCGAGCAGTAGCAGTACCCAGAGACCTCCGGGAACGTCTCCCGCAAGGAGCTGAAGGTTTGGAAAGCTGCCGGGAGCCTGGAAGAAAAACAACCTCCTGTGAAAGGCTCGGGGAGGCCCATTGACAACAACAACAAAGCATTTGAGCTTCCCTCCCAGATTTGTATGGCAAGGATGTCTGCCCAGCACAAAGCCATTGTGCAATCCTTCGGTCTGCTAGAGTCAGCCAGACTCTGACATGACCCAAATCAACTATTCCATAGGATAACAGGTCTCATGAGTTCCTTTTAACTATACAGGGCAATATCTCCCTTCTGACAGATTTTGGATCCTTCCTATGCACATACCCCGTCTCTAACATTCATTTTCAGTTCTGCTCCTACCCTTGAAAGCCTGCCAAAGAGTGTAAAATAGAGGCACGTTGGCCTAATGTTATTACAATAGCAGTTCATTAACTCCTTCCACAAGTCTGCACAGGATGGCAGAGTGCCTAAACAAACAGGTTGCTTCCTCTCCCTGCCACGCTATGTATACTTTTTGCACTGAATTAAGCACAAAAGCTGATAGAAACCTCACTAATCTTTTTCGTTCAGAGAGCATGGCTCAACGGATTAAAGAGAAAAGGTTTTTAAACACATTACAACCAAGACTGACTTCCTACTTCTGGAGATCAAAGAGTTGCTAGTTCCCAGTGTAATGTTCTAGGGAGTGACAACAGCCAGATTCTAGCAAAGCAATCATTTAGGAAGGAAATTTATTAATGTCAGAGTTGAAAAGAAAAAAAATTGTAATAAATGTGATCTTAACTGACAGACATTCCAGGGCTCCTGCAAACAAATACATTTTGTTTTCTGGATTGAGGCAATATGGCCAGTGGGACACGTTCATTCACCATGTTGCAAAATCATGTATTATTTTACAAATACATACCCTTAACCCTGAATTACGATAAAGGCCTGATGTCCCAGCTGCATGCGGCTTATTTGGAAATATCTAGTAAAAGGGAAGTGCCATCCCCTGCCAGGAGAGCCGGAGTGGTTGCTGCTACCTCAGTACTTGGAAGCACACCCTAAGGTAGCTCAGGGACACGTAGCAAGCCCTAGCAAAGGAAAGGACTGGCAACCTCTGGGGTCTCAGCAGCACTCCTGTCCCACAGCCTGCACATCACTGCATACTGCTGCTCCTCTCTGGTACTTTCCCACATCTGCAAACTAAACACCTACTGACTCCCTCCACTTTGGATGGCCAAATCCAAATCCTGCTCCGCTGTTTTCATTGGTGTGCTAAAAGCAATCAAAATGTCATACTTCAGAACACAAAGAGACTCATGTCAGCATTAAAACAATGCAATTTTAGCTATAAACAACTAAATAACATCTTCCTATGGTCCTCTGTGGATATAAAGGGCTTAGTGGATTTCAAGAGCTTTCTGATACCCCTGAATTATGCACTGGTCATTGCTCAATCAGGGATACGATCTTGTCTCTTAGCAGAGCAGTGCCCCTACAGACTCAAAGGTAGCATCTTACACCACCCATGTCCTTGAAGCTCACCCCCTCAGCATCTTGACATCCAGCTTAGTGACACAGGTTGCCATGCAAAATAAATAAATAAACAACATCAAATGACAAAATAAAATAAAAATCTGCATGCTTCCTTCTTTTACCCTCAATGTCAAGATGCCATATGCATAATTATACCACTTTTGTATGAGACAGATGTGCAGTCATACCCTGCCATCCTGGTTACTTTTATTCTAAGTAGGGAGTATAGCTAAATAAAGTGCAAAAGGATATAAACTATGCCCACACAAACAAGAGGATAGAACTTCATCCATCATGCTTGGAAAACTCACACCTCACTGCTCCTTTTCTTTTTCTCAGACTCCTTATAATCACAGCCCTAGTGGTGAGAAGTCATAACTCAGAAGTCCTCGTCTATCAGGCCCTGTCCAAAAAGAAGTGGCTGAAGCAGGGATGACTGTTTAAGTTGTGGATAAATTTATTGTGTATCCAGGTGTTTCAAGAAGAGTGCTTGCACTTAAAAAAAGAAGTAGATACATGCATGGTTGCTGACCTTTTCCTCCAGCTGTGTCCCTGCTCTTGGCATGCAGCAAAGGTAACTCATTACTGATCTTCAATAGCAGGTTTGCAAATAACCCTTCTGTGCTCTGTCTGTGCAGCTGAACTCACAGCTGCCTTTCTCACTGACTACTCAGACGTGGAGGGAGAATATCAAAACATGTTTTTTACACTACCAAAAAAAACAACACATGGGACATAAAACTGTTAGAGAATGTCCAAAGGAGGGCTACAAAGATGGTGAAGGGTCTGGAGGGGAAGACATATAAGAAGCATCTGAGGTCCTTTGGTTTGTTCAGCCCCGAGCAGAGCAGGCTGAGGGGAGGCCTCATGGCGGCCTGCAGCTCCCTCACGAGGGGAGCGGAGGGGCAGGCGCTGAGCTCTGCTCTCTGGGGACAGTGACAGGACCCGAGGGAACGGCATGGAGCTGGGACAGGGGAGGGTCAGGCTGGGGGTTAGGGAAAGGTTCTGCACCCAGAGATGGTTGGGCACTGGGACAGGCTCCCCAGGGAAGTGGTCATGGCACTGAGCCTGCAGAAGTTAAGAAGTGTTTGGACAACGCTCCCAGACACATGGTCTGTTTTTTGGGTGGTCCTGTGTGGAGCCAGGGCTTGAACTGGATGACCCTTATGGGTCCCTTCCAACTCAGGATATATTTTGGTTCTAATCTAACACATAATAGGGCAAAACCTCCAGGGAGCTGACCAAGGTCTTTAGTCTGATGAATATTATAGCAAGAAAGTTAAAAAATCTCCTTGATTTTTGAGTTCTAGATCTCTCCTCCACTATCTGCTATAGGGCCTTCTATATGGCTGCCTATCCAAGCAGGACCTGGGCACAGTCTGTATAAAAGAACAAACAGTAGTCAAGTGAAGTATTAGGGTAAGGCAGGAAATTTGGGCTTGCTTTCTTTCCAAAAGTCTTCCCCTTGGTAAAGTCTTAGGCTTTATTAATTTTTAATAAATAAATAAATAAATTTTATTTATTATTTTCTCCATTATTTTTAACATATTTATTTTGGAATCATTGTAAAGGTGTGGGGAAATGATATGGGAAGGGAGTTAAGTGACACATTTAGATTTCAAAAAACAGTCCACAGAGCCAAGAAATGTTTTCCCAATGGTAAGAACATGGACCCAAACCTTTAAAAAAGGGGGTTTAATCCCTATTTTGCCACAGTTCTTCACTGCGGAACTCATCATTTCGACTCTGCATTCTGGCCTCATGCTTATAGGAAAGGATAATGATAAACCAGGCAGTAATACTGTAAAAAATAAATATATTAATGATCTGAGATACTCAAATCATATGGTTATGGATTAAGTCTATGCCATAATTAGAAAGGTAGACAGCTGGGAGTGAAATGGTCCTGCTGTGATTAATTACATGACATAGACACAAGAAAAGGCCAATCTTGCAGACCTTTTCCAGACAAACCTCTCAGTGGGAGGGGAAAAATGGTAATTTAAAGCATTGCTTTCTTCTCTGTAATTTTTCTTTTAGAATTTCCACACTCCACAGGCAAACAAACAAAATAGCCAGACTATTTTGCTCTTGCCAAAATAACCTCTCCCAAAGCTCTGACAAATCTGTACTGAGCATCTGGGCCTGCCTTTCAGTTTTGCTTAAATTAAAGAAGAAAACCCTCGAAATAGCAAAATTGACACTTACAATAAAATGCCTTTGCTGCTATAGAGCCAAGTCAGAACAAGACATTACATTTACTCCACTGCCCTCCTCTGGAGAAATGTGCTGATTGAGATGCCAAAACAAATGCACTTCTCAAGACACGAACCCTTTCTTCTGCAGTTCTCCTTTTCCAGCCCTTATTTCTCCATGTGAGCATTAATTCCTGATTCCTCCAAAGGACAATGGCTTTCTGATCCCACTGACAAGCATTTGATCCAGCATTTTGAAATCTTCCCCAGCCTACTCCAACCCATCAGCAGCTGGCCTGTACACCACATCCCACATCACTTGCTGGCTCCCCTGTGTGAGCAAATCTGACACTGTGTAGATGAAAAAAGTTTTCCCACTGTCACACAGAACTTGCTCTTCCTGTTGCCACTTGTCTCCCTGTCCTTCTGTTCTCATATTCCAAATGGAATCATCTTTCTTACCTTATATATACATCTGAATTTCTCTTCCTTTTGCACTGATCTGCTGTTTGGTGCCCGAAAGGTTTCCCTTGCTACTTTTCCAAATACAGATTCCAATTTGGTAACCACTACCACTACTGAGCAAAGGCACACTGATTAGAGCGCAGGGATTTTCTAGAAGAGTAAATTTAATTTAGGAAAAAAAAAGTTTTTGGGGGGGTTTATTTGTTTGTTTGTTTTTTACTTGGTCCATAGCAAGAAATAATATCAGACAGGGTCACAGAAAATGTGGAAAAAAATGCATTAAGATCCTGACTTGAAGCAGTGTCCAGCACTATCTCCCAGTTTCAGAAGCCTACACTCTTACCTGTTGTAATTATGAACGAGATCAAAAAACATCATGTCTGTAGTGTTGACAAACTTGCACTGGACAGGCAGAAACTCTCCATCTGCTGAGCACTGAGGTGGGCTCTTCTCCCCAACCCCATGCAGAATGCGACGGTCTCGGATCTCACAGGTCCCCGGACCTGACAAAAAAAGAAGTAATATTGATTAGTGCTTAACTTCCCACAAACCAGGCCATGGCTATGAAGAGGCTTAGACTCATTATGTTGAACGTGCAAATCTAGGTGCCTCATATTGTCTTTAAAACCAAACGAAATAGCCACTTAATTTAAATTTCTCAGTTAAGCACTTATACTTCTATAGCATAAGTGTAGGCTGCAGTGTCCAAGCTCCTGATCTACCACCTTTCATTCATACCAAACCTTCTGTCCCCACAAAACTTACCATTTTCTTGAATCTTACTTACACTGTGTTGGCTTTCCTCTCTGCCTGGTCCCATAAATCTCCATTCCTTCTGAATCTACACACCAGCACTGCCCCAGCTCCATGTCGCACTGCACCACATCAAATGCCCCTGAATCCGTGCACTGAGGGATGTAGGAGATGCTACTGCTGTTGATGTAGCGACTCACCAAGATCCTCTGCTTTTGCAGCTGGCAGAAGGATAAGCCTGTAGTACCAGAGCAGGCAGTGTTAGAGGAATGTACTTTTTGGACACTAAATCATTTATTTTTTTAAGACAACAGCTGAGTTTTCTCAGATGGGGGAGTTCTGATTCTGCCACCCAGGTTGCATCATAACATTGATCGTTTTGAGGTCAGTAAAACTGGTATACAGAAACCCTCCAGAGCTGCGGTTGAGGATCTCCAACTTAAAGGTGAATACAATCAGTTTAGCTTACATTCATGATTTACATTATTGTGACCTTCATGAATACAGAGCATTCAAGTGTATCATGTTTCCATGATCAGCTTCAAAGAAACTCCAGAAATTCAGCTAGAAAGACACAGTAAATTACAACAAAATAGAGTCCACCTAATCCTGGGACAAACACATTCATGATTTCAACAGTTCAACTGAAGATTTAAATGGCTTTTTGTCCACTCTGAACAACAGTGGAAACATTTGACTTACAAGATATGGGATATCCATCCTGTTTGCTGCCAGGTACCTCGATGCCATTCTCATCCACACACCAACAGGAGAGACCATTTCTACTGCACTGAACTGTCCTGAAGCAGAACACGAGTAAGACATTTTATTGTTAGCTCCAGAATCCTCAGTCAGCATGGGACATAAACTATAGCAAGCAGGTTCAAGTATTTTATTACTGCAAATAATGGAACCATAGAGGGCTTTGTTTTGGGTGGCTCTAAATCATTTGGGTCTACCCGATGAGAAATCTTAATTTTAGTAATTCTCTGGAGTCTTCAGAAGTTGCCAATAACTGACTTGAAATCATTCAAGAGGCAAGTAATTTGCACAGAATACTGATACTTGGTATCTGAGATTTACCTTACGTTTTGAGATCTTTTCTAACTCAAATCTAGCATGATCTAGGTCCCTTATCCAAGGCAACAAAAGCAAGATATTAGTGAACATTACAATTTGTGCTTCCCCTCAGCTTTAACTTATTATCTTCTTGCCTCTTCAAGCAATGTGCTGTTTTCTAAACCACTGTTGTCCATGTGTTTTTTATTTCCTTTACTGCATTTAGGAGAAAACTCAACTGTGCTACTTAAAGCAGTGTGAATAACTTCTCCAAGTCAGCTTGGATGAACTATGTCAGCTGGCGTGCTGATCAAAGGTCTCATGCCTATGAGTGTGAATAGGAAGACAGCATTTGCATTACACAACATTACACAACCTCTATCAAGTATTCAATATGCAAATGATGCTACCACAATTATCCTATTAGTCTTAGATTAAATTGTAAACACAGAAATTAATTCCAGTAACAGGGAAGTAACCCAGAGAAGCTGTGGATGCCCCATCCCCGGAGGTGTTCAAGGCCAGGCTGGTTGGGGCTTTCAGCAGCCCAGTCTGGTGCGAGGTATCCTGCCCATGGCAGGGGGTTGGAGTTAGATGGTCTTTAAGGTCCCTTCCAACTCAAAAGGAAATTCTATGAATTCACTCAAGAGAGGCTGAATCTGAAACATAGCTCAATGAAGTCCATTCAGTCCAGTCCCCTGTGCCACTCATCCTCCGGTCTACTGATAGGAAGGCTCTTCAAAGCTGAAGCTAAACATTTAAATACTAGGGAAAAGTCACGGAGTAAACCAGCAGAATCAGAGCAGGGATGAATTACCTGAACTGGCCGTCTTCTGAGCACTGAGGAACATAGGTGTCTCCTCCTGCAAAAGCCTTTTCCCTCTGAAGCTCACATGGGCGCAGTGGCTGGGAATCTGTCTGATATTCTGAAAGCATCAAGAAGGTAAATGCTAAATGCAGTTTCACTGTGAGCCTGTTTGTATCAAAACCCTGTTAAATGCCAGTGCTGTACAGTGAAAGTCCCAGGTTCGTGAGCCCTCCATGCATTTCTACACAGGACAGCACTGAACAGACAAGCTGGGCTGCCAGATGTGGGATAAGCATGTGACGGAGGTCTTTCCCAGGCCTGTATTTAATTAATATCAGCTCTGTTCTGTACTAATACAGCATAATTTTCTGGTATCTGAGTAGTTTTCTTAGAGTTAGATGTGTTTACCTCCACAAAACAGTGTTTTGCCATAACCACAACTATTTCTCACAGGGAGGAACATCACTGATATTGTTTCTGTGAACAAATAAAGCTAAATAATTACTATTCTATCAAAAGGAAAGGTATTTACTCTTAATCTCATGAAAGACTTCTTCTTAAAATACCTTCTTAATCTCATGAATTCTTTAAAGGAATCAATGCCTAGCAGGTAGTGTCAGACTATGAGTCTTAATTTACTACTTCTTAATTTTTTTACCAGTACAAGTGGTTAGGTACGGAAGCCACCAAGCAAGAGGACAGTTTGCTCTTCAGTTCTTAATGCATTCAAAACCAAATTTTTAAGGAGTTTTAGGAGAACAATGAAATTCAGTAGTGATTTTTTAAAAATAATTATTATTATTATTATTATTATTATTATTATTATTATTATTATTATTTTCACAGAACAGATTAGTTGATCTGACAGATTCCCTGTCCTCAAAATCTGAGGAATATCATGCTTTTAATTCTGTTGAACAGTTCTAAAATAAATAAATAAATAAATGCAGTAAACAAAGCCATAAATGCAGATTTAGACCATCGATTCACTAAGTGCAATATTTGATTTGAGTGCAACCATATGTATAGCAGTGTAAATACTTCATAAGTTTTCTGAATACTTTCAGCCTCTGATTTGCAGCTCAGGGACTTGAGCCAGAGGTGGTTTTTGTGCACTTCAGAACTCTCAATCACTTTTATCTGTGATTTTTTTTCTGTGTCCCCTTAAGCCCATGTAAAAATTGCCACGAGACTCTAAAGGTTTTTTAGGTTAGATCACCTATAGATATCTATATGCCGACAAACCTCACACCATTCTCAAACGCGACTCACGCAGTTTCCATAGGGTGTGTGGAGATCCCTTTGTACAGTGCCAGAAGCAGCCTACTGAGGCACCTGAGTTAAAATGTTAATGGGTGGCTCAAACTGCTTATCATGCAGGACTAGAAAACTTGTTTTTTTTTAAGCAGAACAAAGAGAGCTGGTGACAGCATTCAGACTATTCAATATCTTAAACTGGTGATACAGCCTAAATTAGATGATGGGACACATAAGCAGAAGATATAACCTGATGAACCTTAGCTTTGCTGCAGCAGCACCCTTTCCTGTCCAAGCTTCTCTACTCCAGCCTGTTCTTCCAGAAGACTTTGTTTTTCCACCCAGAGTCCAGGTGGACTTGAACTCAGACTACTCTAATCACAGTTAAATCCTCACAGCTCAGGATTTAACCTAGAGCTCAAACTCAGTCTGCACAGCACACAATAATCGCATGCCAACAACTCAAGATTATTATCTACATCTACCAATGATTCAAGATCAATACCTACTTAGTTGGATTAACGCAAAGAGCATCACAAAGATCACAGGAGCTGTCACTACTGGACATGAGCAAAGGAAAAGGACAAGTATACTTACCAAATATATTGGCTGCTGCTATGTTAATAAAGCAAAGAAGGGCGCAAACTGGGATGGAGCCCATCTTGCGATGGGAGGGCTCCATTCCCTGGTGTCACTGCGACAGCCCTGCACACTACATGTAGCCCTCGCCTGCCTTTTTATAGCAACCACTGTTCCAATAAATTCACTTATGTGCTGGTAGACTGGCCATGGAGCTGGGCGAGTGACGCATGTGATACTTCTGAGAAAACCACAAGGGGCCCCTTCACCTGGAGCTGCCCTCGTGGTTTCCATCAGCAAGCCCTCACCCCTCTGTAGGGAGCACTCCTGAGCCCAGTCACTGGAAAGGAGAATGAGCAGCAGCAGGCAAAGGGGGTGCCTGGGGGGACTTCGTTAAATTGCCACGCACATTGAGCAGATTGACATTGCCCTGGCCAAAGATCCTCTTGTCACCTGTGCAACCATTTGCACTGAGTTAGAGCTTTAAGTACGATATTTTGACTTTATTAAGACTTTGTGCCCCTTATTAGAAGCACATTTTTGGGGAGATTTCTAGAAAGCCTAGATGGCTTCTAGAAAGCCAGTATGGGGACAGGCAAGATGGAGGCTTCCAAACAGGGCAGCGCTATGAGCAAATACACCTCGTGGTTCAGTTGTTAAGTGAGAAGCGGGATAGATGAAGCTCCACTGATTATGAAGGGAATTGAGGGTCAGAGTCAAATGCATTCAACCTTCAGCTTCCACTTGCACCAAGCGCTTTATGCTGCCAAATATTTGGCTGGAAGTAGCTTAGCTTCTGAGGCTTCATCTTCTAGGTGTTATACGTGTATGACAATTAAGCATGTTAACACAAATCATTTCTTCTGGGAACTTATTACATGCAAGATCCTCAACCTAAAACAATTCATAACTATTACTTCCTTGGTTCCAGAGTATCATTTCTTACTTGTCCACCTCTTATGACTCTTAGTAGCATCTACCTGCAAGAGAAATTATAAGAACTCACATTCACCTAAAGCTAGCTGGACAACCAGGCCCAGAAGAATTAGCTAAATAATAACAGAAGCACACGTTTGAGGTTGGAATTAGGCTGATTTCATGAAAAAAAAGTGACAGCAGCACTCTTATTAGTGACCCATGGGTACTGGAGAGTCTAGAAAGAATTCCATCGATACCCTCTTACAGACCATGACTGTGCCTACGCTAACAGTGATTCAAGCATCTTTCTGTCTGGGCTGTAGACCTCTTAAGTGCTACAGCATTTGATATATATGGTAAATGTGACCTCAAACAGCTGTACAAGCTTGCTTTACCAGGATTAGTCTTTTTCAAATGAGTGGGGCTATATTTGGACTTCATTTTCAAGCAGTCTATTCTGGTTTTAAGTCAGTAGTCAGCGGAAAGATCAAGCTAGGAAACAACGAAAAACATGTCCAGTGTAGAGGGCAGGCTGAAAAAGGCACCTTCAAAGGCATAAAGAAAATTTCTGTAACAGCCTGGATTAAGCAGACACAAAAAGAAAATGAATTTCTGGATTAGTGCAGCGTATGTAGGGAAATACACATGCAGATCAAAGCCCTCAGAACAGAATTAGCACTAGGGGGGTTGAATTGTAAAAGATTTTAAGTCCGACCATGAAATACATTCCACACTTTTCTGGATATTTGCTTCAAGAGTCTCAGGTTTGTGTCTGACCACCATTCCAGTGGGGCAGTTACAGAGGAGCAACAAGAGCCAGCACAGCTCCGTGCCATGGGCTCTCCAGGGGCAGCAGGTTCTGTGCTTACATGTAAAACAATGGGGCAAAGGGGGAGCAATGCATTTATTTAATCCATTTTCTAAAGTTAGTCCAAAACTGTTATTCAGGCAATTGCTTTCAGGCAATCCTTGCACAGCAAATGGGGAGAGAGAGGCTTTTTATGGTAAATGTTCACTTTCCTCCTCCTCCTTTGCTGACTACCAAAGGTCATTAGTAGTTATAATGGAATAATGCAGACAGGAAACCAAGGCGGTCTCAAAGGGCTGTTATTAAGAGAAAGGAGCACAAATCTACAGTATCTGCATACTGTTGATTCCCAAGACTGCTTTTTATTTCCTTCAAAAACACTCAGAAAACAACCTCTGAACTATGCAAGTGGGAAGGGCAGCCAAGTCTTAAAAGTCTCTTCAAAAGCCAAGTGTGAGAGAGTGCTGGCAATCCGTATCACTTAAACCACTTCTAGATGTGCATCACACCGCGATGGGCATTTTGGTACATGCAAGTTCAGTGGGATGCAATAGCCCATGGATCTAAAAAAAAAAAAAAAAAAAGTAGTTTACAGAGCAATATATGCAATCCACATTCTTTAGAGGAAAAAGAAAAAAAAGACACATGATCTGTGGCTGGTGAGACAAATTAAGAAAAAGCTCAGTGCATAACATTCCCTTCAGTAAAGGGACAACGGCATTGAGCTCTATTTTTAGCACTTGGGAAAAGATGGAAAAATATCTCAAATTAGCTCATCACTGATGGTAAGCAAAGAAGCAAGTGGAAAAGGTCCCTGCAGCTAATATGGCCTGAAAAGTAGTTTGTCTTCAAAATCATTGCTTTAGTGCTGTAAATGAAGGTTTTATTTGTTGTATGCAGTGTCAAAAATCAACTCAATCTAGATTATAGTTGATTGGGAAAAAGAAAAAATGTCAGCATGATGATACATGCTGTTGAAATCCCAGACCTTAAGGGAGAAGCAGTGATTTATCCAGTGTTCCAGTTTTGCATTTACTTTTTTTAGCAGAAAAATTGCACAGATTTGTGTAAGTGTCATGATTACATAGCAGAAAGGCTAAGTGCTACCTGTATAGGTATACATAAACATCTATATCCACAGAAAAGTTGCTTTCACACAAATAAAGCTTGAGCCTGAGAAACCTTATATTAATGAAAGATCTTAAAGAAGTCTCCTGAACATGGCAGCAAATTGGAAGTAAAAATTTTAAGAATGGCAATCTTTGTCACCCTATGCCCATACCATGTATTTAATTTACTTTTTAAATAACTGCTTTTCTGTTTTAAATAGGAAACAAATAGCGGCCCATCCCCTCCCACATTTTAAGAAAACCATGCAGAATCATAGACTCGTGCTATTCCTTAGTGGCTTAGCTTTCCTTTGTGAGCACAAAATATTTCATGTTTGGGACATTTCTTCTCAAGCATGAGACTCTTTCCCAGCTTCTTCACATGATCTTGGTGTAGATAACAATAACTAGATCTTGTGAAGCACTTGTTAGCTCTAATTTAATCCTCAAAAAAGGACACAAATGTCAAAGTGTGACAAAATTAAAAGATGAAAAGCATAGCCCCACCAGATAATACGAGTTCCAGTCACTTCACACTTTGTGTTCTTCAGATTGAAAGAATGATGGGGAAGCAGCTGAACACTAAAGTTAGCTGAGTCAGAAAAGTAGGCAGAGGACTTCTCAAATTATTATTATTATTATTATTATTATTATTATTATTATTATTATTATTATTATTATTATTATTATTATTATTATTATTTTTTGTACTATCATTCACCAGTTGGCAAAGTGCCTTTGGTGACAGAAGAACCTAAAGAAGCCCACTTAACAAAACTTGAATTTATTTTTACCTCTCCAGAAACAAACCATTCCTAGGATAGATGAAATGGCTTTTTTTTTTTTTTCTTACATATTCTTATGTAAGAAACAAATCTTACATATTTTCTTACATAGCTAACAGGAGATAGCACGATTTTCCTCTAAGGATGTCTAACCTTGTCAATAGAAGGTACAAAAACATTTATCTTAATCTTATAGCATCTGGAACACAGACAGTTTTGAACCCCCAAGCAGAATTCTGCTCTGCAGTCAGCAGTGGAGTGATGGATGGATCTGCGTGCTTCGTAGATTCAGTATCTGGCAACTGCAAACTAATGCACGTGAGAAGAGACATCCCTAGTCACACAAGGATATCAACAAAGTGCTGAATGTCTGGTGTTTGTAGGACAAAATTATCTTTGGTCTTTTTGACAATGCGATACTTAGCCTTCTTTGAAATGAATGCAACAGTGTATATATAGCTCATGAAGACAGATTTCTCCTTGAACTTGCTTTTTAAGTCCTGCTGCCACACAAGGAAGCTGTGGAATTCATTATGCCACCTGAGGGTGGTGGAGGTATAAAAGACAGAAATTAATGAAAAATGATGGATTAAACAAACTCATGGAGAAGAAATCTATCAGCAACCGATAAAACTGATAAATCTTCATAAAGATTTTGTTTGAGGTAACATTTGTTTTCCAGATCTGAAAGCTACATTAAAGGAAGGACCAACTTGCACAGAGCCTTTATAGTCAATAGATTTCTGTGGATGCTCAACATTATGCTTCTGCCTAGCATAAGGTACTGGATGGCTAGATCTTCGGTCTGATTCAGGGCTAGAAAAAAAGTGTTTTAGATATTGCTCCAAGATCTGAATTTGGTCATCTCTCTTCAGTTTCAGAGAGCATTTTGAGATGGTGTCTTCAATAATGAAGAAAACATCTACATCAGAGTAACATTTTTTTTTTTTAAATATGTTCAAGATCATAGCAATTTTTGCTATGTGAACAACTAAACTATTTCTGTGTATTAGTGACTTGTTTAAACACTGCCTGATTTCATTTTTGCCCCAGTCCACAAGAGGGCTAGGACAGGAATATTCTCAGCATTGTTGGCTCATTTCCTACTACAGCACAATCCTGAACAACCATTTGTAGGCAATATTACAATACAAGAAATCATTAAAATAACCTTAAGTTGTTTTGTAATGACACCACACACAGACACAAAACTAGATAAATGCTCTTAGAAGGCAGGCATCAGCCCACAAAGAGATACCACTGCAACTAAGTTGTCAAAAGACCCTTTCAAGAACCAAGTGCATTGCAAAACTCAACACTTGAAACTGTTAAAACACCAAAGCAACTCAGGAACAGAAAGTCTTCTGATTACTTCATTGCGCAGTAAGAGAACATTTGCTACTGCAAATAATTTATTGTTTATATAATTCAGCTACAGGGTAAAATACAACTGAAGATCCCCTAAGGTTTTGAGATGTACACAGATAAAGATTATCCATCACTGTATGTAGTTTATTGACCACAGGCTAAACACGAGTGAAGATTCCCTACTGCTTTAAAACAAAATAAAAAATATAAAAGCAAATGCTCACCAACTCACTAAAACTAAAGTCCACTGAATGGAAGCCCAGGCACATCATCTCAACAGACCTTTATTGTATTAGAATGCAGTCAACATTATTGCTATTATAAAAAAAAAAATCACAAAAGAAAGTACTTTGCGTCTCTCGTAGATGTCATCCTAGTGCACTGCTGCCTCTCTCGGCGTGGTTAGTGACAATACACTGACGCACAGGGCTACAGCTGAACACGGCGGCTCTCACCAGTCTTACAGAAGAGGAAGCTGCTGTTTGAGCAATCAGCAGTTGAACTGGCTTCAGGTATTCACGGCTGGCTCGTCTACAGCTTACACAGCCCAGTGTGCGCATAAAGGGAAATCCACTCCCAAATAATTTTTCATGCTCGTTCGTTTTCTCCACACGCTCTCCAATTTTTCATTTGGGTTGTTCAGGCTGGTGCAGAGTGGCCGCCGAGTGCTCACTCTACTCTTTGCGCAGTGCATTTTCACAGTTGTTACATGCTCCGTATTTATTTTCCATATATAAACAGACATACACACAGTGTATAATAGTTATTGCTAAAGACAGATCCCTATAACTGATGCCGAGGACGTAACAGTATAATAAAAATCATTACTGAAGTATTTCAAAAACTTTGTAAAGTGATCACCTATAGCCACATAGTCTCAGTATAATGGAAAATTAGTAGCAGCTAATCAAATGCAAAGAGAGCAATGGATTAGAGCCTCTGGTTTTAATAAGCACTGTGAAATTAAGGCCGACAGACTGCAACATTTGTAAGCAGTAGAGAGAACACACAAGGTTCCAGTCTTTTAAATTGACACGGCAAAGGTGATTCCCATTCACAATGAGTGGCATAATTGCAAGACCCCCTTCACACATCAGCACCTCCAGAGAGCTGGTAATAAGGCGAGGATCTCAAGATGGATGAGCTGCCCACTTCTTGTTACAAAGCTCCTGCTTGCAGTGCTTCTCGTCTCTGATTTTGTGGCTGATTTTAACATCACACTCTGGTTATCTCAGCGCAGGATCTGTTTTCTGTCTTTTAAAGTCTCAGTGAAAAATATTTGCAGTTTTCCTTCAAATACAGAGGAAAAACATTCTGTTTTGCAAGCATTAAAATACCTCTATAAATTCACAGCAAAGTCTAAGTGACTCCTGTACATGAAAACCTCCTTCTTGGTAAGTAGCTGGAGCCCAACAGAGCTAATGTGTAGGTTTTTTGTTTGGCTGTTTTGTTTTTGCAGAATTATTTTGAGCCCAGCTAAACTAGAAGCCAGATGGGAGCAGGAAGAGATCAACATTTGCACGATATCAGATGTGTACTAGAGGAAGGCAGCAAAACCATCTAAAGATTTTGTTGTGGTACACAAAATCTGACTGTACACGGCTTGTAGGACACTTAAGACATAAGAGAAGAGCAGAGGAGCCCTTTCCCTATAATCCCTTCCCCCAACAACCAGAAAAAAAAATAATGGGCAGGATTGAAACCCTCCTGGCATCATGAAACAGGACAGAGTGCAGAAAACTGAAGAACAAAATGAGAAACAGATGCAAGGTGGAAAACAGACAAGGAGCACATGTAGAAACTTAGATATCACATGAAGAGACAGGAGGATGTCAGCTCTACAAGAGGACTGCACCCCTGGAAGAACAGCTCCAATTCTCTGCAAGCCAGCAAAGAAAACCCATCAGAAAACCGAAACTCATCTTCTAAATAGGGTTATGGACTTCTGTGGCTGCAAATTACTCTATACTTGAACAAAGGTCTACGCATCTAAGGCCAGAATATCCAAAATATGGGCATTACCTCCCTACAGCCACCCAAAAACAGTTAGTAGGAAGTATCTGCCAACCCATTCCCTGCCGTACAATTTCATGCAACTCTCATTTTAGAACTGAAACGTAGGTGGCCCCTCATACACGTTATCTGATAACGCCACCGTTTCCCTTATGACTGTAATAAGGATGTCCTGCTGCCACCACTGCAACTGAAAACACAGTTTCTGATGTGGATGGCTATGTTACGGGCACTGGAAGAAAGGTTTGAAGCAACTCATTCCTGATACTCTCCATAAGAAAAAACAGTGTGGATGAAATCCAGACAAAAAGCTAGGCATTTAAAGGCTCCACAAGTTTGTCATTTAGCCTTGTGGAATCACAAGTATAATGTCACTTCCCTTTTGTTTATTACTTAAAAGTTAAAAGGTGGCTGCAAACTTAAAAAAAAATAATAATATATGTATTTTACCTTCCTGAGCACAAGCATCAAAAACAGTTATTACAGCACCACATACTATTATTCCCTCCTTGAAGACAGCCTCCTTTGTCATACAGCACAAGAAAGTGCAATTCATAGCCAGGTAAGTGATGTTGCTAAGAGACTGTGTATAGATCCCTGGATTATTTATTGAGGAAGCAGGAAGACAGATGGAAAATGATGCCTACAGAACAACAAAAAAGATTCCCTTGATGTCAGCTAGACTTAATAGTATGAACCAGAACACATCAGGTTTGACTGGCACATGAGCAAAGCATTCAACTGTAGGTTATACTCTGTGCAAAACACTTTGCCTTTTATGGCACTTGACTTGTAAGTGTTCAAAAAAAAAACTTTCTCAAGTACTCAGATGTATGGGATGCTTTTGAAACCGGGGCCAAAACTAACATACATGTGTCACAGACTAACGTCACAATTTGAGAAAGTAAACCAAGACAAGTTTGTGAAGCATTCGGGCAACGCAAAATGAATGTATCATAACACTCTCCTTAAGAAAACTAGGATTATATTTTTTTTTACAAGATATGATTGCTTGCAAGATTTTTTTCCTCTATTTATAATGATTGACTACACAAGAAATGAAGGTAAAAAATAAATATTAAACAGATTATTTGTTTTTGTTAGCACAGTCCATGCTGAATAAGGTAAGATCCTGAGGGATAAGGTTATGTACTCATGTAAATTTAGAGACTGCTGCAAAGAGCTGCAAGGACAACTCCAAGTCTGTCCTCATGACGTCCTTTTCAGGAAATTCCTCCATCCCTGCACTTCCCTTTCTCCCACCTGGAATCTCTCCGAACACCTCCACCTTCAGTAACATTTACAGTTATATTACATCACACACATGCACACACATTGCATAATATCGCTACAGTGTATGCTGTATAAATTAGGTAAATACACTCCACTTTGTTTCAAAGTAATTCACCAGGATTTACACTTCTGTTATACAGTACACACAGTACCACATTCAGGGATATGCAGCAAGTGAATAATATGAGTCTCACATATCAAAAAGCAAGTAGGTCACTCAGCTGTTCATATTGGTTTAAGCGGTAATTTAAGCATCCAACTATATAACACAGAGTACTTTATTTATTAACAGTTGCTATAAAAATGTCAACAACCCCTCAGCTGCTGTATTCTTCCTGTATTAGGAAGTTGCCGATCACGGTGCTATAATTGACTTCCATATTATCATACAGATCTGTAATATCTCCTATAAGCTTGACATGGTAAGACTTCTTAAATAGCAACCACTCTGTAACACAGGCTTACATTTTGTTTTCGACATCAAGAGTGATAACTTACTTCAGACATGACAGACAGACAGGAGATGTCAGGGTAGGTATGTTTTAGCAATGAACCAGCCACGCTACTTTCTCAATTATGGTTTTATCATGAAAGTTCAATGCACAGGTTGCAAAGTCTTTCCCAGATAATCCATCTTTGGCACATTTTTTCAATTTAAAGAATCAAAAGGCAGTCCAGGAATTTTTGATTTTTGATGGTCTGTACATTATTGTAATCACATTTTACACTTATATGTAGATCAGGAAGAAAAATGGAAAATGTAGAGTATGCAGAATAGTTTTAATAAACAGTTTTACATACAGTACCTTACATATAGAACAGTGTGTTTGCAAATTTAAATAATTTTTGAATGTACAGTGGCTTGTACTCTTATCAAAAGGTAAATTCAAGTTTACCGTCTATCGGTTCTAAAATGCATTTATACAGATAACTAGAACTGATAAACAGATGCGAGGCATAAAATGTTCAAGTATCTTAATGTCATCAGTTAAATAGCCTCCTTTTAACAGTCATATTTTACAAATTTCAAAACCTGTACATACATTATTTTCAATTTTAGAAACTGCTTGTTAAAAGGTAACATTTCATGTTAACCACCAGTTCTTATAGTCTATTGTAATAAAACTAGACATGTAGATATAAATGTATATAGTATGTATATATGTACATGTGTATCTATACACATATACATACACATACAAGTATGTATGTAGCACTGGGTACAGCGGCAACTTAACAGCACAGGGAAAGTCCTGGGCTCAAAAACCAGCAAGAGCTAACAGAGCAACTACGTTGCCTTTGGTTTCATGATGTTTCATTCACTGAAGCTGGACATTTTTATAAAAAAATGTGTAATGTATCTTGCAATATTTATCCTAGTGGTTTAGTATATTCACAGCCACAGACAGTTTTGCTTCTCTTGTCATTCCTCATCCCAGCTGAGGATGGTAAAGTTTTAGAGGGCACAAACCAGAATAGAGCTATCCAGGACCAAAAGGGTACTTTGAACTCTGAATACTGCCATATAACATTTTAAAAAAAAATAAAAATAAAAACAAAAACCCACCTACATACAATTTGGGGTGGATTGCTGGCACCAAGTAGGACTTTGGAAAAAAACCTTCATGTAAGCCATAATAAAAATCTCATCCCAGTGGTTGTAAATATTATTTGGCACATCTGACCACTATTTGCCACTTATGTTTTAAAGGAGCCTAAGGGTGCTGTAATAAGGATTTCTATTTAAAAAAATACTTTAAAAAGGAGGCCATGACAAGTAGTTTCTTTCAAAATCAAAGCTAGTATGCTCATTTTCCTGAACATTCATGAGAGAAGGAAATAATCTATAAATTTTCTTGTAGAGAGGATACAGATCTCTCTGTGTCTATCTTTCACTAGCAAGATAAGAGGAATTAATTGAAAATACAGTTCTCAATAACTTTTAGTCAGTGGAATACTGAATTTAGAATTTTCTGCCAAAGGTTTCAAAATAGTAGCATTGTTCTTCGCAGAGTGTTTGTTCAGCTTTCTTGTACACAGAAGTTTCCTTGTTTATCATGTTAAGATCAAATCAAATTTTTCAGTGTGTAATACATTACATTTTGAGGTTTGGACATTGAATATTCAGATTTTCAGTACAACAGATTTCTTACTCTAGATTTCCTCTCCTTTCTCTAAAGCTTCAGGCTATTAATGTAATCAGCAAAGAACTATATAAATGCTCAGCTTTTTGCTGTCTTCCTGTCAGTCTTGTGGCTAGTAAGAAAATTCACCGTAGAGAACCTATTTTCATTCCTTTATTCTTCCTTTTGTCATACAGAGCAAAGCGTTGCTATTTGCTGTACTTTCCCCATGTCAATTAAGAGCTGTTTGATACGCCTCTTGAGCTGAGGCAATCTTGCCAGAGGATCTGGTGGCTCCAGTTCTCCAGTGAAATCCAACCAGCTTTCTAAAACTACAGAAGTAAAATAGAGAAGAAATTGGTTAGAATGAGTCTCTGATAAATAATTCTCATAAAAATTAAACTTTTCTTTCTATCTTATCTTTAATAAGAAGGGAAAAATATACTGAGGCTGTGATTTCTATTTAACAGAAGAAAACAGGGAAACGACCACTAATTCAGTGTTTCACTCAAACAATCCAAACATATCTTCTAATCTGATTATTATAAAAAATGTGCCTGGGAGAAAATTATACCCTTAGCTGACAACTTACTGTCTACACACACACACAAAAGAAACATCAAATTCAAAGCCTTCTTGCTATGACAGATCTGCAACAGTAAATGTAATCCTTGACACAAGGATCAGAGAAATTCTAGGCTCACTTCTGTCACTTTTACATGTTCCTAGTTGCAAGGTTCAGACTACAGAACAGCTTTCCAGTCTTCAAACAAATGTTTTTGAAATAATTTTTATGCTTCTAGAGACAGACAAGGGAAAATCTCTCTAATTCTAGAAATACTGCCTGGTATGAGCAGAAATACTGAAGGTAAAACTGCAGATAGGAGTAAGATGACTATTTGTCAGAAGATAATTATGGACTCCTATGGCTACACTCAAACTCCTCTCATTTGTAAGTTTCTACAACTGGTGAGTAAACTCTTGCGCTGTAATATTTACACCCATACTACAATCTCATGCATCTCATGCATGTTTTCCCATGAAACCAATTTATCTTCCTGAAACAAATTACGTGCTAATACAGCAAACCAAAGATGAAAGCAAAATGAACACACTTTTCCTTAATACTGTCAAGTACTAGAACAATCAGTCCAAAAACCTTCCAGCTGCAGAAATATCCATCAAATTTATGATCCGTATCTGGACAAAGACTAGGCAAATTATCAAAGCTTTCTAAAGGCTAATATCACAGACTTGAGCTAAATTGTCAGGGGTCCTGAGCACTTAAGCTACTTTGATGGACAGTAAGAAGCTGTGGAAGAGACCTGAGGAACCATGGGTGCAAGCTCTCGTTATAACTTTAGGTGCCAAAATTTGAATACAATACTCAAAAGTGTCAATCCTCAGCCTCTCATATCACCGTCAACACATACTATGAAAGAAGCTGCTACTAGTATTAACAAATATCTGTAAATACAGTTACCATCAACTTCCTTTTCAATCAGGTCCATTCTGCTGGTGACTTCGTTCTGTACATTCTCTATATGGGTAAGGAGATTTAGCTGCCATTGAAGATGCGTGTCCACTTGTTCCTCTGAGCCTTTTCTTTCATTACAAAGAAACACAGTGTTTCCTTCAGCAGAATTCTTCTTCATAGGTGCAACAGAAAGAAAAAAATTGCCATTTAAGAGTGTCTATTTAATTTCTGGTGTTGATTTTGACACTTGAATCACGATACACTATGCTGTCTCAGAACTGTACTTCTGTCTACTTGACAAAAAGCATATTCAAAATCCATGTACCACGACACATCAATAGACTAAACCAAGCAAAATGCAAATTCCATACAAATGAGCACATATAGCACTGGAGGAGTGAGAGGAGGTAAAGTTTACCAGCTCGAGCACTTGGTTTAATGCAGTAAGATAGGCTGCATTTCTGCACCCTCTTAATACAAATCATGAGTCAATTCATGAAGTGCTGAAATGCGTCAGTATACCATCACCAAAAATATGAAAAACCCTAAGATTTGTTTCAAATTTATCCAGAGAACGAAGGAATACTGCCTAAAATACACTAATACCCAAGATGTCAAAAGTAATTTTTGCATTAGTCACATGGTCATTCAACTGCAGATTAAAACAGAAGACTGCTTCCTACCACTGCTGTGATTCCCTGTAACTTACCACCACGGGTTCTGGCCAGAATTAAGTGTGTTTGGGATGGTTACAGGGGGTAACATCCAGAGTTGTGCAAACATGTTATGCAACATACTATCTGAAGAAGATAATTTTTGAAATAATGAGTTTTTTCATTGCAAGTCAGAGATGGCACAGAGGCACCTCATCTTCCAGCTAATGGAAATGACCAAAGTAAGCACATCAGATTGAACACGTTAACTGAAGTGTTCAGTATCTTTGTTAATTAACAGGATTTAAAGTTTCAATTTTATACCCATTATGAATTCATATCTGATGAAGTTATTTCACTACTGATAATTCTATTTTAGGGATTTAATTTAAGGAAAATTCTGGATACATGTGCTCATAAATGTCACATGTCACAAATGTCACTCATGGCAAATGTCAGATCAAGGAGTGAATTTTATCATTTTAATACACTGGCTTGATGAAATGTTCAGTTGAAGTTCTTTCCTTGTCACTGACAGATCTTTAAGTCACTTCTTCAGCAAAAAATTAACTGTTTCTTTTGAAGACTTCACAAAAAAAAATCAAATCAAACTTAGACCATCCTTCTGGTAGCTTTGTGCGCAAGTCCTGGTGGACAAGTATTCACAATATTAATTAACATTCACAATATTCGTTAGGGAAGTTATTTACCAAAGATAAGTTTTTGAAAGTCATAAAAGCCTCTTAGCTCTAACACTTTACAGATATAATTTTTCACCTTGTCAGACATCAGGTTTGCCTCTTTAGTGCTTTCGCTACTCAAATTACATCACTAATCTTTATATAGGACATTTCCAATGTAAATGCTCCCTTTCTGACAACTTTCAGACTCTTGTACACCTACAAGAATGTTGCTTTTCCCTTGCTGTATGAGGACCTAAGTGCACAATTCTGAAGTCAAGATTATCTGTTACATGAACTCTTCACACCCCTATGACAGTGAGAGAAAACTAAGGGAAAATTATAGATGCTCTAAGAATTTTTTTTCTCCCTAAATATATTATAAAATATATTCTTCCTTTTTTTTTTTTATGACCTCTGTATTTATTCAAATAGCCTATCCTCTTTCAAAAATAAGTTAAAAACATGATCAAACAGGTTCTCCTCTAAGCTGAGACCAGGAAGACAGATCAACACAGACTGTATCAGGGAGTGCTGGAAGAGGTGGTGAGAGAAGCACAGTACAGGACAGAGCTTCTGAAGGAGAAATAAACAGGACAGTCAGGCAGGGCAGGCTCATGCTTTCAGAAGCAGGAACAAGGAAACTGAAAAATGTTAATGATAATGTACAGTCCAAAAAGGAACCTGATAATAGTCAGTCTGGACATTGGTTATAAGAGTAAAGAAAATCTGCAATGGAATCGTAGATTAGGAAAAGGCAAACCAATATGGAGGACCAAAATATTCAAGTCTCTGTGGGAAGATAGAAGGGAAAATATAAAGTCCTAACCAGAAGTTTGACAAGAAGCAGCAAAGAAGGCACCTTACAGAGAAACCAATTCATGCAAGAACACTGCTGCTGTCTTAAGATAAGCACAAACTAGCTCATGGAGAAACCAAAGAACACTTTTTAATACATGCTAAGCCTTAATATTACTCTGAAACCACAGTTAACTACTGACAATGACGAGCTAAGGCGTCCCAAAGCAAAGAGGACCCTGACACTGTCTCAACAGATTTCTTCCTGGTTTAGAGAGAGCACCTTTTTTTTTTTTCCTTCAGAGACTAAATCATATATCTAAACATTGATTTTGTTTCACTGCTCACATATTTTCTTCTTAATTCTAAATATATTTATTATATTTAAAGTGACAATTTAAGGTTTGGTTGGAAGAAAATGTCTTTCACTGTTGCATGTCTCCTTACTATACAAGCTGAGTAGAATAATGTGATTTAGCACAGTTATTTCTAAATAGAATGAGCCAAAATTTTCCATTCAGAATATATAGTTTACATGAAGTATTTAGAACTAAAATTAGAAGAAAAAGACAACTTACTTCTTCCACACCACAAACTGTACCTCAAAAGGGGGATGAGTTGGGTGATTTATTCTCATGTTTGATATTGTAGAGAACAAAGGGTTGGTTTAGGTTTTTTTTTTTTTCTTAGAGAACTAACTAATAGAAAGCTAAAAAGTTTCAGTCCCTTTCCATGATGTAATACGTTCAAACACTTAATGCAAAACTAAGAAAGAGATGTTTACATTGCTGAATATAATCCTGACTAGAAGTCTGGGAAAAAAAAATTAGAAGAAATACGAAATATAAGACTGAAAAGAAGTTGCACACAACTTTTAGCTTAGTTAATCTGTAAACCATTACTTGTGGAATTCTAGTTAGTATTGATATTAAAAGAAGAGTAGAGTAAAATAAAAAACACTATTACAAATCTCAGTTTAACAACAATTAAAAAACACAAATATAAAACAGAATTGAGAGAAAAAAGGAAATTCGCCCTGTTTTCCTCACCTCTCAAAAAACACTGAAGTTCTGTATCAAGACACCACATTTTAAGCATAGAATTATTTTTTCCCTTTGAAACATTGGAAAGGAACAAATACAAACAGTTTTAGCATAGGCAGTACTTTAACCATATTTTTCATTTCCTTCACCAATCCAAATACATACTGTTTACCTGAAACTATTTCAGCGATCCAACTTTGCTCTTAGTGATTTCTACTGACGTATTTGAAAAATACTTTTATGTACTTGAACTTTATAAGATCGAACATACTCTTCTAATTTAGAAACTTCCCAGATGAAGAATCTACTTACCTGCTCATTCATGCCATCATCTTTAAAAGAATACTGTAAACAGTTTTTATTCTCTGAACAAAATTCCTGGTCTTCATCAAAGCTACTCGTATCTTCATCATCTGAGCTCATAGGGTCAGTGACTGCTTTGCAGTCTTGACCAAAACTCTGTGGTTTTTGGTAACTGTGCTCACTTGTGATGTATGTTTCCTCCATCTTCTGGGGTAAACTAGGTGTCTCTTTATGGTTTTGACTGTGACACGTCCTTTCAGTCAGATTAACAGCATCTGGCAAAGTCACTATCTTTTTCTCTACCCCAAGAGTTATTTGTTCCTGTTCTTTCCGCAACCCTGAATAAGCCCAGAGATGAAGGTCTGGGTGATGTTTATTTCTACAATAAAGGGGAGAAAAAAAAGCACATGTTATACAGAACTACCTCTTACAGCGCTGTACTATCAAGCATCCACTTCAGCTAGACCATAACTTTTGATAAGTACCATTATCCAACATGTAAGTGAATATTCCTAGGTTACTTATCAATTCAAGATAAATCTAGAATGCCCATTTAACACAAAGTCAGCTATTAAAAAAAAAAAAAAAAACACCAATAATAGATAGCGGATTTGCTGAGCACCTAACTCTACTGCAGCTGAGGGTAATCTACATGTTGCAATGGAACTATGTGAAATATTTGATATGATTATTATTTTTTAATATGATAGTATAATTCATACGGGAACGGGAATGTACAAAATGTATTGAGAACAGACCCTGGACCAATACTTACTTCAATATCCCAATCTTCAGCTGTAGTCCATGCAGTATTTCTGTTACACCATATACATCAGCCAGTAGGTGATGAGTTGACACAATCTTTTTGGCATTAAGATGAGAGTAGTTTTCTTTCAAAAATGATAATCCACACATGTGTCCGTTGTTTAGCCAGTCTTTATCATAAAGATATTTGGCACTCCACCTCTGACCTGGGTGTAAGCAATAAACAAATTGAGGACCATATAAAGCCATAGTGCAATTGTATTTTTAAAACTAGAGTGCTATAATTATAAGCTCTACTCTCCCCTAAACACCTAATATCCATGAGAGAATGATTCAATACCTTGTTATTTTATTGAGATTTTAAAACTTAGTTTGCATGGATTTAAAAGGGAACACATCATTTGAAAACAAAAGTAAAGCTGAAATCTCATAACCTATGTAGATAGCATTTGAAATGAAATATTGCCTTTGCAATTAGAGTATGGGATATAAAAAAAGTTTAGCGTTGTCAATCTAACCACAGAAAAATCAGTTTAAATTGACATTTTAGCTTTCCAGTTTAAGTAAGCTCTGAGAGTTAAAAAGTAACTACAATACTGATAGAAATCTTATACAGTGGATTTTATATGGCTATATCCAAAAGGCCTACTTTGTTTTTGAAAAGCCAACAAATATTTTGTTTTAACGATGAATTCAGTATCTATTTATTGGAAGCCAGGAGAAGGCTTCATGAAAAGCTTATATCTCAAAGCCTTCATGAAAAGTAAACATCTCAAAGCTATCTGACAGCAGAGTTCTTACCCTCTCCTTTGAAGGGTCTTTCACCAGACACTACTAGACAGGATATCAGAGTGAGCGGGCCTTAGGTCTCCCACACTATGGTAACAGCTACAGTTTTAACCCAAGAGGTGTTAATAACTACTTCGCTAATGCTTCTACAGTAACTTAATTATGGAAAAAAAAAAAAGAGACATTTACTACTTATTCCAATATTACTGTTTACAATGAGGTACCCAGACAAACAAACTGACTAAGATCGCAATATCTTACACTAAATTTCATATCAGACTATCATCATATACAGAACAAAGAACGGGTTGATGGAAGCCCTTCATACCTTTCAGGAGAATACCCTGTCTATCTCCTTTCTGCCCATTATCCCAATACACTTTAAAATACTGACATTGTGAATGACCTTTTTCTCCTGACATAGAAAGAAAAGAAGTAATGGTTAGGAAGGGAGAGAAGATAAAAATTAGGGACACAGTCTCCGTATAGCACGGGATAACGAAGTACCTAGTACAGTGCAGGGAAAGAACACAAGACAAATTAGTTGTTTTTAATAAGAAAAGGCTTGACTACTTAAAGAGTACACCACACAAGGAATTATCAGACATGACTTTCTACCATCATTTAGGTTCAGATTGGGGCAAATGGAAAAAGTCACATCTGTCCAGCTCTAATTTCTCAACTGGCTTCTCAAAATAATTAAAGAAAACTTATTTTTTAACTCTACATACAGTCTTTAGATTTAACTTCCTAAATTCAGAATGAAAGTAAATTTGGGGTTGTGGTCTCATGGCTCTCTTGAAAGAGCTAACTGTTAGATAAATAATCAGAAGACATATATATGAATTTGTATTAATTGTTGACAAATATTAAAAACTTTCCAAACCATATGGTTTTCCTTCAAATAACCAGTACGAAAAAGGGGCTTATGGAAAAAAAAAAAACATTTTAAATCAACAGCTTTCTAATCAAATATATTCAGTTCATAAGTAAATAAAGTTATCTTATTTATTTTCTGTTTCAAAATTACCCTAATAATCTTAAGTTCAAAATGTGCTGTTTGTACACTATTGTTTAACATTAAGTGCTAGGTTTTGGCAAAGATTTTACATATTCAATCCACCTTTATTTATGCTATTCTTAGCAAAGACAAAGACTATGAAATCACAATTAATGTGAAATGACATCCACAGTATATTCCAGTGTAATGTGGTAAGTCCTTTTTCTCTAAAAGAATATTTAAATGAACAGATGTGATTCCAAGTATATGGAAAACAGATCACTGAACAAGAATGTTTAGTTTACAAAGACTTTTTAGAGTATAATGACATTAAAGGTTTGAGGGCATTAATTTTCATCAACTAAAGTTATGGTAATTTAAATAATGTAGAAGATTTAGCATAGCTGAACAAGACATTACTGACAGGAAAGTAAGTCTCTGCTCAGGGCAAGTCTTTTCCCAAAGAACTGTAACATATAAACACAAAACAGACAGAACTTTAACAGTTTAAGCAATGTATCACATCTCTGCTTAAAAATCCCAAGCAGACAGCCACAGATAAAGGAGGTTTACTCATACCTGGTGGGTCTCTGCAGATATAACAGATGTACTGCTCTGGAATGCTGTCCTCTAACAATCCCATGCATACACTGTGCTGCCAACACAAGCACTCTTCACACTGACATCAGAAAAACAAAAGCGAAAACTAGAACTAAGATAATCATATTCAAAAACCAGAAGCTCTCTCTTGTATCATCAAAATTCAAAGGGCAGTTCAACTTAAGTAACTGGCAAGAGTAAAACAATTTTATTTGGGCGATTTATGTTCGGGTAGGCAAAGACCTCAAGCTAATAAGTAGCTTTAGTTCTGAAAGTTACCTCAACCACAAATTCCAGACTGGAGAAAAAAAATGAAGACGCAATATTTAATAGTATTTTATTACAATATTATAACAATTTAGCACCTAAATATTTAGTAGTGTAACATAAGACAGGAGTATAATATTACAGTAAAGTAGAAAGATAATGTAATACATTACAGCATAACAGTGAAAAGTAGAAAACTCTTCAGTTTAATTATTTATATTTACAAAGCATCTCTCCAGTGCGCTAGAAAGATGTGTTTTTAATATCGCACCAATGGAAAATCTAAAAGAAAAAGAAAATGAAGAGTAAATGAAAGGAGAAATAAGAGAACAGGAGAGCAAAATAGAAGTGGTAAGACATGAAGGCCTAGAAACAGTAAACTGGTTGCTCTCAATGAGACGATGCACGAAGAGGAAGTAAGTGATCAACTTTAGCTGTCATTGGACTTTAGAAATGGGCAGCAAACTACCACTTCTAAGTACATTTTCCTCCTTTCCCAGCTCAGTGTTTGCCTATTTTCTAAATATCTGCTGTTTTACTATTGAAAATCTTTCCTCTGTTTTGACATGCATTTTGAACATCAACATATTCAGAACACTGAAGCTGCCTTTCCTCTTGTCACACCACGATAGCCACAGTTTCCTCTACTCTCTCCAAAAATTTTTACACCAGTCCATTTTTTCCATGTTATTATCGTTGCTGAATTCTTCCAACACACCACTGCATTTCAGTAATGCATTCCCAGGGACAGTTTGTGTACTTGTTTTTCAGATCTTTCTTTCGTTTCCAAAAGACTATTAACAAGTCCATTAACAAGGCAGCTGACCCTTGCTTCCTTCAAATCTCAATTAAAATGGCTCTGTATTTTCAACAGAAACTGTACCACATTAGCTGAATACAAACCTGTCCTTTGAGTCCAAAAACCACAGGAAGTTCATCATCTGTTTTAAGTTATTGACAACTGACTTCCTCACTTGTGCTTGCATCTGATCTAATTGCACAAATTCCTTGAGACAATGACTTTAAATTATTCATTACTAGATTAAAGATGCTTCTTTCACTGCAGTACAAATACATAAGCAGCAGCAGCTGTAGTCTGTCAGCAGCTGACACCAAGTATTCTTCAAATGGCAAGTTTTCTCCTTTTTTTCCCCTATTCCAAATAATATTTAAACTCTTAGCAGCTTCTAAAATGAGCTAATCATTTCTCGTTTGAGAACTGCTCTTCTGAAGATGAAGCACGCGCATCACAACACAAAGATACTGACAATATTAACATCTGTATGGCAGAGAACTATATCAAGATGCACCAATCTTGGATAGAGTTGAGGTAAATTTACAGCAAGTAAAGTGGTGTCTACAAATATTATACTGTGAAGCACAAGGACCATACCAGAAGTGCTTGTATAATTGGAATGGCCTTTAGACAGAAAACAATGATTTGTGTGTGGAAAAGCATACATCTTTCCAATTTTATCAACTGTCTATAATGAAAAAGGTTACTTTTCCTTACAAACCTGTTCTACATAGCAAATTGTCAGCGGAAACCCATCTCAAAGAAAAAGTTCTGCATACGCTGGAGAGAATCACATGAAGTGCAGAACATAAAAATATTTTGTTATTATTAGTCATGTCTATTTACAACTCTCTACTTAACTTCGGTCTCCAACACCTTAGAAGAATATCTTCCCACGCACAAAATTCACATGGAAAATACACCCCCTCAATTTCTTTACCTGAATCATAAAGCCATTTTCTTCATCCAGTTCACAAATGCATCTAACAATTTCATTGAGAGCATCATCTTCATCCTGAGACTCTTCAAAGTTAGTTGAATCAAAATCCTGATTGTATTCATCACCACTAAGTAACAAACTCTCTGTAGAGGAATCATCCAGGAACTCAACATCTGAAAGATCTAGTAAAAAAAAAAAAAAGTGAAATTGTGAGTGCAAAACATACAATTTTTAAAAAATCAAAAACTATTCTATCAATTAAAAGTCTTAACCTGAATATACCAAAAAAATCACCCTCAAATGTACTACTAGTATTTTATAATTTCTTTATGACCTCTGCAAAATGCCTTTAAATGTAATGTGATTGCATCAGAAGCAGAGTAGCAATCTTTAACCAAAGCAAGCACAATGCAGAACAGCTTGAGGAGTGCAAACATTTTGATTTAAATAGATGAAGCATAAATTAGCCACCATATTTATAGCTACAATCAAAAACTTAAGATGCTTTAAAAAAATCAAAGATTTTATAGCTAAAATCAATTTATTTATTATCTTTCCTACAAAACTAAACCTACAAACTGAAAGCTTGTAGGTTTCAACTCAGTCAACCTACTTTCTCCACTAAGGTCAACAGACAAGATAGCTCTTGGATACTGGTACGATGTATTCTTCTCTGAGAACATGCTGCGCAAAGTCAGAGAGCTTCCTGAGGACCGCGTTAATGGAGAAGAGCACCTGTCCAAGTACTCAACAGAACTATCTTCATAATCCGAATAATCTGAAAAGTTAACAACAGGATTAGCTGATGTTACAAAAATTTGTGACAAATGCAAAAAAAAATTAAGAAAACAACATTATATTCAGATGTAAAGAACATCAACACTGAGGTATTAGGATGATAAAACCGAACATGAAATAGCAAATTTCTTCAAGACAGTTTTTCCAGAAATTTCCAGTAAGAACCATAATGAACCACAATGTATATTTATATATTCTCATTTGCAGACCTCCATCCTGGCTCAACCAGAGAGGAGAGCTGGATGAGGCTGTTGGTTATGTGTGTTCGTGTGAGCACTCCGTGTGCTTATACCCAGTGGTAATGCATTTTCAGCCTTGCTACTGATCGAATTTGGGGACAGGGAGCTGCAGCAACCTTGCCTCTCACCGGTGGCCAGAAGCAGCATGATCTATTTTTCTCTAACATATAGCCTATTTGCAACAGTCTCTAGGAATGTTTCTTATGTTCCTTAGCACAGTGACTGAAGAATGCACCCACGTAAGCCCAATGGTAAGTAAGAGTAGCTATCCATTTCCTCCTCTTAAAACTTTGAATATAAGTGGTCATATTTCTGCATCTTCATCGTTCTGTAGAAGCACTACTGCTACCACCTGTGTTCTAGCATTGAGTTCCACAATATACTGCTCTCCTCAATACTTTCCATTAAGCCACTGTTAATATTTTTCTCTGTCAAAACCACACTATCACATTTCCTTAAGCATTGAGAAGTCAGGAACAGATATGAAAGTATGCAGTATTCTAGCCCACTCGTTGAGTTGATTACATTGTACTCCAACTTCACTGACAAAAAGCAGAAATTACCTACTTTCCACAGGCTTTATATGAACGAGTGTGACTGAAAAGGCATATCAGTATTTGCAAAAAGACAACAGGAAATGCTAAGTACACAAAAGAAAACAAAAAATAAGCAGTCCTGGCTACTTCAGCTATAGCTCGTTATTAAAACATGACAGATTTACAGATTTAATATGCAGTTTTCAATGTGCCATCACTTTCTGTACAGCAATGTAAGTCATGTGTATACTAGGTGAAAAAAATGGGTTCTTTTTTTTTTTTTTTAAGAAGACCTGCACAATATTCATCTGAAGCACATATTGTGCCTCCACCCTCATCTTCCCGTAAATGCCTTAGTTTGACTTGAAAGGCACAGAACGTGCCTCACACACTTTCATTTCTGCCCATACCATGAAAGCAGGGTAAGCTAGTCCTGGAGAAAGAGAATATTGCTTCTTGTGATGGATCATTTTTCAGTGAGCTTTTTCAGGGTCAGACACTAGAGTCAGAACCTGCCAAAGCATTTTTCTTTCCTCTCAGTGAAAAAATCCAGACAGGATGCCTCTGGATTGCTTGCAACATTTTTTCTTGACATAAATTTGCATGGAAGAAAATGTTCAAGTTCTATTCACACTGCCTTCTGCAACTGGTTTTAAGATCTGTTTGTTGGGACACTGGGAGGTACATAGTTTTCTTTTAATATTTACAAGCATTGGATATGGCCCCTAAAAGCTGAAACCTAATCGTGCTATCTTTGTTAAGCTTATCTTTGTTAAGAATCACAACAAATTAGAAAAAAAAAAACACCAAACAAACAAAGCAATAAAAAGAGAGAAACGAACAAAAACCTTACAACCTCCAGATGGTAAAACAAAAGAAGAATACTGGGGACAAGAACATGGCTCTGATTTAAATTTGCAAGAGGTACTATATCTCAATCAGTTTGAATCAATAAGGTTTTCAGAAACCACTGCACGTTGGAACTGTATGGAACCAAAGAAACACACATACCCCCGAACAGTGAGAAGCTGAGGAGTATCTCAAGCACATCCCTTTGCAAAGCTGCAAAGTATCACATGCTCACAGGAGCAAAATCAGTCTGACCAACTCCTCAAACATTTTATATTGTACACCACATCAGCTTCTTTTGTTGATTCACCTTAATTCTAGTATTCAACATCAAAAATGTCAGAACTTCTCTGCTTAACTTTCTTTGGAAATATCTGAAACAGAAGGTTCAGGGAAATACTATGTGGAAGTTCTTCAGCTACAGAAAATATATTTATAGTTTTAAACGCAGTTCAAATCTGTAGCTTATCTTGGTAGCTGACTATTAAATCAGTTCTGTTCCAAACACCTGTCAAATGCTGCAAGCATTATTTTGTTTACTTTCCAAAGACTTTTATACCAACACACAGTCTGCCATATACTCAGAGAACAGGAGAGCATATAAAAACATTTTTCTTACTCTTAATTAGGAGTGCTCCTAAGGATATTGACCTACACAAGGTACTGACACATTCCTTTTAAGTATCTTCTAAAAAATGGAACCTATGGAAAGCATTGACTTAATTTGCCATGTTGTAATACCCACAGATGAAACAGACCGAACTGATAAGGTGTTGGATTTTTCCCCCCCCTTTGGCATTTGCATACCTAGATTTTCCTAGAGTCTTTTTGAAAATACTTAGATACTTCTCCAGCATAGGTAAAGGAATTCCCAATAGTATTCAGGTAAAATAAGCAACCAAAGTTTATAGTTGAAAATTATGTTACTCCAATACCAAGATGGTAAAGTATTTGAAGCCTAGATTACTCAGTTCAAGTACTGCATTACAGTACAGGTTTTAGATAAACAAAACTTTTAATCACTCTAGAGATAGGTAAAGCATCTTTATAGTCTGTGGTCAGAAGCTCCTGTTAACACCTAAGATTCTTCTACAGGCTTTTGAGGAATAGTTTATAGAAAAATCCATTTAATAAGTTTTCAATTTTCACCTTCTCATATTTTAAGAAATTTAAATTAAAGTTTCAACTGATACCTATTAAAACCCTCTCAAGGTACACAAAAGTAGAGCCAATTGGATAAGCACAGTAAGTGTACATTTTGGAATGAAGATGTTAAAAAAACAAAACAAAACACAACAAAAGAGAGAACATCACAGAGAAAAACAAGTAGTTTAAGACCTGAAACACTTTTTGAGGCAAACAGGTGTAGAACACAAAAAATAAAGTTTAGTCTTCGGCTAGAAGACAGAATGAGCCTGTATTTGCCCATGCAGTTATTCACATTGTCATGATTCTGCAGCCAAGGCTACGCTGAAATGCAAAAGATTTTATGGGAGATGAAAAGAACCAAAGGAGAGAAAGAAAACAGGAATAAAATACAAGAAGGGAAAGAAATGTGATAAAAGAGCCAATACTCGACACATTTTTTTTTTTTTAATAAGATAAACTGTCCAGTTTTTCCACAAGAATCACACCAAGGACAGTTACAGAAAGGATGGTGTCAAAACTTTTAACCTCATTCTTATGGGTGTTTCAAGGAAAGCACCCATAGAGGTGTTTTCCTCTCACCCATGAGATGTTTTCCCTCTCAACCAACAAGAAAAAAATGTCTTAAAGATTTGTTTTTTACCGCAAAAAAATAAATAAATTGTACTTTACAAATGTACAAACTGTTATGGATTCATTATTAAGAAGAGACTGCAACAGGCTTAATACTAGAATAACTGTAATGTCCAAACAAGATAAGGATTTTACAGAGCTTCAGATGAAGAGTCTAAAGAGACTAAATGCAAAAGCATTATTATCTGCATACCCTTTCAAGAATAAAGGTCTATGAAATGTCTAGGTCCATCATATGGACCATATATATATGGCCATAAATACAGAAATGAAGTCAGACTCTTGTCCTTTCAACATTAAGGACAAAACCTATTCACTGAAATTTATAAATTTTGTAATTATATTGTTGAGAAACAAATTTTAATATCTTATCCCTAAAATATGTCAAGTGGTTTGGCTCACTTTCAAAAAATGCGGATTGAACTCACCATGCTGTTTAGATTTCTTCTTTTTTTTCTTCTTCTTTTTCTGTTTTGATTTATGATCTTTCTCCTTTTTCTCTTTTTTCTCCTTTTCCTTTTCTTTCTTTTTACCTAAAGTACAAATTGAACATCTCAAAACAACAGTGCCACTCCAAAATACTTGCTTCATTTGGCTTACCATAGAACATGACATTTAAATCCAAGCTATTCCTGTGTCCTAGCAAGATTCACAATTCAATTAATTTCTTGATATGTTGGGTGTGTCTCTTATTAGCTGATGGCAGAACACTTCAAATAACTGAGTCTTTCTCAACAATTTTAGGTATTTTCACATAAGATATCAGAGGAGAAGAAGGTACAACAAAGCACATGAAATAGGTGATGTCATTTCAACAATTTATAACAGCTATTTAACTTACAGTTTATGACAAAAAGATATGGGCATGAGAGAAAGCTTTCAGGAGCGCAAGATTCCAAACAAAGATAATGTCATCTTAAGTCACTTTCTATAAGGGTGAAACATGTTTAAAGTAAATTTCAGTGTCACAAAACTCAAAACTGCTGATGCTGTCAGCACTTTCTACTGCACAGAGGCACCCTCATAGAAAACTGTTTCTGACTGAAGTTTATGGTATGTTTTTTATGCTGCAGTTCACTTACAAGCACTGTTGACATATGCATGAGGATAAGTATTTTGTTTTATAAAAATTCTATCTATCCAATTAATTGTCCCCAGAGAAAATGTATCCCACAGCAATGTCATGCCATAATTATTTTATAAGCAACATAGCAAGCAATCACGGTAAGTAATGAGGAAGTTGACTTGTTATGGAAAACTTACGATTTAAGTTTTCACTTACGATTCAGTGTTTAAGAATTATTTCCTAAACATATATTGAATCTTACCTTCTTGTGGAGTACAAAAGCACAGTTTTTCCCCTCATGGAAAACACAAGGCAAATTCACATGTGAATTCTAGTCTGTCTATAATCATAATTTTTAAACCAGGAAAAATGAAAGTCCCCTTCCTTCCGATTTTTTTTTCAAGAATTAACTAATGTTTTGTCAGTAACACTTACGTTTTTTTTCCCCACTTTCTCAGCAGTCAATGCAAGGAAATAAATGCAGGATCACTAATTCAACTGAAATAAAAGTTTTGGCTTGGGCTTCTCACAGGTACTATCTAAATCCTTGTTACAGGAACTTTAATTTTATTCTCTTTTAGTTATATCTTTACTGACATATATATGACAAGTTTATATATACAAATGGCTTTTAAGATCTAAACAAAGGCAATTAAGGTGGGCCCTAGAAATGCTTTACACTTATATCTGTACTTCAGAGACAGCAAGCAAAGACTTTTCCTTTTTTTCATAAAAATATCACTGCTCTGTACATACCATATGTTGTGGAACTCTTCTCTTCCAGTTTTCCTTTTCTTTCTATTCTCATCGCACCTGTAAGTTTAAGAAGAACACGAGACATTAGTGCAATGTTTGGCTGATGACCCACTATCTTGTAAAAGTCATTAGACTGTAAAGAGTTCTACTAGTATAAAATAAGAAACATACAAGCAATACAATGATTTTAATGTCACTTTACGGTTACTTTTATTCTCTAAAGCACTGGAAACAAAAAGCATTGTAGTTTACCAACTTCTGAATGCTTGTCCTTCTCAATCACGTTCTTTAATATTTTCTCCTTCAGACTCTCAAAACATTTCTCCTTTATGGGCACAGAGTACTGTATCTCTGTCCCTTCAGAGCTCACTGATGTGGAAGACCTCTTTTTTTTACTACTCCCTTTGGGTAACTTTAGACTATTGGTTAAAGGCATTTCCAGATGTAAGGCATGTACATGGGACGAGGGTGCTGAAAATAAGAAGACAGATTTACTAGGCATTCAGTAAGGATTGCAGCCAGATCACTGGCTGGGTCAGATCACTGAAACATCAAGTATTGGTAATAATATCATCACACTTAACACGTAATTACTGCATATGAATGCCTAGACCATAGTCTTTCATACAAGATGATACATGCCACAGCTTTGTCTATTTTGAAACTTGCATTCACTTTTCAACTATTTTTATTGCTTAAAACATACTTTTGCTGCTATTTTTAAGCCTTTTTGTTTCCTTTCATTCCACTGTAATAGAAAACCATGTCAACACTAAGGGTAAAAGTGCTGATATCGTCAACATTATTTAAGTTACTGGTCTATTATGTGAACAGAGAATCTATGTTCTCAAACATTTTTAGCACTATGTATTTACACTTTATTACATTTTTCATTGATTCTAGTAATATTTAAATTATTTAGTCTTTCATGCTTTTGATACGTTTGAATTACATGCAAGTTACTACACTGGAAATCAGAATTATATACTGACAATTCTTATTGTAAGGTTTACTGATTAGTGGCAGATATTTAGGTGGCAGTTTCTTTACCTCTGTAGATTCAAATGAGGAAATAAACAACAAAGCTCTATAATTATAATTTCATTGCTGATATTTATAATCCAATAGGATAATGTAATTTTCAGATAACTCGAATACAAATGTTAGTTGTAAAGAACATTACTGGTATTGCAAAAACCTCTGTATTACTGCAGAGTAAGTAATTCATCAATATCGTGAGAGTGTTAAGTCTCATCTAACCATAATTAGGAAAGCCTAATCTTCATCAGGACATTGAGAATATTTGAGGACAATGCTGTACAAAAACACAGCTCTTCAAAATCTTAAGGGGCTTAATCTCCCTCCTCCTCCTCCAAAAAAGTCCTGAAGGAGACATGCTAGTAGTCAGGATGTTAAGCCAGGTAAAGTACAAAGCTGATCTGATAGGTTCTCTGAGTTTTCTGCACTGCCTTTTTTTTTTTTTTTTAAGAAAAAAATATTCGGGTTTAAAAAAAAAAAAAGCATTTAAACAAACATTTTTTAAAACAACTTAGTAAATTTCATCAGTTATAATTCTGTGGGTAGTTAACAGCTTGGTGGTGGCTCCAAAAAGCTGCTTTCTAGGTTCGGACAAACCAACCCAATTGGTCTTACACTTTACATGAAACTTTCTCCAGCTCCTATGCAGTCTTCCCCAGGAAAACAGCCAAAATGCCACAGAGTGGGAAACTTGCAGGAGGAGCAAAAGCAATAGCAAGCAAAATCAGACCACACAGCATTTTTAACTGCCAGATGTTGCCAGCTGTAAGAGGTAAGACTTCACTATGCTATGTATTTTAGCAAGCAGCCAAAAGCAGCTGCTCAATTGCGTGCTGTTTTTGAACACAAGACACGAGCTGCACGACTACTACCTGAGCCTTTCCAGTAGCTTCAACCATCTCACGTGAGGCCATAATCCTTTTTAGCCTGGTCTACCAGCTAAGCTTTGTCCTTCTCTATTTCCAAGGCACTTAGCTCAGTGGCACATGCAAAACACTGTACCAAGTATTCCTTCCTTTGGTTTCCTAGTAAGCATTTCTCTCTGCTGCAGGACTGAACTGGTTTGCCACCTGTCACCAGTGAATACATTTTAGCACCTCAGTAAAGGACAGAAGTGGCACTTCCCCACATCGTGATGCTATCACCGTCTGGTCTCCTTTCTAAATGGAACACAAAAGGATCGCCCAAATGCACGTAATTTGATTAGGTCACTGTTATTTTGATGAAAAGTTCAGCTCAGCTCCCTTTGAACAATTTCAAGGGAAAATTTAGTGCCAGATTGTACACTTTGAATAATTTAGTATTTAATTTTCATTATTGAAAAAGAAACCCTGATCTCAGAAAATCAAACGTGCTCTGATATTCCTAGCCACAAATTTTAGTATCTCGACTTTCAGCTCAGACATGTCTGAGAAAGTAGTCAGCTAGTAATTAAATAACAGTTTGAGGGAATATTCACAATGGGCAGAAATCTGCTAGTCACACAAATATCCACCTCGATGACACAGCTCTCTAAACTGCCTTTCTATAGTTGTCTGAAAAGAGAAATTATTATTATGCCTGCATACATATATTATATGTATATTATTCTGGTCTTTTGCTTATACTAATATTACAGAAATCATGAATTGAGAACTCCTAATTTCCAAATCCTAACGAAATGTTAAGGGTTTTGCAAACTCATTTGTAACAATGTCATTATTATGCCTTACAAATAACTACAAAATTAGACAAAGGCAATCATAGTCTGAAGGGCAAGTAACAAACACAACATGGCAAATACGTGTTTATAAAAAAATGTCCCTTCAGTGGATGTTACGGTATATTTTTTAACTGTTATTTTTAATTGCCATTTTATCCCTGTTCAGGAGTCTAGTCAGGCACCTCCCACACAAGTGAAGCGTGGGAGGCCTGCAATTAACAGCAGAGAGAAAGATACTTCGAGATGAGACTCGCCAAACTAATGATTATGTCGTTGCTCTAAGATTGCAAGAAGACTGATTTCAGATGAAGAAGAAATGCAAACCACAGCTATTTCCAGATTGCTTTTCAACACGCCTCCGATGCTACTTCTCCTAGGCTAGCATGGTAAAAGCAGCACAAGCCTCGCTAGTGAGCGCAGGCAGAGAACAGAATGCAGTGGTACAAACGCAGCAGCACACAAGTGCTTAGTGGTGCTGCTTTTGTCTGTCCAGCAAATTAAAATAAATTAGATCTACGTGAAGCAACTTATTTTGTTGCATGATATTCCAATGTGTGGCTTGTGATGTTTCAACTTTCCTGGCAACAAAAATACCGACATCTGCATTGATATGCAACTGAAATCGTACCATGGCCAACATAATTCATGGTTCTATTGCAGGCAGTTTCATGGTTTGAACTTCCAGTGCACAGGATGCTGAAGCTGATATCAAACTACACTTTACAATACAATAGATAATATAAAACCCCACAGAAAACAATCCCTCTGGGAAGGATGAGGATGCAAGTGTTCTTGCCTTCACACAGCTACCCCACAGAACCAGCTGGGAGCTCCAGGGCAGTGAGAGTGGCACATGACCACACTAAGGAGCAAAACTGACTGACAGTGGATATTTGGAATAAAACAAACACTAGGTACTTCTTAAAAGCAGCATAACCAAGAACACTGGCAAGAGTTTTAATTAAAAGTGACATCTTTTTTCTGAGAATTACACATATTTGTACCTTCTTGTTCCTACTGCAGTGAACATATCAATAAAAATATACAGAAGTATAGTGTTTTCTTTTTGGGGTGGGGTGGTGGATTTTTCCGATACAGTGGACCTAATGCTACCCTGAGAGCAAAGTCACCTAGCCTTAGCTACAACAAGGAGTAACAAACAACAACATTGTTATATTAAGACTGTTGTATTGATGTGTGTAACAATTTTTCTTCAGTGTAAGAACTGAAATCCAGATTGCTTTTTTAAAATATGTTTGCTCAGTATGTAACAGGTGAACTAATACGAAAAGGCACAAAGCTACAAAAAATATCACAATGAATTTAAAGAAAACTGGCATCTGTAAAATGATCTGAACTTCATGTAGTCAGAACTGGAATACCACAGTATTTTGGTTCTATGCAGACTGACTGTGAATATAAAGTCTTTTATAGACTAAGACAAAAAGTGAGTTAGCTACAGTTAGCTGGCAGACTGTCAAATGAAAGAAAAGATTCTTAATTGTGCGTGCACACTTGTAGGCAATCACAACTGGATCCATATACTATTTTAGCCAGTGCAGTACCTCAGTTTAAAAATTAAATAGTAGCATATCAGCTACTAAAGAACACAGCACTTTCGCGTAACCTAAAGACTGCAGGAATTGATCAGTTTTTGTGTCGCCTTTGTGAAATGGCAAGCTCTTCATTTTGAGCAATGACTTTGTGAAGGAATTTACATGTTAATACCATGAGTTTCCACTTCTGTTTCTGTATTTCACCATATCTCATCTCATCCCTCCCTATTATTTTGGTAATTTTTTTTTTCCTGTTTGTTTTTTTTTTTCTCTCTCTCTCTTCAGTTTGCTCAACTGATAGCCTTCATCAGATTTCTGAAATTCCAAAGTCACATCTCTGGGTCTAAACAGTACCTCCTTACGACTATGCTCAGAAGGGTCAGTTACCATAACAGGCTATTTCAGGCTAAACACTTACCTCCATAATTTCTGAAACTATTGTTATTTACCTCAGTTATTACACAGAACAGTAGATCCAACTTAAGCACAGTTTGCAAATTCCACACTACTGTCAAAATCTAGAAAACCAAATCTGTCCAGATTGCTTCAATATAATATAAACAGTAGAAACAACATAAAAGGACAGATTTAAAATAGTTCTTTCATATTAAAAACCCCAAAAAATAGATAATTGCAGAGTAAACTGGATTTTACACCAGAGTTCTCAAACTGTATAGTCACAATATATATGGCTAAACAGTGTGATACATTAAATTACACTTATGCAGGCAGATGTTCTTGCATTATTCAAATGAACTTTGCTCAATACTTTAAAGCATCGCCTGAAATGATAAATGAAAGCTTTGGGAAAATTCTTCTTTATATATGAGATTGCTTAAAGGCTACAGGTGCTATAGCTTAAAGAGGTTCATTAGAAATGGAAAGGAAGCAGTAAGCAGGATAGACTCTATCCATCCTCTTGGAGCAGGAAAGAAATTAGTGTAATTGTGTGCTTAAGTAACATGAATTGAGAACCATTTAACAGTGCAAAGTTTAATTTCACAGGTTTCAAACCTGAACATAAAAACTACATTTGTTTTCATCTTCCTCTGAAAAGAGAAGGGTATTAGAGAAATGAGTTTCACTGAGGCTAGAAGCCCAAGATGAACTCTAAATAAATATGAACTGCTTCTGTCAGTAGTAGCTCTAGAATTACCTTTTGTAACTGATCTCCAAAACTTCCTGTAAAAACTCTGAATTCAAGATACTAATTGCCTATGTAAACCTTTCAGCCCACAAAGATTATACTGCTCAAGTGGCTGTCAGTTGTATACTTTTCAAAGCTTTTAAACATTTGGACAGAATAATAAGTCCATGTGAAAGCTCAAGACAAAGTACTACTGCATGGAGAAAAACTACCAAAACTTTAAAAACACGTAGCTCTGTCTAGAAGACAGACAGGTAGCTGGGAAATCAGTTCCTTGAGAGCTTATAATTTTCAAAATTATGTAGAAATAGGACAAACTGTATCCCTCCAGCGCATGTTGTAAGCGCTTCCGTTTTCCCACTCTAGACTCAATTAGTACTACCAGAAGGTTGTGTCAGGCATGATTTTCCCTGACACAACATGCCAAAAAATATATGGACATGCCAAAAAGTTTTGAGCCATAAATGAAGGTGGCAACAAAATAAATGCCAATCAGTATTACTAACTATGCATTAAATGATCCAAAAAACATGTCAGGCAAAAAAAACGCCCAGAAGTTAAATTCCTAGTAACTGAAGCAAGTTCTTATGAATAACAAAGATAGTAGTTGGAAGTGGTTGGTTTCTTTTATGATCTTGTATGAGTGGTCAATTATACATCCACCAAAAGCATTTCTCCTTCTAGCCAAAGGCATGAGATTAAAAAGACCTTTGCAGAAGTAATTTTCGCAGGAACTCATGATTCTACCATGATTCAATACGTCAAAGGCACACCAAGATTGTCACAGGGTTTAATGTGAGAAACTTAGTATTTTTTTTTAAAGCTTTAAAGATTTAAAAAGTTTTTAAAGCAGTTCATTAGAAATTCCCATAGCACTCATTTTGACAAATTAGTTTAAGAGATTAATAGATTTTGTTGTTTGAAAGAGAGCGAGAGAGAGAGAGAAGGGATATTTATAACCACCTAATTTAATCTACCCAATATTGATCCAAGAATCCTACTCAGCCTTTTCTGCATCGGGTTAAGGAATTATGCTGGAACTCAGGAAAGCAATCATCTTACACGGAGTCAATGGGCAGACACCCAAGAAGGGGCGTACATTAAACAAGATGTTTCACTGACCTAGAGTACCGCAGCTACACTGGTAGCTTAACACAAAGTTGTTACGATTTATTTCTTCCCCTTAAACAAAGACAGTTATATTTTCAGAATGGCTTAATTATATACTTTATGGTCACAATGCCCCTCCTTTATTGATCACATTTACTAAGGAAGTTCTCCAAAAGTGCATAATTATTACTTTTTATTTAATTTCCCTCCACTTACTTTATTGATTAGTTTTCGCAGTAAAGTCATTTAGAACATGGTATCATACTCACCCATGTAAGAGGCTTGTTTATGAAAAAAACATATGGATACCTGACACACTGGATGAAAGGACTCATTTTTAGGGTCTGCAACTCACAATGCAATCCCTTCCCAAATCTCTTAATTTAAGTGATTTGAATAAACCACAGTGCCCACTAAATTGCTGAAGAGAGATGTAGCCCTTCATTACAGCATTGGACTCTACAAAGGTGAACCAAATTTATATAAACTTTAGAGGATTTTCCAGACATATTTTCAATTAAAATCTCCTAGCAGGAAAATGACAAAATTTCTACTACAAAGAGAAGCAAAAGTAGAAAATAAAGACTACCTCTGAAAACTCTACTGTATTTAAAGCTGAAGCCACAACATAAATGAGTATGTATATATTTAGTATATATTAGTATGTTAGTAAACAACTGTATTATATATATATTATTATTAATATATATATATATTTTACAAGTTTTAACAATAGAAAATATTTTAGAAAAATACTATATCTTATATTCTATACTTCCTCTGTAGAGTTAAATCAGATCTACTTTAAGGCATGTTAAGAAAAAGTGCTAAAGCAGCTCAAAGATAGTGGAAGACAAAGAATATCCAGATGGATGGACCCCAGGAAGAGGTTTGCAAGCTTGCAGAAAGAAAGTTTATCCCCTCTTTTTGTGTGACTGAACACATGCATGTTTTAACCCTGCAACTGTAAGCCTAACTGGTTGGACACTGGATCTTTTTACCTGACGCTGTTGTAGCTACTCTTCCATCAGTTACTGCTTTGGAAGAAAGATATGTAATCATCTGAATATCTTCCTTGTCTTTACTGGGGTATTCATTACGGAAAGTGGATTCTGTGGATAATGGTGCTGAAACTTCCGAACTACGGCTTAAATCAAGAGGGAGACAGGGTCCACGCTTCTCAAGTGACATATGAGCAACATCGGGTACTACACAAAAGAAAGAATGTAATATTAAAAAAAGGTACAAAGGCCCAACAAACAACAGTTTGGGTTGCAGTGTTACATAACATACGAACAGCATTCAGCTTTAGCGACAATAAGTCAAAACGTCCCATTAGATGAAAACCATGAAAGGTCTAATTTTCATGATTCAATTTCTCTTGGGCAGTTCTTTATTAGATTAAGATACATTACCCTCCAATTTTGATGACTGTTGGTTTTGAGCACTGATGGAGAACACTTTTCCATCAGTAACTGAAGAGGGAGAAGAAACTTTTTCTACAGAATCATCAGGCAACGAGCAAGTGGCTAAACGTTGTGATCTTCTTCTCCGTTGACTATGTTTGTAGGATCTAGGGGAATTCAGTGGTTGTGATGGACCTAAAAAGAGATCTTTCAATGTTCATGAAGCAGAGAGAGATACGATCATCTTACCGCAGTATTTTAGAGTTCTAAAGATGGGAAGTGCTTTAAATAGCTCTTATCTGCAGAACTGGTAATCACAGCAGGACTTTTAAAAGTAATTAAAAACTGTGACTACCAGAAAAAGGTTATGCTTGAGACATGATTCTGCTTTTTGCTTATTCAACATTAATAGGGCGTCTACTTCCCCACTAATAAAGACTATTGTTTTAGGCAAACGGTGTATTTACCATAAGCAACTCCCCCATAGAAACCATGAGAGTAGGCTTATAAAGGAACTGAGTAACAGGATTTTACAGTAAACAGAACAAACGACCACAATTAAAAGATCTAAAAGTCACGGATACTAGTAACATAAAGCTTAAATAAAAAAGCAAAAGCAGTGGTTCATTTTATAACCCCTCTCCTGACCTGATATCAATACCCCAACTATCTTTAAAATGTTCATTGCCAATGCATGGCATAGTAAGAAGACTCAAAAATCTCACGCAAACAAAAACAAACAAAAAAGAATGGGGGGATTGATATAGGATAATATGGGCCTGATTCATTAAAAACAAAAAAAAACACTCCCCTAAACTTCTTCACTTTAGTAAAGCTTTACAGACATTTGCCTTGGAAAAGACACATTCAAGTCATTACACTATAAATCACCATTCTCTCTTTTTCTTTAACCATTTTTTCAAGTAAAAGGTTCACAAATTTAAAAATAAAGACACAAAAGACAAGACTTAAATTTCTCTCAGAGGTGGTAAAGACTTGGAAGCCAAAGATTGAAAGACAACACTAACAAGATCTAAACTTAAGTAACCAAATTTTAAATTGGTTCTTTATCCGAATATAATGCTAAGAACATCCTCAAAGAAAACTACTTACCATCTTGAGGGAAAGGGGAAGGAGAAGGGGAAAGACATGTCACAGTAATTTGTGGGGCAACTAGAGATACAATTTAAACAAGTGTTCCCTGAATAAATAGATGGCTGAACTCGTACACCTTTCTCTCCCATTCACTTAAAGCTATCTGTGAGAAAAGATTAGGAGAAACTATTCTCATAAGGGAAAACATCAAATGAATGTTAAGGAAAACATATGATGCAGGTATAGTCTTCCATTCTTAAATCACTGTCCTAAAGCAAAAGAGGTACGAAGATTTTGATTTCCTATAGCCTGTACTTATTTTAACTCTTGACTCATCATTTAGTGTAAAACAGGCTGTTTGTTGCCTGAAGAACAAGGTCTGACCCTAAGCAGTAAAACCGTCTCTAAGAAATTAGATAAATATTTCAACATCCACAAAAATTAGCATATTGAAGGAGGCATCGTAAATCTTTCCCTGTTCTGATGAACGGTATTCTAGTACTTTGCAAATCGATGCAACTGATGCATACATATTTCTGAGGCAATGAAAACTGAGTTATGTACTTTCCCACCCCAGATACTGAGCACATCATTGCTTTCATATTATATTTTCTGGGAAATAACACAAAAGGTGAAGAACGTCACCGCCAACAGGTATAGCACATCAGTCTGCCGAAGGCAACATTTCTCAGAGAAGGAAAGATCCACAACCCAAGTGTATGTCTTTTCTTTTTAATGAATCAGGCCCTTCAGAAGAGAGGTTCGACTTTTCCCTGTATCACTCCTAACACTAATGTGGAGATTTATGCTAGAGGGGAAGTCAGTCAACCATTAAAAGCTGTAACTCATACATAAATGTATTATTTCTTCTAGAGAAATTCATATGCCTTATTATCTAACTTGATTTTTTAAAAATAGTGAGCTACCCCTAATTCTCCCGTTTTGACTTTTTTTTTCCTATTTTAAAAGCAGATTCATTTTTAAAATGCAATATCCATTTACAACGAAAAGTTATTTTATGTATATCTCTTAAAAGTAATTACGGTATGTTTTTTAAAATGTCTGTGCTCACTAGTTTTATTTATCACAGAAGAAGGAAGCTGAGAGACCAGCGTCAAATCCTCGACTTGTATTAATTCTGGGGAAAGTGGTGATTTAGGGGGCTTTATACACCCAGAAGAATCTCCAGATTCTTGTTTGCATTTCTTGCTGCGAGCCTTTCCTGAAGACAAAGTTGAGGATAACAGTGCAGGTTTCTGAATGTTGGCAGAACTGCTAATATCAGCTTCATTTTTTTTCTGACTTTGTGGTTTAGGTGAAATCTCCTGAATAAATAATAAAAAATTGATACTTTTATTTCAGTTTCTTCACTGTAGTTCTTGTATTCTATTTTGATCGTTTTAAAGCAACTTTAGTATTCAAAATACATTTTAAAGAAATGTTATTTTCAGTACAAATAAAAAATATTTAAAATGCATCACATTAAACTTTTATTTTTAAAGGAGCATTATCAATTCTTTTCAGTATTCAGAACACCCTCATTCCTTACTATTTGAAATACCTGCAGAAAGACTGAAAATAAAACTGTTTCTCTGAATTCTCATTTCAAAATCCAAAGTCATTTTAGCTTGTCCCTTTTATCTTCAGCATACTGGGACCATGAAATGCATTATCACAGTGTAATTTGGAGAATACCTGTCATAAATTGGAATACATGCACCAATCTATGATGGTAACAGCAAATAATTTAACAGTTCCTTGGGATAACTGTCAAAATGAAACCTATTTTAAACAAAGAAGAATCTGAAAAAAGTTGACAATGCTCCCTTAAGGAAATGTCTGAAAACAAGAAAAAGTTTCCAAATACTGAACACACTCTCACAACCCCTTTCAGTGCTGGGAGTCTGGATTTCACCACATTATATGCTTGTGCAAACACATGAAGAAATCACAACTTCTAGCACCACAGGGTTAAATAGATTGCTAACTGTAGGAGGAAAAAAAAAACGAGCAGATAGAGTTAAAACAGTTTTTGAAGAAAAATCAATATATGATGCAGCTTTCCAAAATTATTAATTTTCACCCTTAGCACACGTATTTAAGTATTATTTTTAGGCAATTCACATGCATTGACAGACATTGTAGATTTTTAGTAGGAAGTACTTTCTGCATTACTGAATAAACTGTGCACGTGTTACACAACTTGCCCAATAAAGGCAAGTATCTGTACATTAACTTCTTAAACCTGTCCCCTCTCTCATCCCAGTTACAACACTCAGCACATTATCATCTAATAAAGCCATAATTATCAAAGTAGAAAGGTATTTCTAGAATGTGCACACCAGTTTATCCAAGCTAAAAAGAAATGTCACATCTCTGATTATTTGAGGGCTTTGGGTCTGGTTTTGTTTTTCTAAATAAAAAAATTACTTTCCACTGGAACGTGGAGAGTTCTAGTGGAAACAAACATAAGTGCACATTTGATGCATGTAAAAGGGCACCCTTGAATGCTGTATCAATAGCTGGCTGCAAGTACCATGTAAAGATCCAGTGCAAAATGTCCCATTCAGCAGAAATCAGTTCTACCTTGAATAACTCCATAATACACATGTATTAAGTGCAGTTTTATTCATTTAAATAAAAAACTCCATGAACTGAAGAGTATACCTATGCTGGTTATGAGAGGTATTACCAGAAATTAATTAGAGTCGTAACTTGTAAATAAACAATTTTATTGTTCATCTTCACAGATGTGAAAGACATTAATTACTACAGCATCCATTACTTTCAAATTACAAAGTTATTTAAACAAGATTAAAAAAATTAAATTAATATTTTGATAAGGTGCTTAACCTCTTAACAGGACAAATTAACATTAAAAACCTTAATGAATTAATGTTATTCATCTAAGCAGATCTTGGTCAAAAGAAAATATAACATGACATACCCTAATACAGTTAAATAAACTACTGTATCTGCAACTAATTGTTTGAGGTTTTGGGTTTAAGACAATTGTAAACTAAAAATATATATATAAATATAAATAAAATATACTTCCATCAACAAAGTAAGTTTTCGGCTATTGGCCTGAATATTTCTACCATGTTCCGTATTACATTATTAAAAAACCCTAAAAGATATTTTACCCATTCAATTTTATAGCAGTAGCAGACAAAACCTCTCATTAAGGGGTGCCAGCTTTGCTATTGGAAAATCTTTTGGGGAGGTTTATAACTCGGCCATTTTAATTTGGATTTGGGCAGGAACTTTGTAAAAAATAGCTTTATGCTCAAATTTTCCTCCCCTCAATCGTTTGAAAGCTTATGAGGTTTCTCTTTTTTGTTAGAAGTGAAGGCATATGACATTTTGGATTTTGATGCCTCTTTAAAAGAGCTTAACCAGTATTTAAAAAAATTATTATTTTTCAGACCATTAGCATGTAAACAATGACAGAGACATCCTTTTTTTTTAATATCTAATCAACAAAACAGAAACAGCCGAGTTACTATGTCTAAGAAGTAACATTTTTTTTTTCTTTTTCTTTTTTTTTTTTTTTAGTAAATATGCACTGTAGTTTATACTGTTGCATACACAGTCTATGTAAACCACAAAGTCCCATTCATCTTAACGGGATTCTGCATGTTAAGATTTACATTGTAATGATTCTTCCAAAAAACAACATGCTGTAAGCCATTTCACAGTTTTTTGCACATTGAAGATATCACACACAGTAGCAGTAAAACCATAGCATATTTAATATGCAAAAATTTGAGAAATGGAATGTCATGTCAATACACTGTAAACCTTTCTGCAAAGTATCAGTCAATGCATTGGCACCGTAGTGGCTCATACAGCCGTTACGGTGACAGCATTAAAAACAGAAAATCATGCTCCATTGACAAAATTCGCATCCAATGCAGCATCAATGGAAAAACCACAGCAATGCAATTATGTTATCAGCTCTAAAGAACCAGTACAACCAAAATATCAAATAAATTTTGGGGTAGGGACTATTCAGAGTGTGCCGGGGCTTAAGAACAGAAGTGCTCTTTTAAGAAGTGAGGGCAGCAAGGCTATTTTATTCAAATACTACTTCTAAATGAAAATGAATACAAAAAAGCTGTATTAAAACTACATTAAGGCTCTGATTTAAAACCATTGGAAAGCAAAGATGTCCTGAATCAATACTACCGTTCATCCTTAGCTTGCTTTACCATGCTTAGGCATTCAGCCCTTTTAATGTGCAAGATAATGCACAACTCAGAGTCAAGCAATGCCTGAACAAAATGGAATAAGCCAAAGATAAAATGGCAGCTTTCAGGTCCTGCAAATATGCAGGTTTAAAAATCAGACCCTTAACATTATTTAAAATGTTTCTTTTTTGTATTTATTAAAATACACACCCTTGCAAAATGTATGGCTCATTGAGCAGTTCATAAAACACATACAAGCCTACAACACCAAATTCTTACAATATAAAATAAGCTTCTTATAAAAGAAGTTCTACTTGATGTCAAAAACCCTGTTTCAAACACAAATTGAATTTGTGTAAGGGCCTTCTCCTAAGCTAGTCACGGTTCCAGCTACAAATCTGGACCTCGGGATGCTGGCCTCCTAGCATTTGCTGCATGGAGGCCCCACTTATTTTTGTTGCAGAAAACTAACAGAATCTCATTGCTAAAATTAAGATTAACGCTGCATTTTGAGACAATTAACTTCCATACTTCTGGCTCTGCCAGAATTGTAAACATAAGGTCAATTTTCAGTTCCCTATTGTATCTGAAGGGGAAAATTTTAATGTTGTAAGTACTATATCTCCATGGCACACTCCAGTGGGAACCTTGCAAAAGAATCAAACTCTACCATTTCATACCTGCTCCAGGACTGGAGCTGTTTCTTTGTTGCCTTCCTTTTTTTCAGCACCATCTGCAACAACGGCTTTGGATGCCAATAAACCTTCGGAGAAAAATTGCAGAAATGTTTAGTTAGAAACTTGCAATAAGGATTTGTGGAAAACAGAGAAAAAATTATGAGACAAGAAATATGGTCTGCTTGTATCTACAACATAATTCTCCCCGAAACAGCTCAACACAAGGCTAAACGCTTTAATTAGAAGAAAACAGGTTGCTAACATGATGAAGTATTTCTCTGGCACTTCCACGAGGAAGATGAGTAGCAATCAATTGTAAAAATAACATCTCGCCATCCACTTAAAGCCCAAGCGCTCGAGTTTTAAAACCATGGCTATGTTACTTAAACTTTGAAAGACCAAAATAATTTATAATCCTCTTCTACCTCTCTCTTTTCCAGTCTTTAAGAAATTCCCATCAGAATTTGTACTACATCTACTTAACTCTATTAAATGCATGCAAACCTTGCTTAGAATAGAACAAGAGATTCAGTTTCCAAATTAATATTCTTGGCAGTGGAGCTCTGAAGTTACCTCAGTAACAAAAACCATATTGGGAACAAATATATCAGCATACGATTATTTCCTTAATGAATTCCTATTCACTATCACTACTACTGATACAAGGGAAGTTAACATCAATATGAGAATAATTGTTAGAAATAAAACTGGTTAAAAATAAAATTGGCTACATAGAATCATAGAATATCCCAAGCTGGAAGGGACCCAGGAGAATCATTGAGTCCAACTCCTGGCACCACACAGGTCTACCCAAAAAATCAGACCATATGTCTGAGAGCAGTGTCCAAAAGCTTCTTAAACTCCGACAGGCTTGGTGCCGTGACTATGTCCCTGGGGAGCCTGTCCCAGTGCACAACAACCCTCTCAGTGAAGTGCCTCTTCCTGAGACCCAGCCCGAACCTGCCCTGCCTCAGCTTGACACCATTCCCATGGTTCCTATCACTGGTGACTAAAAAGAATGGATGGGCACCTGCCACTCCACTCCCCCTTGTGAGGAAACTGTAGGCCATGATGAGGCCTCCCCTCAGCCTCCTCTTTTCCAGGCTCAACAGGCCCAGTGACCTCAGCCGCTCCTCACATGTCTTCCTCTCTAGGCCCGTCACCATCTTTGTAGCCCTACACACGTAGGGGTAGCTAATTCTATTTCACACACTAACTTCAATTATTTGACTATAAGTCAAATTTCTATGTCATAAGACAAAGCAGAACTGCTAAACATCTGAAAAATAAGAATATAAATTGAAGTTGCCATTATAATCCCTGGGAACATCAGTATTGGGGGGTGGAGGGTTTAAGTCCTCAAACTTGAGCTGAAAGATTCTAAGGGAGATAAGGAAGAAATTCTGTTGCATTCCGTGAAAAACTGGATATGCCCAAAATTAATTTACAAAATACAATGGCCAAGAAATTACACATTAGTGAAGCCAGGGTTCTCAGGAAATGTGCATGACACTGAAACGGGTTAGCTCTCTGCTGAAATACCATGCTGTTTTCTATGGACTTTTTTTTCCCCTAGTGTTCCACAAGAATAAAAGGCACTTCTTTTTCCTTCACTTTTTACATTCCATGAAGTCATGCTTTAGTGTGCTGAAAAGCAGTTATGTTCTAAATGAACTTTTCAGAACATTGTGTGTATAATAAGAGACACAAACCAATTGACTTTACCACTAAATAAGTTAACTGCAAAGTAGAAACTTTTTAGCTCCATTATATTAATGCAAACATTATCAGTTAAGATTTGACATTAGGCCTCACAAAAAACTTCGTAACCTTTCCAGAAAAAAGGAAAGAGATAATTATCCTTCATAACATACTACACACATCCTAAACCATTTGTAAATAGCTCCCTTTCATACAGTCTTTTTTTGATTTCTATGCCTGCCTTAACAGAAATACCCAAAGTATAAAAAACGTGTTTTTAAGAAAACTACTATTGCTCAAAATACTGTCCGTATCAATGTATCTGAAGACGGTTTCCTGTCTGACAGTGCTTAAACGTGTCAAAAGCAAGAATGACTCACATACATTATGCCATCATTTTTATTTCTAGCTAGATGCTCGGTGCCCAGCAAGTAAAGCCATGAAACCAACCTAAATTGTCAGACTTGTGAATGTATTTCCCTTATTTCCTTCTTCTCTATCCTATTAGGCATCTCTCTAACCAGTCACCAGGCCTGTGCAATGACAAAACAACTAACTCCAAAGCTTCTGGAGCAGCAGAACTAACTGCAAGTTCACCATCTTTGGTCAGTAACAACATGTACAAAAAAAAGTATGGAGGTGGCAGAAGTGTTTTGTTCTCACTGCAGATGTTCTTCTAGGTATCAGTACAGTAGCAGGAGAGGTGGAAGCAAGCACTCCAGAGGCAAAAACTAATTAGAGAAGACATTAATACACGTAATACAGAAGATTTCCTTCACCTTGGGGAAATGTAATTTCCCTCAGTAGTGAAAGAAAAAGAAGCATAGGGAACGATTTTATTTTGTTAAACAGTGAACAAAGAACACCAGGAACTGATGCAGCCCTTTGGGCAGACAGAGAGAACCTCCTGCAACAAATACTGACTGCTGAATTTAAATTTAAATCCAGAAAAAGAGTTCCTTTCAAGCAGCTGCTTACAGCCACTTCATTTGCTCTATGTTCCCAATGCAGTCACATAAGCCACTGTGTAAGGAATGTTTTCCTTTAGCTACTGTTTTATGATTCTTTTGTAGCCACTTTGATAGGTAGGCCAGCATAACCCAGAACCTTCCTTCAAATCATACACTAAAGCTCATCCCAGAGATCAATGACAACGTACAGATATTCAAGCACAGGAAATAAGCATGTAGGCAAGAGAAAATTTAGTCACCAATAGTCACATCTTCAATATGCTCCATTATAAGCAACAGTAAAAAAAAACACTATTACTGCAGAAGTGTGTTAACTATAGAACAGTTACACAGAGTAACTACCAAGCATGACAAATTTGATCTTGTAATTAAAGAATTAGTTCATTTTCATACAACAGTAATATTATCAACTGGAAGAGTACACTTTCACGGCAACAAACAGGAATTGCTTTGGAACTAATAAAGTCCATGGCAGTAAGGTGTATTCTGATTATTAAGTTCAGTCTGTATGAGTCCATTAAACTTCATTTTTTCCTCACAATGTTCCTTAGGAAAGGAAAACCTTTCCACTGGCACAGGAAAGTATCATTTCTAGAGCTACAGAAGTTTCAGCTAGTTTTGGTATCTTCTGCTACTAATGTTCCAAAGGCTATGGAAAGGAAATTTATCAGGGCTGTGTAATTCCATATATCCCTCTCTCTCTAGAGATAAAAAAGAGAGAGAGATAAAATGTAATATACCACTAGCACATAACATAGCCTTCTACTGCTCAGGGCAGCAATTAAATTGGGACTTGATTCAGTATGTACACCATATGGGCAAAGGAGCGCAGAAATGTGGCGGATCAATCAAGCATCCATTAACTAAACTCAGTACTAAATAAGAAGCTTTCCAGAAAAGGGAGTTCTGGAGGCTGAATATGAGTTTTTTTGAAGACCACTTCCTTTACACGTTCCATATCGGGCCATTTAATTTATTTACTCCTTTAGCTTAAAATATTGATTGAAAGACACTGAAATGGAACCATACTCATAAGGAAACTGACTAAATATCCTCAGCCGCTGACTTGTGAAAGGTTGCATCAACTAAAACAAGTTGAGAAAAACAAAAACAAAACACCCTCATCTTAGTTTAGTAAACCAGGTTAATTTTGCCTTATTTCTTTAAATACAACTTTTTACATAAATGAGCTTGCCATAACTAACAAAAAACTTAAATCTCACCTGAAGCGTAGAACAGTTTGTCAGACTTCACACAAAATACTGTTTACTCAAAAAAACTGGAATGCATTTCTTGCCATCTGTCCAAGAGGCACTCTTAAGACAGGCTTCTCAAATTTTTCACCTAGTTTTTGAATGTATTATGATACCTTCCCAGCCCAGGCACAAAGATATTACCTCATTCTAAATACTGACATAATCAATACTGGAAACACACTTTGCGTATGAAGAGGCCTAGGGAATGAGGCAAACAAATTGATATAATTTTTCTGTATTTAAGTTGATTTCCATTGAACTTTGGAAAAAAGATCATTTTTCAAATTTTAAAGATCAATTACCTAGTATTTGATTTCCTGTTGTATAAAATATTTTTATAACTATATGTTTTCCTTTAATTCCTTTCAGTAATAAAGTGCTTGCCTTAGGCATTGAAGAAAACCACAAAACCAAAAATTTAGCTCTTCATTGCTTCAGTTAGAACGTTAGCATTGCATACTTTTACAGAACATACCGTAAACTTTACAGCAACAGTTTTACTTTATGGCAAAATGGATTATTCCACCCACTCTCCCCATCCCCACAAAAATTGTTAATTTACAGTGGAGCTACGTTAACTCAAGAACACATTAAGAACTTGTACAAACACCAAATTCACCCGATAGTACAGAAAATTGTGTGGCTGGAATCAAAACAAATACACATGCTCAAGAAATTCAGAAGTTCAAAATGGTTACCTTTTCAAAAAGCTAAAATCACACACACCAGCTCAAGTCAGAGACCATACTCTCAATTTATGAACAAGGTAGATTTTTATTACTTTAGGTAATTACTTTAAAATTCAAAACAAGTAAAAAGACTGATGAATAACTGCCAGGTGGATATGCTTTTGTGGATCTACTTTAATACCATATATGGAAGCATTTGTATTTAACTACATTAAAACACACAAAAAAAAATATCAACAACAAAAAATATTTTACCAGTGATCTTGTTAAGACGAGCTCTCTTTGCCTGAAATGAGTTTCCTAGATTACTTTTCCTCTTGTGTGATAACGTGCTCTCTGCCTGTACAAAGGCCATCTTTGGAACATCCACTACAGGAAATCCTACTTTTAAACATAAAGAGAAATCTAAAACACACATTTCATTAACATGCAACCAAACACAGAATATTTAATATTTCAGAACTGGTATTAGAATTAGAATATTGGAATTAAGAACCCTTACAGCTATTAGAAAATTGAAACTGGCATATTCTAAAGATTTAGTATTATACACTGATTCATTGGATGTGGATTTGTCATTTTTACTCATTTTTGTAAGAAATGTAGTAATTAAAGACTTAAAATAAACAGATTCTTATCAAACCAGAAATCATTTCAGCCTTTCCTGCATATGGATAAATCATCAATACTGGATTTTTATTTATTTATTTTTTTAAACAGTATTGAGGGTTCTCTCACAAGTAACAGAAGATCCAGGTACATGAACCAGAGCACACAAAGCCATTCAAAAGCCTGCGTTGTCCTCATTAGAGGTGGTCAGAATTTGTGCGCAAGGGATAAGTGTTGACCTAACTTGAGTTAACTGATAAAAATTATTTCTTAACTGATTAACACTGGGTATCATTCCTAGCATCCTACTAATAAATGATACATACTCCTCTAGAAATACTAGAAATAAATACTTTATTGCAAAATTAAGAATGTGAACTCTAACTCAATGGTACCAAAAAAATCAACCTTATCTTTTAAAGAATCTCTTTTTACCAAATGTGTCACTAGATGTAGGCTCCTCTTCCTTTTTTTGGACTTCCTGCATGATTGTAGAGGTTGAGGTTTCTTCCTTTTTTGAAGGAACTTTTAGCCATTTTCGATCCTCTTTATCCTTATTGCTGTTTGCGCTGGTTCTAGGTTTACTTCCTGCTTTGTTCTTGGCTGCTGCTGCAGCAGCAGCTTTGACCAAAGCTATCCAATCCTCCAAAAAGGAAAAAATAGTTTAATAAGTATTAAAAAGTGTCTTAGACTTCAATAGAAAATACTTATAAACCCCGTGGAACTTCATTTAGAAGTGTTCGTGAACAGTTGAATATATTATTGCTACTACTCAAGGAGTGGTAAAAATTAGCTTCCCAAATTGCCTAAATAAACCTGAAGTATTATCAGTATATCAATATGCCACATAGATAAAAAAGCAAAAAGAAAAATACCTTCAAAAGAACGTTGCATAGGAATACTGGCTGCCGGTATTCTCTGCTACCTATTTTGTGTATCATAGCTTTAGAAACCCAGGAGCTCCCACACCCTAAACACTGCCCTTTTTCTGATACCTCCAGGTATGAAATACACCATTGCTATTGTTGCTCAAATTTATGTTATTCAAAACTGAACTTGACTCAAAGCATAGTCCAGCCAGTTCCAGAACTGGACAGAGCTCTTCCTGAATTACACAGATAAAGCAAGGACAAGTCTTTACTAACTGTATCTGCATTTCCAGAGTAGCTGTGGACAGCGCTCTTTTTGTATTACAAGTTTCATTCAGTAATTTCAATGCGCTATAATACAACTGAATTTTAGAATCCATTTCTAAAGGTAATAAAGTATGATTTTGGATAATGTCTTATCTGACCATATACAAACATCTAATGAATGAACAGCAGAAGTTGCAGTCCAAATTCATCTACCTTCCAGCATGTATATGAAGTCGTTACCCTATAGTCAACGGAGAGAACCCCCAAGGCCCAGGCAGCTCTTTCCATTAGTCTGAAGTGATCAGACTTCTGTCCTCTGTCTCCTGAGTGTCAGGGATCAATCTGATTGCAAAAATTGTGTGTTTATCTTCATTAAGAAAGTACTCGTAGAAATATTTTAACATCAAGGTATAGAGTTTTTCCATGGAGAAATGATGTGAAATGAAAATCAATAGCAATGTTCATCCTCTACCAGTAAGTATTATGCATATGAATGCAGTTTGAACATTGATGATTTACTACATTGCTACAAGAGCATTTTCAGATTTGCACTGACAAATATAAAAAAAAAGATAAGGATTTTTTGTCTTTTTCCCCATGAGTTTTACAAATAGTAGCACTTTTCTTCCAACTTTAAATTAACCGTATTTTACTCTGGAATGTTTCCTTGTTAACATATGAGGCACCCAATGCATCTTGACTTTTGCAAATCAATCTCATTTCAATGCAACTTTTCTGTTCTACTGAGGTTTGTCTTCTTTGATGTACAAGAGCACAACACAAATTACTAAAAGCATTAATTTTGCTTGTGTTACATTCTTCCTTCGCCATAACTTCGTATGTACGTCATTGCATGTTACGCATTGTGTCAAGCTTAAACACCAGGAGGTTCGATGCCTCCAAAAATAGTCTTCCACAACTGAACTGCCAATGCAAGATGCATACACTCAATCTAGATAGTAGCAGAATAGTTTGGAAGCACTTTAGCAATGCTTGCAAAAAACAGGCAGCTACCAAAGCCATTTGGTGACATGCCAGCCACAAAGAGCATCTCAACTGCCAGCTGCGTACTCAATCAAAGACACACATACCTCTTTTTTGGCCAGGCAAAAAAAGCACACACATTAGCTCCAGTCCATCCAGAGCCTTGCCCATCCAGCAGGACAAAGAAACGATTGAGCTATTTGTGCTGGTGAGGAGTTAGAAGACCTGAGAGTGGAAGTCTTACACTGTACTCTGGCCAAGGGATGAAGAGGATCAGTAAAATGGTTGGAGCTTGGATCTTACGATGAAAGTGCATGAAAATAGCTTCTAAACTCCTTTCATTTCCAGTCAAGCTAAAGCACCCTGAAATCAGAAACTTTCCAAAGATTTCAAGCTTCGAGGACCACACTGGCTAAGTAACCTGTTTTAATGGTAGCTGTTCTAGTGCAACACGAAGGGCTTTTGTTTTTTTATTTCATTATTCGGTTACTTTCCTTAAGACACAGAGCTTACAAAGGATGGCAGGACACAACTATGAAACAAACAAAGCTTAAACATTCAGAAGCCACAGCAGACATTAGTTGTGGTGATACGTATTTTTACAGGTTAGTATTTAAAGATGAAACTCAGTGGAGAGAATCTTGAAAGGGGGAGTGGAAAAGGTGATCACAAGAGGTCCCCTCCAACCTCAATTTTGTGATTTAGAACTGGCTGAAGCTCAGTGAGTTCATTTTTTATTTTGGCTCTGCAGTACACATAAGCACTGAAGCGACACAGGCAATTCCTGTGTTTTGTTTTTTTAACCTTGAACTCCATCTGAGCTGCACCTGTTAGGACTACCTAAACATCTGAGATGCTAAAGGTGACCATTTCTTTTGAATAGCACAGTAATTACAAACATCTTCTTGAAGCAGTATCTTTTTCAGACTTTTTAAGAGAAAACAAACAGTGAGAGCCTAAAGCAGAGTGCATTCTGATATCTGTCTCAAGGCTGTCGTAAAGCAACTACTGTCAATCACAAGAGGAGAACAAGACGTACCATAGATATCACACGCTAGTCACCAAATTTTAATAGCAGGACTTGCTCTTGGAGCCTTCAGTTATACACAAAGCCAAAGATCCAAACAAGAATATATATTATAAATGAATAAATAAGCTCCTCCCAAAAAAAGTTTTTTCTACTTGTCTATGGTGTCCTGATTTTGTCATTTTACAAGCTATGGTTTGGAACTGCACCATCCAGCCTGATTTCCCATTTCCCATGGTATCTCACTCAAGTAAATGTTTTTCACTTACATATATTTTTGAAAAACTTATATTTCCTTTTTTTATTCTAAGATTCATCTTTCAAGCAAGCTGAGACAACTGCAGGAGAGAAGTAACGGGACACTGTAGTTAGAAGAAAAACCAGTACTTTATCACTAATGAGAAAAACTGTCATTATACTAATTGGATTCACTGAATCAAAGCACAGGAAATTGCACAATCAAGAAATATGTTAGTAGAAGTTACCCAACAGCCTTGCATATTAATTGGCTAGAACGCTTGCATTTTAAAGTATTCCCTTGCATAATCTTAAACCTGCAAAAGCGGGAATTCAAAAACAGAATCACTTCTAAAATCCAACCTTTGTGCCAGTAACAATTCACATACATCACTCTCTCTTCGCCCACCTACAGCCTAGGTGTAGCCTTCTCTGTAGTCCTACAAATTCAGCTGTTTTCCCTCTCCTGACACGCCACAATTCCCAGCTGCCACACATTCATACATACACATACATAAAACACCATCAACCTATTGACTGGCTGATTCCAAAGCAAGACTGGATTCCTTACCCTCACCTTTCAGATTCTAAAGGGTCTGCCCCACCTAGATCTTGGCTCACATTGTCTCCTGTCATATCTTCTTTTTTCCTCTGTCCCAATTGCAAATCCATGCTTTTTCCTCAGCTTCCTCTTCCTGTGTGCCAAGTCCCCTCCCTCTCCTTCAAACCCCTCCTCAAAACTCACTTCTTTTGGTTCGATTTCCGTCACTAATCTCAGCTCCGGCGCTATCTGCTCCCTCTCGCGCGCCTAATTACATCAAAGATAAAACAAAAAACATGAAACAGAAAAAGTAAGTTATCTGAATACTTTATATGTGCTCTAACAAGGGCAGTCTTAATATTCCCATCTTTTTTTTTTCTTTTATTTTCCTCTTTATGTTTCTTTATCCACAATTCTGTGTGATTTCAATAGATTTGAGCTTCTCTGCAGAACCCAACCTACAGTCTCATAGCATGGAACTACACAAATACTTCCCACTCTTCTTTGAAAACACTGTCTTTCCAGCCTCACAGCTAAGTCTTATGAAACACAAACATGTACTATAGCTTAAAAATGGCGTATGAGCATTAGTGTTTACAGACTCTTACTTTAAGACATGCTAAGCTCAAATAAAACTAGGTTTCTTGCTTTTGAAAATAGTATACCGCTACTGGCACCAACACACTTAAAATTACTGAAAGAATAAGTGTGCTGGATTAAGCATTTGCTTCTGAAGAGGATAACCACTGTTCCTGTTCTGGTTCTGTTCAGTCACACACTTTTAGTTAGACAAAGAACTAAAATATTTAAGAGTAATATTCACATAAAAATGGATCTTTAATATCTTCTTATAAGTACATTCTACCATGAATATTCACTTGCAAAGAATTTGATAGTCCTTATCTCTTTTCCTCCATCTAATCCAAATTCTGTGTGCTTAGCATACACATTCCAAATGGATCTTATATTTGTTAGACTTGCTAATGTTCTAGATCTTAAAGTAGTATCTCAAGCATCTGCTTGCCTCCTGAAATGAAACTTCTCTTTGGAAAAAGACAAAAAACATAGGTTTACATTAAGCATGAAGTGTTGAGTCTGCCAACTCCTTTATGTTCCAAATCAAAATCTATTCCTGATTTTTTCTTTTAAACCTAAATCACTTCCAATAAATGTCATCTAAAAATATGTAATGCATAAAATCAAAAGTATTCATTAAAAGTTCTAAGCCTAGACAAAACTTGGTTTCAGATTATTAAATTTAAAGAACTTAGATCACATTTATCTTCTTATATACCACAAAAATATCGCAAAAGAAACATTTTTGTCATAGCACAATGATGAAATAGACGTTGTGGAAAGTTACTTTTGCCTTCAAAAGCTACAGCTTCATGCCTACCTTGAATTTTGCAAAATAAAATACTAGAACTACAATCAACTAGCAGTACAGAAAGCTTGCTTGTGTTGTTCTTACTTCAAGATAGCTTTTAAAATTCTTAATCTTTCTTAAGAAGCATGAGTTTAGCTCACTTATTCTTTCTGAAGACTTCACTGAAGCCACCTACTACTGAGATGCATGAGACTGACACCTTAAGTTTCAACCATTACGCAAAATTAGAGATAACAAATGAGCTGGACCAACACTACGCATGTCTGGACACCAAAGCGGTTGCTAATCAGCATCTGTAAGGAACTGATTTTAAGTTTTTTTTAAACTGAAAATGTCTAGTGGTAGTAACCTGTGACTAGACATGGCTCCTAGGATAAAGTGCAGGATCGAGTAAGAGACTTTATCACTGTCGAAGGACTGTTTTAGTTCAGTCAAAACCACATTATCCACGTTTGCCTTTTTATGAAGGAAAATGAAATACTCTAGCTTCCTAACTTAGTATCATATTGATTATTATTATTATTTTTAATATTTACATAGAGCTACAGTAGTTATTGCAACACTACAGCAAGAAACCAGTGGTAGCGTGCCCATGGATTTCAGTTTAATCTCTTTAAGGAAAAGTACTTTAAATGGTACAAGTGTTGCCATCACAATGTTACAATATTCTGTGTAGAGATGATCAACTCAAGTATACATCCACCTGCAACACCTAGGCCAGAAATACAGAAACGTTTTCAGGCCAATTATATTATCTATCTGCCTTTATCACGTGAGCAAAATACAGATAGTTACAAGAGTAATTATGAAATATTGAATCGTATTCCTCAAGTTAAAAGTTATAGTCTGAAGAAAATTGGGAGTAAATAAGAACAATCTTTCTATATTTTTTTTAAATCTCAAATCGTTTCAGTGGAGTAATTTATCATTAAGGATGAGAACACAAGATAAACCCAATATCATTTCCACTGAAAGCATGCATCAGTTTTTGATGCTGTTTTTCTTTTTTGAGTTAAGATATGCCTAGTTACTCAATCATATCCTCTGCTTCACAGCCTTGCTCTGCTTCTGCTCAGCATCTCTACTTCAACAGTGACAGGGCACTGCTCAGAGATAAAGAAATATTTATCTGTTTGAACCCCTAAACGTTTTGATACGGGGGAAAAAAAGTACTAAAAAGTCATGTTAATAAGAACATGTGGGCAAAAGTCTACCACTGTAGCAAACAACAGGGTAAAAAATAATTAAAAAATAAATCACCAGCACAAACCACTGACAAGTAAAAGCTTTTTTTTCCTGAAAGGCCACAAGACAAAGGAGAATGTCTCTGGATGTCCCTGCTTTTGTGAACCATGCAAGACAAAACTCTGGGAACAGATTAGTCAACAACAGAGTGTACAGCAGCTAGACGTATCAGATAAAGGCATGACTATGTGAGCAGCACATTCTGATATATCATCCATAAAATGGTGAAGCAAGACAGCAAAGGCCCTAGAATAAATATTAATTTAAAACTTGTTGTGCTAGACAACGTTCTTACGATCTCAAGATGTAAAAAAATCACTATGAAACCTAACAAAAAGACGCCTAATATTCTTACCTGCCCTTTTGCATCCTCTGGCATAGATTTGATATGCATCCTCTTAAGACATCGAATAACACCATCATAGAACTGTACTGTGAACGTTCCTAGAAGAGGATTGATGGAATCACTATGAGTAGTTGAGAAACAGACAACTCATTACTATAAAAGCTTTATCAAAATACTTTGCAGACTATATGAAAAAGGTAACTAAATGTTATCTACAGGCTTAATCAAGAGTTTTAAGAAAAATAAGACCCAAGCCCAATGAAAACCTGCTTTTACATTGCCACTCTTTGTCCACTTAGACGCTTTCAACCACATTTATGCTAACACAACACTTTTGCTTATAATTCATTGAAAGAATCAGGTAATATTTAAGCTGCCACACTGAGGTAAAAAAATCAATTCACAATCAAATCCTCATCTGACTTTTACTTATGTTCACTAGAGATATTACCCTATTAAGAAGTACTGCATATAAATTAATTTGTTCTACTTCCCAATTCCCATTATTTTTACCTCATCAATTGAACTTTAAAAAGACCATTTCCTGAAACAATTAAGAAAATTTAAATCTGTCGAGAGTAGCCCAAATCAGCACCAAGTACACTATAACAATAGCACTATGCAAAAGATGTTTTGCCCAGCACTGAACAAGCATTGAGCATTTTATCTTCCAGGATAAATTTCAATATTCTAATCTCAGATGGATAAAAGATGAACATATTACCTTTGACAGAATAGAAACATTTTCACCAGAATATTGAGGCAGTGAGGAAAACTTTACATGCATAGCTTTTTATTGTTGATTTTGTGTTTGGCTTTTTTGTTCATTCTGTTTTTAAGTTGACCACAGCAATGGTATAGCACATGTAAACAGTCCTTACCAGTGGACCAGAAATGAATACATACCCTCTTTATTAATTGCTTCAATCTTTGCTGGGTAATATCGACAGTCTGTCCAACGAGCTAGGACTTCTTCTCCAGGTTTAAAATCCTATTTTAAACAAATGGTATTAATATTTTGAACCTTTAGATTTTTTTCCAAAGAAGACAAACATTTAATGCTAGACAGATTTAATGCAGGAAATCAAGCAGGACAGCTTACCAAAATGAGTCAAAAACAAAATACACGTGCCACTTACAACAAATTCTTCATCATCTTTCAGCCCTTCTTTCCTTAATGCCGGTCGCTCCAAGGGTCGCAACCTGTTGCTGTCCCAGTAAATCCACTCATCGTAGCGATGACTCCAACGTTCAAAATGGACTAACATCTTCCCCTCCTCATAATCTATCTTCTCTATACGAGATGGATACCTTGAACAACAAGCGCACAATGGTAAATTCAGAATTTTTTTACAGGTTTGTTTTTTTTTGTTGTTGTTTTTTTTTTCTCCCCTGTTTATTTTTCTTTATGCATACATCAGTGCTTAAATGACCATTCAAGAATTTATATTAACACCTTGCACTGGGAAATCCCCAAGCCTGAAAAAGACCACGATACTAAGCTACATGCCATCCTACTATCAGTTTAAGAGCAATCTATACACATTAGTGATATCATCAGCTTTATCACAGATGTAAACCTGAAACACCCACACTGACTGAAGCGGGCATTAGCAGTTTGTGTTTTAACAATTCTAAAACCTGTGTTTATTTGAAGTGAATGCCTGTAGCAGTTTTTGTTAACTTGGGGATAGGTAGAACATAAAATTGTTTTTGAAGAGTACGTGCATTGCTTTTAACATATGAAGTGCTTCATTAAACTATCTGATTGATTTCAGACAAATCTGAGCAACTGATCAAACCCAGAGGTCAACAGAATACTTCTACCTAATGTAAGCTACTTATTAATTTGTAGATCAGCTTCAGTGATTGCTGCCATTAAATTTGATTCATATCAACTATGTTTTAGTAGTCATCTCTCTGCAACTGTGCATGCATTAAAATAAGTATGTCAGTTGAGGTATGGATCTTACTCTCAGCAAAGATGGTATGTGCTCCGCAGAACTTACCAGGGCTGAGCTGCAAGTCTGAGGCATCTAATTTGGGGCATGGCAAAGATGCAACCTGAATTCTACTTTGTGAACCATAAAATTTGAGATTACATTTTAAGGAAAAAATGGTGAATTTCTCTAACTTCATCAACTACCATTCTGTCCATTTCTGTTTCACTGAAGTGATTTATTTAATAAAGCTGTAGTAGGGCAGGAAGTCACAAACTTACTACATTTTCCCCACCAAAAATCATTAGATTCCCTTACTTCCATTGTGAAACGCAGAGAAAACTGGAATGAGGCAGAATTCAGATCCTCCTACCCTTAACAAGAATATTGAAAGAGATTCAAAAGTGCAAAGAATCTGATGAAAAAAATGAATTTGTTTATCAAATTTTCTCCAGAGTTTATATTCTGGGTACCACAACAAAACAAGAAACAATTTCTTGTGTTCAAACAGCAAATATAATAGTAAAATAGAGGAAGTTACAGATGGCATAAAGGTAATAAAAAATGCATTGAAAAGAAAGGCCACGGCAAAAGGACAGCTGCCTTCCACTTTCATTAAGATGCAACCTGTTTTTCCAAACAAAATGCTGCTGTTGAGCAATAATAAAAGGGCAGAGCTTGAGCAACCAATTTCCAGTGCTACTGCACATTCCATTAGCCAGAAACGCATCTGACAGATACAGGAACCCTGACAACATTTTCCATTTCAAATATTTCTCTCCTAAACACTAAGGATGCTGATAAAGGAATGTTTAACACCATGTTCCAATTAAATATGGACATTTTCAGAAAGTCCAGACTTTCCTTCTTTCCTGGTAACTACAAGGGAAAGGGCAGTTAAAGCATGTCAAACTCAATTTGCTCCTTCAGCTTACTCATTTCTCCAGCCCTACTTTCTCAGCTGCACCAATACATACAGCTTCCCAACATCTAAACTTCTCAAAAGTGCAGAAAAAAGAAAACTCTGATTTTCTAGGTTATCACTGCAACTACTTCAGCTACATCTTCCTCTCAGATCAGAATGTATGGACTGTCAAACATCTTGTTGCATCTGTCTCATCCACACATTTCAGAAATGCAAAATATTTTCAGAGCCATCTCTCCAAGCTCCTAACATAGTTTTGCTAAAAAAACAACACCAAGATCTTAGCTTTAAACTTCAGACTCATTTCCCACTCCACTAACAAAAATCTTTTCACTGATAAGAAAAGAATTCTATTGGATATCTTTCAGAGGAGCAACGTGATCAGCCTCCTTTCACCTATAAAGTAGGTTGACAACAGTCAAAAAAGAGCAGTGAAACTGGAAACATATTTTATCAAAGCAGAAAGCAAAACCCATAGGTCAAAATAGGATGCCATTAGGGTTTAAGGAACTTCATTATGGTAAACTAGCATTCTGGTTTAACTTTTCTCTTCTTGAAGCCATGTTCAAAGCCAGCCACAAGACAGTTTCTCTGAGCCCTGACTGATGACACTTCCATCTCCCAAAGACCTCCAAGGAAGAGACCCCACAACCTCTCTGGGCAGCTTGTGCCAGTGCTCTGTCACCTGCAGAGCACAGAAGTACTCCCTGAGGTTCATGTCGAAGCTGCTGTGTCTCACTTCGTGCCCACTGCCTCCTGTCCTGGCACTGGGCACCACTGGAAAGAGCCTGGCTCTGTAATTTCTAAGGCAATTTATAGTTACCACAAGAAATGCATGAGTGACAACGTTACCTGAGACAGTTCAGCATAGAAGTAAAAGATGATATAGGAAGTATTTAATAGACTGAAGGAAGGAAAAACCCTTGAAAAGAGGACAGGGAGATCCCTTTGTAGGGAAAAGAGCTGAAGCACACAAGCCCTGAAGCTGCAGCAGTGACACAGCAGACACAACACTGGCGCTCTCACTCTACAGTCCAAAATCTCATGTTTACCAAATGCCAGCAAGAAGGGGATGCAGAACTATGGTTATGAAATTCAGCGACCATCAGCCAAAAGTCCGAATTCTCCTTTTTCTAGGCACGTGCACAGTAATAATTCCGTTATGGCACCGTGCTACAGCAGTTCTATTGCTGTATTTTTTGTATGGCCACTAAGTTTAAATGGTCATCAGCAGTAAAACTGTCACTCCAAACACTGTGAGCAGACTGTGAGTAGACAAAAACTGTGAGGATAAACAAGCATAATATTGTATACTGTCCTGGAAAGAGAAAACTGGTTATGAGGGAGGAAGCAAAACCCAGAATATAGTTTAGAGACAAATATATAAGACTGAAGATAGTTTTAAGGAAAAATCAGCAAGCCAAGCATCAAAAGACTATTTTTATTTTACCTCCCTGTCTCTCCAATATATTAAAGGACAGCAAAGCTATCATCAGTTAATAAACAAAAGAATGCAAAATATAAAGCCTCATTAGAGATCACTCAGCAGAGAAAATCCAGGACCAGGTCTGTTCATCTTTAAGAAATATAATTTTTCCTAACAAAGACTTCTAAAAAACAGCTTTGCACTTAAGTCCACAATATTGGTTTTACATACCTAAAACTTCTAATAATCATACTACCATATGGTGACTTTATTCCAATAATTTATGCTTCTTCAATGTATGCTAGGATCATAGGATCATAGAATGGCTTGGGTTGGAAGGGACCTTAAAGATCATTCTGTTCCAACCCCCTGCCATGGGCAGGGACACCTCCCACCAGCCCAGGTTGCCCAAAGCCCCATCCAGCCCAGCCCTGAACACCTCCAGGGATGGGGCATCCACAGCTTCTCTGGGCAACCTGTTCCAATGCCTCACCACCCTCACAGTGAAGAATTTCCTTCTCATATCTAATCTAAATCTCCACTCTTTTTAGTTTAAAGCCATTCCCCCTTGTCACTATACCCCCTGACAATGAGTCCCTCTCCAGCTTTCCTGTAGGCCCCCTTTAGGCACTGGAAGGTTTTTATAAGGTCTCCCCGGAGCCTTCTTCAGGCTGAAGAACCCCAACTCCCTCAGCCTGTCTTCGCAGGCGAGGTGCTCCAACGCTCTGAGCATCCTTATGCTCCGGACTCATTCTAGTATGTCCGTGTTCTTCTGGTGCTGGGGACCCCACAGCTGAATGCAGGGCTCCAGGTGGGGTCTCACGAGAGCAGAGTACAGGAGGAGAATCCCCCCCTCACCCTGCTGGCCACAATTAGTGGTTTCAAGCTGAATAAATCCAAAACCTGCATTCAACTCCAGCCCTCAGAGATGGAAGATTTAGCAAATCTCTGAACTACTCAAGCTATGTATGATTGGTCATTAGGCAAACCAAAAATAACTTCGGATGGATTTAGCAACAAGACACTATCCTTGATATTCACTAAATTTAGCCACACAATGTGCCACACGTGTAGAAACTGAAATATTTCACAATGCTGATCCCATAGTGGAAAAAAAACAAAACAAAGAGCATACAAATTACAGAATTTACTATTGCACGTTTTATGCTGCACAGAAAGAGTCTTCTGGCATTACAGTTTTCGTACTTTTACTGAAAAAATAAACCCCCAAATACGAGTGTTTCAAAGGCAAGTATGTGTTTCCTGCCCATAAGAGACAAAATGGCAGCAACATTTTCAATACCAGGTTTTTAAAGCATATACTCCACACCGACGGATCAGAATGAATTTGATATACAGGGCAGATTTGCCAAAATTCATCCAGAACAAACTGTAAGAGTGCAACTGAACTGCAAAATACACTCAAATATTGAGAAAGTGGTCTTTATTTTTACGGAAAAACCACTACCACACTCCAGCTCATTAATGAAAGTGTTGTTCCTGTGGTAAGGAATAACCTGCAAGGCTTGTTGGTTGGTTGTTTTTTTTTAAAATAACGTGCAGGCATGCTGGAAGTAGCATTTCATAATCCCAAATAAAGTTTTATCCAATTATTTTTGTTCTCATTTTTTAAAAGACAGAGCAGGAAAACCATTACCACCTAACAACCTCTGCACAGTTTATATATTGCATGTTCTCCAGGCTCAGGTTCCAGAGATTCCACCTTGTAGGAACTCCCTAACATTTCTGTAAAGCTGTTAAACTTATATGGCTTATAAAATTTACAGTATGAAGCACAGGAGAGAAAACAATAATGCTCCAACATCCAAATATGAATAAGTAATGGGAAAACTCCCAGTTTTCATTTCCTGACGGTATAAAAATTCCCATTTTTTCCAATCCACCCAACACATCAGTGGCCACAAGGGCAGTGGTTTTCATTTTTCTATCATCTTCCTTTTGACTCTTCAGAAGTGACCAACAAGCAGCAAATTACCCTGAGAGGTGACAAAACTGTTATTCCCCACCATAAATCTGGATGTAAAAATACTGTGTAATTTGCCTAAGTTAAGTTACTTAAAGAAAGTCTAGAAACAGACACATACTTCCTGCCTTCACAATAATGGTATAAAAAGTGTTTCCTTCTGCCTCATCGAGGATAAAATAGCAAATGTGCTCCATTCTGACCTCTCCACAAATAGTCTTCCTGCATCTGAAAAGTCTGCAAAGCCTATTTCTACCTCCCCAGCTTCTAGCCTACATTATGGCAATACAAAGCAGAGCCTTCAGTCCTTTCAAATACCCCAAATACCCCAGTCAACTGAAATCCAAAGCAAGGACTGAAAAATAAGATTTCTCAAAGCCTTACAGGCAAAGACCTTCGTACTGGGGGAAGTAAATGAAGGAAAGTAAAAATAAAAGAAATAATGAAACATACCAAGTCAGATTGCTGTTATTCTGATAACTGACCTATCCTGGTGAGCTGTTTCCATTCCAGGTCTGCTGAAAGGGCCTATTCCACCTTCTTTACCTAACTTACGACTTAGATTTTTACACAAAATTAACGGAAATTACTGTCTCAGAAAAATAACTTTTTCAAAGCAATACCTGGCACTTACAGGACAACCAGTAAAGAGCTGAAGGAACAGAATTCACAAGAATACAAAGATAGAACTATCTTTAAATACATCAACTTTACACATACTGTGTCCTACTCACAGGAGGTGACAGCTTAAGAACCATTCTCACAGGTAGGAACATACAGAGCGGCAGTTTTACTGCTGTGCCATTTGTCTCGGCTGTGAGAAGTGCAGAGCACTTGTCCACATCTCACTATTTATACGGGTTTGTAGGATAACTCAAGATGTAAGGAACCTCATAATTCTCCAGTCCAACCACCCACTTGAGGCAGGGTGAGATACGGGATCCCAAAAGGTTGACCAGAGCTTTATCCAGCCTTGAAAACCTCCAACCCTAAAGACTACACAGGCGCTTTGGGCAACCTGCTCCACTGCCTGAATGCCCTAGTGGGGGAAGAATATTCTCCTTGTACCTAGGCTGAAACTTGAAGTGAGAGTTGTCTCTTGTTTTCTCACCTCCCCCTACTGTGGAGAGCTTGGCTAAATCCTCTTGATGATCTGTGTAGGTCCAGAAAGGCTGGCAGTGGGTCTCCTGAAGCCTTCTATTCTCCAACTTGAACATGCCCACGTTCCTCACCTTATCCTCCAGGTCCCTGATTACCTTTCATCTATCTAATAATTTTCTATTGACAGCCAATTCCATCTCACTTACTACTTGCCAACAGATGCTCACGTGGATTTTGTTTAGAGCTGCATTTCAGAGCTTGCTTTGCCAAATCCAAATTTAACAAGTGGTACAAACTCATTATCTCAGGTGACCTCCCCTGAAACAGCATACCGTGTTTTTTGGTTTCTAAGGAAGCAACTGCAGTTACCTCCAAAATGAAGCAAAACACCACCAAAAACACGCTCACTGACAGGCTGCCTTTGTTGATTTTTTTCCCCATGCTTTCCCCTGCTTGGTACTTGCACATGCCAAATGACATCAGTGACCCAAACACTTCTTCATGTAAAGGTGCCTTTTTTTTTTTTAAGCAATACATAGTCCAGGTACACAAGATCATCTCCAAAATTTAAGAAATTCAAGCAGAACACTAGATTTCATGAGGTGAATTTAAGCAACTTCTGAAAATTTACCACCTGCAAAAATGTCTCAAAAAGCAAAACTCATATAGCAAAACTTTACTAATTCTGTTTCTCTACAAGCATTTCTTGATTAACGTTTAAAATTTATTATTATGGACATCAGGTCTTTACATGACAGAAGGCTTTACGAAAAATGAAAAGAATGAAACCCCTTTTATATGCTATTTTTGAGCAAGTGTTTATCTCACTTTGCTGCTTGTACAAAGAAGAAGGAGCTAAGCTACATTATTGCTCTTCATTTTCTGCTTTGTTAAAAAAAAAACACAATGATTTCATGTACGCCAAGCAACTTTGTTTTCTTTGGAGTATGTTCTATTTCTGCATGCAGATGAGGGGACTGCATACAGCTTATATATAGAAAGGATTTAAAAAACATCCACCACCCCCTTATGCAACAGTTAAACAGCTAAGAGTGTGTCACCCTAATAACAACGCGACAGTAAGCCTTCTCTAGCAAGCTCTTTGGTTATGTGCATGAATGTTATTTCAGTTGACAAAGAGCCCTGTTTTAATTGCTACTGTAACTGCAAAAAATTAATATTAACTTCCTGCTCCCATGGCATCACAGATGTTTACACACACGTAAAACCTGGCCTGCCTACCTACTGGTCCAGATGGCAAATCGGTTCCTAGAAAGTTCAGAATAAATCCTACTCTGCCTGAAAATAGCAGGCACTCAGCTGTTTGCCACAGGTCTGCCACATGGTCATACAAACCATGCACAAAAGTACTCCAGAACTGACTTGGGACCCTTCCTTGTGGAAGAGCTGGACAGATCTAATATGAACTATACGCTGGGGATATTCTGCATCTACCTTTGATACAACCAAGCTGAAGCTCTTTCTACATACTAACATTTGTTACCTTGTTATATTAGCCAGTTGCTTTTGTCACAGGAGGTTTTAAAAAAGGATCTAATAAAGTTATATTCTTTTTATACCACTATTCAGTTTCCTGATCTTGGCATTCAGTTAAAGAATCAGTCATTTGAACCCACCCTCCCCCCCACAGCAACAAATAAGAACAAGAACTGTTCTTTAAATCATATTTTCCTTTAGAAACTGCTTAGTAAAACAAATGCTTCTGCTGTAATTAAAGCCCTACAAATAAATGTTTACTCCAGTAGTTACATGCTCTGTATAAAAAAGTTGGGTTAAACGTGTAAATTATACACATTTCTGTCACATACTTTGGAGTTAGCAGGATCAGATATTTACATGAACATGAGAATCCTCAATTCTCCAAAATCTTTTCATCAGAGAAGTGGGGCCAGTCTCTCACATCTCCTAGCACTGATCAGTATTGACAGCAGCTAACAAAAAACTTCTGTATCAACTCCCAGTGTCATTAACTTTAACCAAGCCAGAGTTTTTTTTCAGACTGAAATAGAATGGCCTAGCACATCATGAAACTTGCATTAAGTAAAGTTGGCTAAGAATTTGTCTTTCAAAACAATGACTCCTTTGACAATACATGTGCCATGTAGTGGGTCCTCGTGCCCCACTATTGTGTGTCCTACATTTCCATTTTATACTCTTGGCTTTTACAAAATGCCTGGATGGTGCAGAGGCTCAGTTCTAAGCACGTTATTCCTCCAGCTGACTAATACAAATACAATCATACTTTACCTGTTCCATTAACTCTGTTTAAGGATTTTTTTTTTTTTTTTTAGGCTATATGAAGTACAATAACTGAACATGAAAATTCACTTGTATGCCCTCAAACTTAAAACAAAGCAAGCCTTTAGTGACAGAAGTTTGCCACATTAACACACAGGATCACGTTGTACACAACCCTGGCATTCCATGCTATGCTGGAAATGCTCTATGATTACTACGGCCACATAAGCAACTAAAAACAAACAAAATAAACAAACAAACAGAGATGTTTTGTTTGATTTCTGAAGAGAGGATATTTTCCTAAAGCCCAGTAGTTCTAAACAAAATACTCAGTCATAAAGTTCATATGCGAAACAGGCAATTATTAGGTGCATCATTTAGATAGGCATTAAAATATACAGTGTAAACAAAATAATTTTCCTCTTAACAAATACTGTGCAAGGTCTTCCATACCATTTTTGTAAATAATCCAGTGCCTCCAAACGAGCACCAATCTCAAATGTGATTCCAGGACGATTTGGAGGCTTTTTACTCATCTTGATACTTTCTTTTTCACTACCTTCAGAGGGAAAAAAAATATATATTAAAGTATGTACTGTTGTTTAAAATATGTCACTGACAACAAACACATGGCAGAAGTTGGAAACAGATGTGAAATTTGCATCCTGAGTTTCCATTAACTCACTTGGTTTTCAGAAGTGCAATCAAGTATGACAGAAAGCATTTAAAAAATTCCCTTTTATTCAGATTTCTCCCCTCCCCTAAAAATAATCATCAACTTTAAGTCTAACTTAATAATAATAATAATTTTGTCCATCTCTGAAGTGGTACTGCACTGTAATTTCTTGCTGTGTTTTTTGGAGCTTATCAATTACATAGAGTCTGCAGGGAAAATGACAAAGTTTACGGGGAATGCATATGGAAAGATAAACACGGCCTAAAAGATGAGATCAAAGTCGCAAAAAAAAAACACCAAAAATAATTAAAAAAGGGACGGGGGAGAGAAGCTATCTTCAACCTTTTTATACCATCTTGAGTGTTGTCCTTACCGCTACGTAAGTTTCCCTCGCAACTGCCTTTTAGTATTTCTGACAGCTCTGTCACTACTAGGAAATGTTTTTCTGCCCGACTGCTGTCGTTGTTATCGCGACTCCCCAAGCTCACTGCTTTCAAGACCAGGCTGGACAGGGCCTTGGCCAACCCGCTCTGGCGTGTGGCATCCCTGCCTGTGACAGGGGGCTGGAGTTAGAAGACCTTTAAGGCCCCTTCCACCCCACACCACCCCATTACTTATTACCACGGAGCTGCAGCCGGCGGGGAGGCAGCCTCCTGAGGGCTGCCAGCCTGCAGGGCCGGACCCCCCTGAGCTCCCCCCTCAGCAGGGGGACCCGGGGCTGGGGGGGGATCCCTGGCGCTGCAGGCACAAAGGGGGCTCGGCAGGGCGGGCCGGGGATGGAAAGAGCTGAGGGAAGGGAAGGGAAGGGAAGGGAAGGGAAGGGAAGGGAAGGGAAGGGAAGGGAAGGGAAGGGAAGGGAAGGGAAGGGAAGGGAAGGGAAGGGAAGGGAAGGGAAGGGAAGGGAAGGGAAGGGAAGGGAAGGGAAGGGAAGGGAAGGGCCGCCGTGAGGGGCCCGCAGGAGCCCTGAGCCCCCCCCCTCCCTCCTTACCGCCTCCTCCGAGCCCCGAGGCAGCCGGCGGGGCTCCGGCGCCGTCCCCCTCAGGCCTCGCCCCCCGCCGAGGTGTCCGGAGCAGCGGCGGCAGCCGCCCTCACCCTCGCCCTCCCGCCCTCCTCTGCCTCCCTCACGGCCCCAGCCCCATCCTCCCCGCGCCCCGCCGCCGCGTCACCGCTCCGCGACGGCACCGCGAAGCTCGCCTGGGCGCCGCCATCTGCAACCCCCGCCCCTACCCCCGGCACGTGATCAAGGAGCAGCCACCGCCGCCTGACGAGGGAGGGGAGACAAAGGGAAGGAGCCGCGCGCATGCGCGGAGGTGGCGTGGGGGGGGGGGTGGTGATTGACAGCTCGCTGCTGCCCCCCCCCCCTTGAAGGGAGGCAGCGGGGGGAGGCTGGGGGTTGAGGCTGCTGGTGTGCTCTCCTAACTCACCTTTTTTTCCCCCATTTTTTTCCTTTTTTCGTTCGACTTTTTAACTTTTTTCTTCTCTCCCCGTCCCACTGGGGTGGGTGCTTGGCTGCTGATGGCACCGACCCACCACAACGCCCGCCATGAGGCTGGGGAGGCTCGAGGCAATGGTACATGGGAGCCTGCCCGGCTGGATTTATACCCAATAAAGCTAGATTTGTACCCAGTAAAGCTGGATTTGTACCCAATAAAGCTGTTTCTTGCCAGTGCTGGTTGCAGCACTGACTTAGTCTCTTGCTTTCATGGTGTGTGTTAAACTACAGGGCTGCTGCTCAGAGCCTCTTGACAGCCAGTGCTGTGTTGCTTATCAATTTGTTTCGCTTTGCCTGGGAGGCCACTGATAAAAGCCCCGGCCTTGGGGCACGCCTGGCATTAGGGTCCTGTGTTGGTGCTGCCCCAGTGCTCCTGGAACCATCCTGGGGAGACAAATCAGCAGTTCCACCTTCCTCCTCTGCTCTGGGCTCACAGAATGACAATGGCTGAGGCTGGCAGGGCCCCCCGGGGTCCATCTGGTCCTAGCCTCCTACACAACCAGGGCTACCTACAACAGGTCACTTAGGCCCACATCCAGGATGGTTTTTAAGATCTCCAAGGATGCAGACTCTACAACCTCTCTGGGCAGCCTGTGCCAGAGCTCTGTCACCCACACAGCTCAGAAGTGCTGCCTGGTGTTTGCAGGGAGCCTCCTGTGTGCCAGTTTGTGCCCATTGCCTCCTGTCCTGGCACTGGGCAGCACTGGAAAGAGCCTGGTTCCATCTACTTTGCACCTTCCCTTCAGTATTTTTTTCAGTATTTATACTTTCCTGTCCGAGCCTTCTCTTCTCATGGCTGAGCAGTCCCTGCTCTCACAGCCTCTCCCCGTAGGAGATGTGCTCAAGTCTCTTCATCCTCCTGGTGGCCCTCTGTTGGACTCCTTCCGATATGTCAATGTTTTTCTTGTACTGGGAGGCCCAGAACTGGACACAGCGCTCCACCTGCAACTTCTCCAGTGCTGAGCAGAGCAGAAGGATCACCTTTCCTGACCTGCTGGCGATACTTTACCTAATGCAGTCAAGAATACTGTAGTCTTCTTTGTGCCAAGGTCACACTGCTGATTCATGTTCAACTTGGTGTCCACCAGGACTCCCAGGTCCTTCTCCGCAGAGCTGCTTTCCACCCAGCCTGTCCTGGTCCCTGGGGTTGTTCCTCCCCAGGTGCAGGACTTTGTTTCTGGGCTTGTTGCAATGGCAAAATCAGCATCACCGTGTACCTGTTGGTGTAACTTTCATATAATAGCTGTGTTCCCACAAGCTAACAAAAAAAAAGAAACACATACTTTCCTAGGCACATTTGAATAGATCAAATGGGAGATAGTTTGTGCAGCAGGCCTTGGGCCCATCAAGATGGGACCAGCTGTAAGAAACATCTCAATACCACAGCCAGGAAGCATGGGTCACCTGGAACTTCAGCAGAAAACACCTGGAGAGACGTGAAGTCTACCTCTAGGATTTTGGAGCTGGAATATAGAGGGGTTTGGGCTACTTCAGAAATAGTTGGCACAGAAGCCCAGCTCCTCTTGGCACCGTGATTATCTGTGGTGTAGTAGATGCTCATAGGACAGATCATACTCACTCCATATAGTGCAACATATACTACATGGAGTGAGTTGGTCATTAAATGGGCTCAGATGGGAACCCCAGCTGCCCATGAATCCTGGAAGAAACGGTGGTCTGTTCAGAAGGCAAATATTCCAAATATTCCAGAGCATTGCCTGAGGAGATGGCTCATGCCTAAGAGGCCCTACTGTATAATAAATAATCAGAAAGTGGAAGTCCATATGCTGTGTTTGTCAGTGGATCCTGTTGTGCTATGTGAAACCATCAGAAATGGAAAGCTTCTGGGTGGAGCACAAATCATGGACTAAATGAGCTCTAATGAACTCATTCAACTTATATGAACAATTGTAGATGGCCCATACATTAAAGGGATTATATTTCTGTATATGTCAAGGGATGAGAAGGGGGGTGGTGACGGATGGGGAGGTGTTGGATAGCGTGGGACCTGAGTATGGTACAAATAGTATGGTATGGAATAAGGGGGGGAGATTGTACTGGGTCTGGCTGGAAAGGAGCTCATTTCCTTCACAGCAAAACACAACACAGTGCTGTGTTTTGGATTTGTGGCTAAAGCAGTGCTGATAACACACCGGTGTTTTGGCTGTTGCCAAACAGTGCTTACACAGCACCAAGGCTTTTCATTTTATTTTATTTTTTTCTTATATATATGTATATTATTTTTTTTCCCCACTCTCCCCTAAGCATGTGGGCTCTGGGTGGGCAAGAGACTGGGAGGGGACCCAAGCAGGGGAGCTGACTTGAATTGGCCAAAGGGATATTGCCCCCCATATAACGTCAACTTCAAAAATAAAACCTGGGGCAGAGGAAGAAGAATGTTGGGGCTTTTGTCTTCTGGAGTGGCTGCTACAGGGAGACTGGCTGGGTCTGCTGGTGGGAGGTGATGAGTGATTGCCTTTGCAGTGCTCGTTTCTTGCTGTTGATTTTCATTCTTTTTCCTTCTTTTATTAAATGTGGGTCATCTTGACCCACAAACTTTATTGCTTTTGTTCGTCCTATTATCTCCCCTGTCCTGCTGCAGGGGGAAGTGAATGAGAGGCTGCATGCGTGCTTGGCTGCTGACTGGGGTCAACCACCAGCTTTGCTCAGTGCTTGTGAAGCTGCCTCCTATTTTAAGAGTTCAGAGAAGGGCTATGAAGATGGTGAAGGGCCTGGAACACAAGTCCTGTAAGGAGCAGCTGAGGGAACTGGGGTTGTTTAGTCTGGGGAAGAGAAGGCTCAGGGGAGACCTTATTGCTCTCTGCATCCGCCTGAAAGAAAGCTGTGGGGAGCTGGGGTCAGCCTCTTCTCACAGGTTACTAGTGATAGGACTAGAGGGAATGGCCTCAAGTTGTGCTAGGGGAGGTTCAGGTTGGAAATGAGGAGACATTTCTGCTCAGAAAGAGCAGTCAGGCACTGGGACGGGTTGCCCAGGGAGGTGGAGTCCCCGTCCCTGGGGGTGTTCAAGAAAAGGTTGGACGTGGTGCTTGGGGACATGGTTTAGTGGGTGACATTGGTGGTAGGGGGATGCTCGGACCAGGTGGTCTTGGAGGGCTTTTCCAACCTTAATAATTCTATGATGCTATGGTTCTATGCTGTGCCTCTGGGCATCCAGACCCTGGGGGCAACCTGGGCCTGCCCTAACACCCCAGAGGGTCCCCCTGTGGCTCCCAGCCATTGCTGTGCCCTGACAGTGCCTGCAAACAGTCAGAGAGATGTCCTGCGGGGACCAGCAGTGTCCCTTTGGTGGGGTCTTCCTGTAATAAGGTGAGGACGATGGAAAGGGGACCCAACTCTCCATCCCATCTGAGCCAGCGTGTCACCCAGAGGAGGCTCCTCAGCTTGTAAAGCCAACAAAATCCACTAGTGTGTTCCTCCATAAAGCCAATGCAGAGTACAGCCAAGACCTTTTTTATTTTAGCACAAAAAAGTCTCAGATATTTAGTCTTGTCTGTTAGGAAAATGGAGCTGACATGTCTGTGTTGTCTGCTTTCCCTTTCTCCTTTTACTTCTGAAACTTCTACCTTACTTCAAGCTCGGCAGAGGGACAGAGACCTCATTTTATCATACTACCCCAACTTGTTTTGTTGAAATGGGCAGGGAAGAACAACTGTATTGACCTCTCTGTGACAGAGAGGCTTGGTGCCTACACTCCTTCAGACACCAGAACATCAAAAGGCAGAGGGACGCACAACGGTGGATTTCATTATTTCTGCTCCTGACAAAATTTGGTGTTCGATCTTTTTCACAAGGCACATCGCTAGCATGGTGAATATTATACAGGAACTGGAAGCCAAACTGGATAGGAAATTTTATCTTGCCAGTCAGTGACTCACAGACTTGGAGGGGGAAGAGAGGATTTCATAATCAGCTGAGCATGAGCTCATGGTGTGCTGTTGATGCTAAAAAGACTAATGCAGCCTTTGCAAAGCACATGCACATGGAAATACTGTGTAGGAGTAGAGAGGTGACTTTATCTATGTACTTGTCACCAATATATTGTTATTAAAATAACCTACTG